TGAAGGTAAACATAAACAACGAAAACAAGACCCCCCCCCCCCCCCCCCCCCCCCCGATTTCAGTATATTCATGCAGCGCCCCCCCAGAAAAAAAATTCTGGCGCCGCCCCTGGACAGTAGAGAGCGACCTGCAGCAGAATAGGCGTCTGCCACGTACACCACAACTGTTGGGACGCCGCCAGGATCGCAACCGGCGACAGCATGACACTTTTATGACGTCATCAGGCGGAAATCGAGGGACTACTTTTTGGGCGTGGTAAACACACCAGTCGGAGACGCGTTCCAGGCACCATAGTTTGGTTACATTGGTCTCGATCGTTTCGATGGACCGAGCAAATTTCTGGTTGACTCTCGAGCATCTCTCGAGGGCGGGCGACTGCTTTTCAACGCAATGGACTACTTCCAAAACCGACGCGCCCCATCGCGGCGAAATACCACGCAGTGCACTCTGGGAACTAGTTGGCCACTCAGTTTCGGTTTCGACTGAGCAGCTTCATCTCATGCTATCATGCCGCGACCGAAGGCGCGGCTTGCGTTTTCGATTATCTGACTTTTCACGAACGTACAATACACTCATTCTCGATCGATACAAAACGAAGACCGGGACACTTTCCTTGGTTCCCGAAACACCGGATATTCTGCGTGCGTATGCGAACGTAGTAAGTCGTGGCTTACCGCCGAATTCAGAAACCTCACTCAAACTACACTCAAACTGAAGGGCCCCTCCACTTCCTCGAGGAAGGCGCGCGGGCCGGCGCTGGCCAATCGCGAGGACGGACCCGCCGTCGCGATTGGCCAGGGCCGGCCCTCACGCCTTCCTCGAGGAAGTGGAGGGGCCCTTCAGTTTGAGTGTAGTTTGAGTGAGGGTTCTGAATTCGGCGGTTAGTCACCTCACCCCACGAGTGCATCTCTGAGCTCAATGTCAGTAATCCCGTGTAGTACCAGTGAACTACAACTGAAATTTGTTCGTCTGGAGCCTTACACGCATTTTATTTGCCAAACGTCCGCTTCTTGTTACTTCATTGGGCGAAAAGCAAGCCGCATCCTCACAGGGTATCAAAGTTGAGGCCAGCGTTTACGCATGAACTTTTAAGGAAACGCAATAAATTCGACCTCACTACTGCACGGAAGTTACTATGATGTCTTCCTCGGGCCATCGTATATCTCCCACTCCAATTTTATGCTGATAGAAGATTAACTTTTCGCAAACGCTGAGATCGGCTAGCTACGACGGAGCCCCTAACAAGCGTCCCCTACTCCTCGCTAAGCATTTTTGGACCAGCCTACTGACGCCCGAGATCTGTGCCGGGAACGGGTTGTCTGAAATTATCTCGGCATACTCAGGCAGGAAGAAAGAAAACACATAACAAATATTATGGCCATTAGCAACCGTCAAATGCGCTTTGAATTCGTTCGAGCAGTTGTCTGAAGAATGTCGCACCGTGCGCCGGACGGGCATGAACCCCAATGCGGTGCGCATAGGGGTTCATGCCCGTCTGACGCACTTCCGGTGAACGGTGCGACATTCTTCACACAAGTGCTCGACTTTTGCATTCTTAAAACGGTCTGTAGGCGCGAATGTGCCTATATGATTGCAGGATAACTTTATGCGCATACGCGATGTTGAATATTAGTGAAATGCAAGCGGGTGGGGACTTCACTTCGTGCAGTGCTGCGGGTCAGTACAGATAAGAAATAAGAAGTGTGTTAAAATTGAGCTTTTCAATGGCACCTCCGAGTTTTACCTCGCATACTCAGGTACATTAAGAAAAACAGTAATTGCAAAAAGAAATATTTCGTCTATGGACGCACGAAGCAAACAAACTTCCTGATCAACAACACTAATGTAAAGGCGCGAGCTCGATGTATGCATACTTATTGTTTGCTACAGCTTTTTGATTCGTACACAAGCAAGATCCCCGAGCTTCGCAGCGTCGACACTCCCAGCACTGGCTCGTCCACATACCTCGATTGGAGCGCTAACAGGAAGGCTCAGGTACAAAAATACAACAAGCATGTGTTAAGAGAAGCTATACGTCTCGGGCTTGTGCTAAAGCTTCGAGATCTGGCCATTTAGGTTAGTTTAGAGACCACAAATGACGCTCTTGGGACAAGAAAACAATATCTTATCGACGTGTCGATCGAAACCGAAACCATGCCACACCCCTCCCTGGCCAACTAGTTCCCAGAGTGCAACGCGCGCCGTGTTGCATGCAGGGCTTTATGGAAGTAGTCTATTGTTTGTGCAAACTCTGCGCAAGTCAGGGGGGTAAAGGTGTGTGAGGAGGAGTGGCAAATCCCGTGCGCCGACACCCGGGGTCCCGAGTGAACGATCGCAAAAGAGAGCGACAGAACACGAGAGAAAGAAGGCAACGTTGCCATGGTAAACGCGAAGAGTGAAAACTCTCAGCAATATAAACAGTCATAATTTAACGTTGTAAACTAAATTCTGAGCCATTCCAACGCTTGTAAAAAGCAATAAAGTCATTACGCTGCATTAACTTCTTCCCTTCCACTGATCTCAATGACAATTGCTGGATCGCGCTTGCCGCTCCCGCAAGTGAAGCCACCGGACTTCACTCGCTTGGGATACGATTTGCCGTTTTTGCTAGCCTTTGCTGCGGTTTTCCAGCGTGCTGTGGACACGTTTTCTACTCGTTCGTCGTCATTCGCCGAAGAAGTTTTTTGAAGACTCTGTGTATTGTTGAGACTTGCCGTCGTGAACACGTGGAAAATTTTACGAAAGTGCAGTGTCGCAGGAAAAAGGCACAACGCGTCGAAAGGAAGGGCTGGCGGCGTGTTCAAAGCTTCCTTGGCACGCCGAAGTGCCGTGTCTCTGTGCCTTCGCACGCTTGGATACCGACCAAGAACCGACGCCGTGTGGATGTGTTTTGCGAGTGCAATGTGCGTGAAGCCGTATCAAAAGGTACAACTCGTCGAAAACAAGTGTCGCCGGTGTCGCGGCGTGATCAAAGCTCCCTTGGCACGCCGAGTGATGCATCGCACGCTTGGATACCAGTCAAGAATTGACGCCACGCCAAAGTTCTGAACGTGTGTCGCGCGTAGAAGCCTTTAGATCATTTATATATATCGGCCACGGAGTTCTGGATCGTCCAGCTGTTCCGGTGAGTTGCTATCAATAAAAGGGAGAGATCTGTACGTGTTCTTATGTACTATATTAACCATGGCTATGTCCCAAATCTACTCTAATAGATTCCGTGGGAGCACGAATAGGGCAACGTTGTGGAGCCAGGGGGGTTTTCGAAAGCAAAAGTACAAGACGGCGAGAATGAAAATCTTTGAAGCGCGGCCGATATGGTCGTGTGCAACCTGCTGACCAATTACGATTAGGCGAGCCGCGCTCAAACGTCAAGTGCAATTAAGTAGGTTGATAATAAGCCAGCACTGATCAGTGATGAGGAGCTGTTGTGCACGGTATTGTGTAAACCGTCTAAGGACGAAAAAAAGACGTACCTTCCCCCCATCTTCCGTCGCTAGTGGATTAAGCTCGTTCCTAAACCGCGAGGGGAAAAGACGCTGATCCAGAGGCACGAACAGCTTCACGCACATTGCACTCACTAGACACATACACACGGCGTCGGTTCTTGGTCGGTATCCAAGCGTGCGAAGGCACAGAGACACGGCACTTCGGCGTGCCAAGGAAGCTTGGAACACGCCGCCAACCTTCCTTTCGACGCGTTGTGCCTTTTTCCTGCGACACTGCACTTTCGTAAAAATTTCCACGTGTTCACGACGGCAAGTCTCAACAATACACAGAGTCTTCAAAAAACTTCTTCGGCGGATGACGACGAACGAGTAGAAAACGTGTCCACAGCACGCTGGAAAACCGCAGCAAAGGCTAGCAAAAACGGCAAATCGTATCCCAAGCGAGTGAAGTCCGGTGGCTTCACTTGCGCTGCAGCGAACAAGCGGGGAAGCGCGATCCAGCAGTTGTCATAGAGATCAGCATGGAGAATAGAAGGGTAGGAGAGGGCATGACGTCAGCCGCGTAACCTCCATAAGCCATGCTCCGTTGACGCCTCGCCTCTTTCTCATTTTTTTCCTCACTTACCATGCCAACGTGACCACATCACGTGACCATAGCTAGCCTTCGTCTTGCTATGGGGTACTAGAATACACCACAGTCTAGCCTTCGATGTGATAAAACCTACCGGACGGAGCGCGCGCAAGCCTGCAAAGAGTCCTTCTACAAGCAACCATCCATCTCACACGTGACATGTCACGCGCACCAATCGCCAGACAGATCTGCGGTCACGCTGGGCACAAAATCGTTTAAACTTTTTATGACTAGGCTTCACCAATATTGCAGCGTGCCCTCTCCTAGTACTTCTAACCTCCTTGGAGATCAGTGTTCCCTTCTGTCGAAATCTCGAAAATCTGGTGGTTGCGCAGTTTCGTATTCCTCAACCGCGCTTACCCGCGCCGCACTGGCAAAGCCGGGTATGTGGTTTAGTTTAGCGTTAACGCGAGGCCGTACATCTGCGCGTTATGCAAAAAGAAAGCTTCGAAAGGAACGCGAATATCTTTCCACCGGTAAGTTCTTGGATTGTTGAAGTTCACGAAACTGCTCTGATGATGTAACCGTGTTTGGGACCCCGAGGGTCTGCCTGCATGATCCGCCGCTTGCGGCAGCCAGAATGTATGGGAAAATGGCGGACCTTTTCCTCTAGAGTTAGTAAAAAGTATGTATGGTCTCTATGGCGCAAGTAAGCTCCGCAAAGTATCGCCGGTATCGCCTTTTCGCAACTGAAGGTACCGGACACGAACGCCAAACGTGTGAACCAGCCAAACCTCACAAACGCGTGATGTAACAACATTTCGAATATAAGCCGCAATGCTTCGAATTGCAAATGTTTTATTATTTTGTAAAGTCATAAAATAAATTATAAATAAACTTATATTTATTTTAATTTGTAATTACTATTTTTGACATCTAAACATAATCGGCGGAGTCAGTTAAGTTTTCAGAGTTAAAACTTGTTCGATGTTGGAAACCAAGGTATGATGATGGCGCGCAACTGAAACAGCAGACGGCGAGCACACAAACGTGATGTTACCAGTCTCTGCTGATATTCTCCCAGCTTTTCATAATTATCTTGCTTCGATCATTATCTTAACGAAAGAAGATGTTTCCAAGTGGTTCCAACAAAGACGACGGCTTTACCGCGTCAGCTTTCAAGCGCGTTTTGATGAGTGTGGGTGACTTCGGGAACGACGACTTCTCCATCGATGCGGTTCGGCGACTACACAACCACGTAGAATTCGTTCGCAAGTCCGGGACGTAAGTTGAAAAATTCGAACCGAAGAAAGGGTTTGTTTAAATTCGTGTTATTTGACTTTGAATTTGACTTGCTCGGCGGTTTGGTTCTTACAGGATATCTGGTCCTTGCGCGAAGTTGTTATCGGACTACTTCACCGAGAAGGCGAACCAATTCGTCGACAGCGCTGGAGGTAAGTGTAGTCCGCTATCTTGGACGGGTTCGAAGGCAGTGACAATAAAAAGGTTTGGTGATTATTCCGTCACTAACGTGATGAAAACGACAGAAAGAAGTTAAGTTGCCTCCCCCCCCCCCCCCCCCCCTCCCCCTCAAAGCGCGCGCTTCCTGCCTTCGTCAACGCTCCGAAGTCTCGTGAGCCTCGAACGTGCACTTTCAGCCAAAGCACGGTAGAAGCTAACGAGCGCATGCCGGAAGCCGGGCGTCCGAAGGAGACGCCCTGCCATTCTCATCTTGACAGGGATCCAACCAGCGTCTCCGGAGGCGCTGACCCAGCAATCACATTCGTAATCAAACAATGAGTGTATACTCCTTCATGAGTAAAGCTATATGCACTCCGGAGTGCACTTCGGACGGAAATGGCTATACGCACTGCGCTAAACTCGTATAAAACAAATGGTCACAATGAGTTTTTTGAGCAATGTGGCGCGAATGAGACGTTTCCACGTGTGTTTGTGGAGTGCTCCAACGCCTATCTCTTCTGGGACGAGATGAGGAAGGATCTCGGCGTCGACTTTCCAATAGACTGGCACGTCTTTAGATACCTGGACGTCGAGGGGACAGATACGGCTTCGTCCATGGCGCTTCCGTCCATGGTGCTCCTGGGGCTCCACGACATCTGGCTAGCCCGCTCGGCCATGGTAGAATGCCACACCAATGCCAGGCCGACGTGGGACTATTTTACCTCCCACTTCAGATGGCTTCTATCCATCGCGGCCGAAGGCATGATCCAGGTATGCCAGGAGTGGAGAGCAATTGAGGAAAGGCTGGAGGCTCGGCGACTCCGACATGAACGCATTCGACTCGTCTAGGGCCGGAGCCGCGCCCACCGCTGCTAGCGACCGTCACACCATCTAGGGGATGACGCGCCGGCGGCCACTTCCAAGACCGTCACCCCTTTCAGGCACACATTGCAACCAGCACCCCCTCCCCTTCTCCCCTTTCCGTTCCAACCGCTAACCGATTTAAAATGGCATAGCATAGGGGTTAAGGTCACTTGCTTTATACGCAAGTGGACGCAGGTTCGATCCGCGGTGGGCCTACTTTTTTTTTCTTTTTTTCTCGAACATTTTGTTCTGTCGAGGCATTTGGCAATATTTACGACATTTCTTTTTTGCGACAAACACTAAAGAAAATGAATATTGTCGACGAAACTTCGCAGAACTAAATGGTATGGGACTCCCTTTCCGGAGGTGCGATCGGGGACAGCGGGGCTTGGGTTGCCGGCTGGGTGCCGCAATGCGGCGTGTACGGGTTAAGTTTTGTAATTAGCAGCCGCACACTGTCGCCGCAAAGCGGCGTGAACACAGGCGGGGGCTGTGTTAACGAGCTCCCCGGTGATACACGCGCCGTTCGAAAAAAGTGACCCAAATGGCATGAGCTCTCCGCAGAGTGCGTATAGCCATTTCCGTCCGAAGTGCACTCCGGAGTGCGTATAGCTTTACTCATTACTTATAGCTCCCCGGAAGTTACGGCGTTCGTTTGCTGGTGGCAAGGCATGCGAGCTGCCCTTTTTCCCTTCCGACTTCTAATGTGCACGCAACAACTTCATTTTTTTTTTTTTTTTTTTTTTGCAATTTGATTTTGGTTTTGGCATGACACTGGTAGTTATTTAATTGACACGGAGTGTTCATTTATTGTGAGAGAGGTATTTAAGGGAAAGGGAAAAAGTGGTTACATGCTGAAGGTGGAACCGTAAAAAAAAAAACTGAGTGTTTATGCATTTACAGAACACAGTTTCTAAAGTGCCGTCCGACGGCGCTTTACTCTCACATTCGAGTGCCAGACACAAAGAGTGAGAACGAAATCTGAAAGTTGGAAAGGGCGGGATTTCTCAATGTTTACGTGTGTTACCGTATGCAGTTTGTTTTCAACAGCGAACATGTGGCATGTTTTGCAAGTTCTGGCTATGTCTCGTGTCAGCGTGCAGAAACTGCACAGAGTGTTTGCTGTATTTATATGGAGTTCAACCTGGGAGCGCTCATCACGCACAAATTTGTTTCGCTCAGTTCAAAGTGGTGGGCTGGGTTTGTTCCACTTGTTTATTCGTTAAATTGTGTCGTGATTAATGTTTCTTCGTGATCAAAAAGGTTTGTTTTTGTGTACTCTAATTCGGGTCAGACTGCGAAATGTGTTGCCCGAGTTTGTAGTCTCGTCAAGTGACAGTATTTGTACGAGTATTCGAGGTTACTTGCGTGAAGTGGTGCTTTTTTTTAGAATGTTGAAAGTGTGTTTTTCCCTAGAGTTCCTTAGCTTTTGTGACCTAGAAGAGATTTAGTGGAGGTGTTACTGCTAGTCCCTTTGTATAGATCACTGTGCTCTAATGAGCCTGGCCAGGATGTGCTCAAAAGGGTTAAAATAGTGATGGTAAAACCAAGTGTTAAGTATTTTTTCTTTAAACTACATTGCAGTGTCCTGCCTGTTAAGTCATGAATGGAAGAGAAAGGGTTCCATGTCCCATGATCAACTGTATTCTCTGTAAAAGACCAGAGACTGTGGAGCATGTATTCATAGAATGTTGGGGTGCGGTGTTCCACTGGGTCATCCTCCAGTGCACACTTAAGAAAGAGTGCCCCTTGACCATGCATGGCATTCGTTTTTTGTCAGTTGAGGACAACGCTCAAGTCCCCTACGACATGTTCACAATACTTAGTGTACACAGCATTTGGAAGACTAGGATGGTTGTGCGTCATGCGGACGTGAACGTCCGCGAAGTCAGAGTCAACTTCGTTGAAAGTGTCGCGTATATTCATAACTTATACCAAGCACAACCTGAACCCCCCGATTGAATGCCGGTTTTGAATTAATTAGTGCAGCAGAAGAAATTTGAATGTATTCGCGTCTGCCAAAATGAAGCCGACATGTTTCAGCCTTGTTTTTGGTGTGAGTGTTATGTGAGGTTTGTTCATGTCAATGCAGGTAATCAAGAAAAAAAAAATGTTTTAATGGCGTAAAGGGTTAGATGCCTGGCTAGTACTTTATGGTCTCACAAATATTTAAGTTCAATATCATCCTTAAAAAAAAAATGCTTTTTTTTTTTTAGAAGATGTTGTTCAGAAGATTGTAAAATTTAAACTAATTTTTTTTTTTTTTTTTTTAAATCACAATTGCAACACTTGAGAGAGTGGAACTTCGGCAAATTTGAGAAGATTGTGCACCTGCATTGCACAGGCATAAACATACATAAGAAAGCATGCTGCTCACTCTTGTACCGTTTGTCTCCCTCGCATTTTATGTTAATACAAATTGTCGGCGAGCAGCTGATGGAACACATGTCAGAATAAGCATGACTTGTGCTCAGCACTTTTGGACGGCACTTGAATGCATGAGTGGAGTGCCGTCGGGTGGCTTCAAGACACAGCGTTTACATAATTTCCGAATTATATAGTCAAAATTTAAAAAAAATATAGGAAAAGGTAATTACTGATAGGATCGTAATTCTAAGGCTATGCACGTGCAGTCGGGAAGCGAAAGCGTTGTTCAAAACAGCATGCCTGCAGGCTTGTAGCAATGGCTTCGCTCGCATTTATGGTGAAGCAAAGTAAGGTAGTGCTTTATTCTAAAAATAAAATGACCGGACAAAGATTAAAACTTCTTGGAATTGTTTTCAAGAGATGTTAGCACTCACCTAACATGATATAATCCAAATTATTTAAGCATGTTTTGCGGTGTCTATCTCATAAAATAAATAGTAGCATTAAAAGTTTTTATTTTATTTTTACCTTTTAGGATTAAATAACTTTTCCAGTGGGGCCATCCATTCGTCAAGTTCAACAGGCCGACAGAACTGCAAGTAGTAATATTACACATATTTTTATTTGAGCATGCTCCAGCCTCTTGCAAGGCGAGAGTGTGTGGCAGTCTGCCTTCACATTTCCACTAGTTCTGATCAACAGATTCGGACCAATGGTGCTCCCGGCTGTCCACACTGACGGACGAGGAGCTTGCACAGTTTTTGCCAGCAAAAAATGGGCCACCGGTAGGTCGTATTCAATCAAAATTATGACGCTCGGATTTCTTCAACATCAATATCTGTGCAGTCTTGAACCGAAATTCGGAGCTCATAAAACATGGCGGAAGTGATTGGCGGGACGCTGCAAAACCCCAAAACATCACTCGTACAGCAATATCTCTAACGGAGGGCCACATTTTCTGGAAAAAGAGTGCACGATTCACATGGCCGACGAGACTTGTAATGTTGCGATTCTCAATCTCTCTCCTCTTGGCTTCGTACCCTCGAGCTGGTGAACCGAAGCGAGGAGGAGAGTAGCGAGGCCGCCGCTTCTCATTCTCAATTGTTCCGGGAGGATCATGGCATTGTAGTCCTTGCTTGATCGCACCCTTCTTTTGCAAAAAATACGGCCATCCGTTTGAGAATTCGATGTACGAGTGATGTTTTGGAGTTTGTAGCATCCTGTTCAACATTTCTGTGGCCTTATTTTGTGAACTCCAAGTTTCGATTCAGCATCCCTAGGGGTAATGTAACAAATTAATGTGCTTTCAGTACATACCGCTTATAATTATTCCATGAGATTCATAACCCATAAAACGTGCAATAAGTTTTTTTTCTTCTTTTGTCCATGCAATGGCAGTTGGAAAAAAAAAGATTTGAGAAAAACGAGCCGCATTCACCCATTTAAAGACCCTTTCTGAAATTGTGAAATCACTCATAAATTATGCGCAGCCACCATTAGTTGGTCTCATCGCTTCTGGCATGAAGCTCGTGATCGGTTCAGAGGTGACGAAGCGCTCGTGTCCCGTGCGTGTTCACAGTGCATGACCAACGAATGGCGGCCATACATAATTTGCATCATTTCGAAAATGGTCTATTCGCAGTCAGAACAAGCGGCCACATGATCTGGAGCCGATTATATGCTGCCAATGTTAATCATATAACCACGCACTGGGCAAAGCACAGGGCACACACGCTGAGTTCCTCACACTTAAAAAATTGGGCTATTTCAGTCATAGCAGCGATTGGGAGCGAGCCACTACCCAAATGCATGTTGAGGTATTGTTTGTCAGAAACCCAAATCGAATACTCGCTCAGTGCTTGTGTCGCCTGTATGAGGCGCATTTAACTGCGGAAATTGCAAAGCTCAGTGTCGAAATCCTGGGGATTGCATTGTTGACAATGTCAACAGTGCGATCCCCGCAATTTCGTCATCAAGACTGACAAAGTATAGACTGAAAGAAGTCATCCACTTATATTCTTATAGTTATGTGGCAACAAAGAAGCTTTTTGGTCAGTATCGTTGCATGCGGGCGTACTTGGGTTCCACCAGAGCCAGTGCGCTTGTGTAAATTGAGAAACATTTCTACCCAATATCGTTGCACGGCCCCTCTAACTGTTCAGAATGTAAACCTCTAACGCTCTTGATTTCGATACTTCACCGGCTGTATCAGCTTTTGTCTAGCCATTGAAAACATCTGCCGTTTATTTCTTGTTGCGACACAGAGCAAGTCAATGATTGATTTTCTAGTATCACAGCTGGGCCAGTGATCTCACCCTGCTACATCTGGCCACCGATTTATTTGAGTTTTTATTCGGACATACCGCTGGTTTTTTGTTGAGAGCTGAGGCAGGTGTGGGTTTACCACAAGTCATTGGTGAGGCAATAAAAACACCTTTGGATATAAAATGTACAGGGATATGGTACAATGATAATGCACATACCAGAATAGCATAAAATTATAGCCCATCACAGTGAAGCACATACTGACGTTCATTGCAGGAAGGTAGTACAAAATGACAGCATTGACGAGATACAAAATATAGAATGTTGATATTAAACAGTCTAAGAATTATTTTTAAACTCTCGGGAAATTCTACAGCGCTCTTACAACTTGCGACCTCTTGTGGAAGCCGGTGCCATCCTTCAATACTGAAAACTTTCTTTTTGAGCATGAGTGCACCTGCGTATGTTGCAGTAGTAGCGAGGTCAGCTTAGATACATGGCCACTCTATCGATTGCTCACTGAGACCTTGAAATTAATTTTTCTAACAACGACAAATTTTGCCTTTTAACTTCCAGGACCAGCAGCCATCAATCGACCGGGACTGCGAGTCCTTTATTGAACGAATGAAACGCAAGGCACCTGCCTCGAAGAAGGTTATTCTTCATCGTGGGGTCAGTTCTGCTTCAGACAAGACCTTGGTTAGCACAGTGCACGCAGCTGCTCCACTGAGACAGCAGCCCAGGCCAGCCACAGCGAGAACCATGGAGGTGCAGCCCAAGTTCCAATCTAGAAATGGCAAGAGTGGCGGCCGTAGTGGCTGGGACGGAGATGGGCCGAAGCAACAACCATCCGAATCCGCCCCAGGTAACTCTATATGGAGACAGTGCTTGGCGTGCGTGGGTATGTGCCTCATCTGTCTGGGCTACTGATGGGGGGTGGTTTGTCTCAAACGATAAACTGTAGCTGAAGGTCGGCTAAGCAGCTGTTAGTAGAAAAGGCCTGATATCGAGAGGTTACAAATTTGGAGAAGAGGCAGAAGAGCTTTTATTCCTTCCCCATTTTTTTTTTCACCTTTTCTTTTTGTTTTTATTATGCTGGAGTGGAACGTGGGAAAAAAGCAGACCCTTGTTGTCCTTTTCCTGCACTTTAGGCAACCTTTTTGGAAAGGGTCAGTGAGAAGTGTATGAGGAAAAAATGAAAGCCGTTTACAATTCCCTGTAACGCCGGTTAGAGCGCAGCTTTTGAGGAGGAAGATGGAAGCGTACTGAGGGATAGGTGACTCCTTGAGGTCACGTGACCTCAAGGGGGTCACGTGACTTCAGGGGGGGTCACGTGACCTCATGGGGTCACGTGACCTCAGGGCGTCACGTGACCTCAAAGAATCACGTGACTTCAAGGGGTCACGTGACCTCAGGGGGTCACGTGACCTCAGGGGGTCACGTGACCTCAAGGGGGTCACGTGACTTCTGCGGTCATGTAACTTCTGGGGGTCACGTGACTTCAGGGGGTCACGTGACCTAAGGGGGTCACGTGGCCTTGGGGGGTCACGTGACCTGGGTGGGTCACGTGACCTCGCGGTTACGCCGACGCCGACGCCGCTCAAGCCGGAAACGGGCCCCTAAGAGCTGCGCTCTAAAAACTATTTGTATACCGTAATATCCCGAGAAAAGTCCCATCCTCAAAAGATAGCCCACCCTGATTTTCGGCACGATTTTCTATTCTAATGGCTTCAATGGAACTCTATTTTGCACATCGAAAGTTAAGCCACCTTGTATTTTTGCCTAATATGCTCTCGGTTTTAGGTGGACTATCTCGGAATATTACGGCAGTTACCCGTATAAATGTGTATCAGCTAAGCATGCTTTACGGCGAAGCTGTTATACACTAGGGCCTGGGAAAAAATGTGTCCTCGCATGTCGACAGAAAACTCCCCATTAATCGTGGCAAGTAGGAATAAATAAAAACAAAAAGAGGGGTCAAGTAGGAATAAATAAAAACAAAAATAGGGGGCAACCAGCATGAGTCAGCCTTCCTTGGCATTATTAGATAGTGAGGTCCTGATCCCTTCTTATCATCGCCAGGCATCATCCTCGAGGTCTTTCTAGAAGTCGTCTTTGAGGTTGTCTGGGAGGTCGTCCTATGCGTCGTCCTCTAGACATCGTCCTTGAGGTCGTCCTAGACATTCTTCTCGAGGTTGTCCTAGAAGTCGTCCTTGAAGTCGTCCTAGAAGTCCTCCTTGAGGTCGTCCTAGACGTCGTCCTCTAGGCATCGTCCTAGACGTCGTAAAGATAACAGCTTCACTGGTCCTCCATCTTCACGGGAAGTGGAAGGGCTGTACAATTTCTTTTCTTCAAACTTTTTAATTGGACAGCCATAAAGGAGTCACTCGATACTCTTTCATTTTGCTTTGTCTAAAAAAAAAAGTGGGACATTTCTTTTTTTAAAGCTTGTATAGAGCTTGTTTTACTTTTCATTAAATATTAAATTTTTCACTAAATATTTCATGTCTGATTTAAAAAAAAAAGCTTTAGGAATTTAACAACTTTAAAAAATCTTAATTATAATCTTTTTTTTTAATATAGTTAAAAGACATTGAGTTGTGCACTTTGGATTTAGACCATTTTGAAGTTTTTGTAGAGAATTCATGCATTGTCAGCATTCGTGTCTTGTAGAAACTTTAATAGCAGCAAAACACAATTTTTCTACAATATTTCTTTGGCTACCTGTAGGTGCTCTGTTGCAGCTCACAGATAATGTTTCAAAACAGGTAAATGAACCGAAAGGCTGGTATTGCACGACGTTTTCAGCATGTTTCTGGTGTACTTACGAGATGTAAATAATAGTTTCTTTTCTTATTTTACAAGATGCGAAAATTGCTACAATTTTTTTGTGTACTACAGGACAGACTGCTGCCCCAGCTTTCATGACAGCCAGGGAACAACTGGCAAGTACACTGTCTATGCTGCATACTTTAACTATAACAATAGTCAATGATACCCCTTGCCATCGACCTGCAATGGAGACCCATGTCCAGTGGCGTAGCTGGGCCATCTGGCACCCGGGGCCCTTATGTCTTTCGTAGACCCCCGATTCCCCCATTCACTCCCCGAGATCGCAACCAACCAATAAAGCGGGGGGGGGGGGGGGGGGGGGGTGCCATGTGTTACCAGGGGTGGCACCCCCTTGTGGCTGGAACGCCTGGTACCTGGTACCCAGGACCCCCCGCCCCTCCCCCGATTGCTACGCCACTGCCCATGTCACCTTATTGGCTCTCGGGCATATGTGACAGCCTACAGGTGCCTAGTCGGGTTCCAATGATTTTGGTTGCATACTAAAGATTCACAGGGGGTCTTAATGAATGCTGACTCTTTTATGAGGTCATGTCAATGTCTTTTATTCATTTAAAATGTAAAGCCTAAAAATTTTGTTTAATTTGCACAATAGGGAAGTAATTTAGTAGTTGTGAAGTATTCAGCATGTACACTAATGCTTTGAACCTATTGTAGATGGTTAGCAAAAATCGGTTTCGCCACATATCGCGCTGCAATTTACTACGGAGGTGCGGTTAGGTGGTGGAAGCTTAGAGTGAAAATATGAACAGACAAACTTTTCTCTTACGAAAATTAAAAAAATAAAAATTTGTTTGGGGATTTTTGCTGCGGCATTCTCTGAGGACGTCATGACCGAGATTGTCTAATAGTTGTATCTGCCGGTGACAGATATCGGAAGTGTCGAGCGTGCCGGTGCTGAGCTTAGCAGACAATCTCCAGAAACTTTTCGCTATGTCGGTGCGCGTCTCTCTCATTTAAATTCTGCGATAATTTATTCATTAAAAAAATGAGCTTAATAAGAAAATAGGAATTTAAATCCGTCATGGCTCCCCATTTCTGGTGTGGAGATGGTCAGAGATGATCCCACGAAAGTAGTGCTCTCGTGTCTCGCAATGCACCATCTTTCGGGGGCACATAAAACTAGGCAAGCACAGTCGTGACGTCGTCTGCAAATGCCGTGGCAAGTAACCTAAAACAGTTTTTTTTAACAAAGTAAGTTTTTTGTTTATATTTTCAATCAATGATCCCATCACCTAGTCACACCTCTGTAGTAAATCCCAGCGCGATACGTTGAGAAATTGTTTTTTTGCGGATCTTTTAAAATTGGTTAGAAGCGTTAGTGTTCATGCTGTAGTACCTGTTTCTAATATCAAGCTATCATAATGTGCAGTCATGAGTGCTGTAGAGGTAAGGACAAGACTTGCTTTAGTGTTGCCTCAGTACTCACCCAGGTACAATGGTGGTGCTGAGTTGCCACCTTATAACAATAAAGCTAGTACTTACCAAAGTCCAGTCATAGTACAGTGTACAGTCATGTCTCATTAATATTGACACCTTCGTTCCCTCCAGAAAAAGTTGCCCATAATGTGAGTTCTCCCTACCCAGTTCCTCCTCGAAATTTTTGTCTATAGGGGTTTTCATAATAAAGGGATAAGCCAACAATTTTTTCATGGTTGCTGATGTGCCTGAGTATTGGCTCAACACGCCGATAGACACAGCTGTACCAGTTCCCCAAGTATTGTGTGGAAAGAAAAACATTTCCCAAAGTTATTGAATTTTCAAATTTCGTCTTCATGTTTCTCAAATTGGGAGCCCTTGCTGGCAACATTAAAGTGTGACGACAGAAATGGTACAAAGTGGGCAGTAAGCCATGTTCCCTACTGAATACAAGACGTTTGATGGTGGGAAAAGAATGCTTGGTAGCTGATTCACTGAGAAGCACGCAAAAAACACTCGACATACTCTGTTTAAAGACTACCTGCACGACCTGAAAGTCTATACCATTTGTGACGTTGCACCACTGGAGAGTGCGCGCATCTTCATTTATGGTTTTCTCAATTGCTGTTTTGAATTTGGAGAAAATAAAAAGCATAACGTGAAGACTAAAGGCTCTGTAGTCAGAAGATGCAATTTGTTTGGGTAGCTCAAGAAACGGCCGGAGTACCCTTTTAACAGGCTCCACATTGGTGAGACAGCTGTGCTAGGCTAGACTGGCGCTATTCTAGTACACTGTAGTCATTACTCTACACCATGATGGACATTCTCAGGAGTTTGTAAAAAGGCGTGTCCCAATCACGTGGGGCAGCTGGTGCCACAGTTGTTGATGAATTTTCATATATGTAGATTGTACTGTTATATATGGTGAACTTGTTACTTGCTTTTCTTGCCACAGATTAAAGAGCAGCAAAAATCGCACTCTGGAAGAGATGGTCTCCCTGCTCGCAGCATTGGTTCCTCTTCCAAAACGCTGGGTGGAAAGCAAGTTTTTTTGTTTTGTTTTTACCTCGCAGCGTGTTATGAACTTAAAGACAAGTGAATAGTACCTAAATTTGTGGGTGTTGAGCAACTGTCAGATTTAAAGCACGGCAGAACGTTTCCATGGGGAGCGTTTGTCTGCTATTGTTGCTGACAGTTTTAAAAGTGCAGAGTGTACAGAACAGCTGTCTTGCCTCCAGCACATTTGTTATTTCATTTATGTTCTGGCATTGTATGAGCTCCGAGTGTGTATGTGCAGCCAAGACACTGAGGGATAAAGACGTCGGTGCCTGTGAAAAGCATGAAGATATCAGAAGCTGGTAGGAACTAGGAAACAAACCTTGGATCACTCAGAGACAAGTAAATGTCTCTTCGAACTTCAGAAACAGGAATCTGCTGAATGACTGCCTTGATTTGTTTGTTCATTGCAAGACCTAGAAACAATATCAAGGCCTAGCACTAAAATACTTTTCAAAGAAAAATTTTAACTCGCTTGAGCGGCTATCGATTCTCTAGATCAGTGGTTCTCAAATGGGAATCCATGGACCCTTTGGCGTCTCTGAAGGCCTTCTTGGGGTTCCCGAAGCCCTCGACCATCAATCGAGCCAAGCAATAAACCTTTTTTTTTTTTTAATTATTAGTGCTGGCTGTCCCACAAAGGTAAATAGACCAAACCATATGCACTGAGTGAATAGGGTTGATTATTCTCTGTTTGAAAGCTACAGAGTTGGTTTTCACGTATTTAGTTTTCTTCGCTTTTCCTTTTGTCATTGTAACCACTCAATACTGCCCCCTCCCCTCGGTGGAAGGGGTCCCCGATCACTCCCGCCAATCCAGAAAGGGTCCATAAAACATCAGTGGCTGAGGACCACTCTTCTAGGTTGATGTTACAGTGTATAGAATTTCTGGAATTCAGCATACATAGTGCACCTTTATTCCTCCTGCACAATGTAAACGATGTGTACCAAAAATATTAATTAAAGAGATGGCCCATACACTATCAAACCAGAGCATATTATTGTATGCATATTTTTACAGCTGCCACTGCCAAATGTCTTTCTTTTTTCTATTTTTTAAATTTCACAGATGGCAAAATGTTTTAGTGCACTCACAAAGGCATTTTCTGCAGACTCATTTGCAGTGAGTCTAAAGTTTTTAAAAAGGTGGACGTGATTGCATGTTATTCTACACACCGTATATTGTTCCGAGTCCTGTATTTCTACTGTACTAGCAGATTATGCACAAGACTGACTATGGTATACTGCCTTGACTTTGAATGAATACGACACGGTTTATTGAATTTAACAAAACCGACTTTGTACAACGGCCATTTTTAATTATTGTTCCTGTGCAGAGTGCACATTTTAGTTTTTGCATGCTGTCAAAAGAGTGCCAGTTTTCCGTGAGTGTTTGTTGTGACTGTGAGTGTTTTCTGTGATCGCCGTACAGAAGAACGCTCTCGAGCCGATTTGTCCTGCCCCTGGCCCGTGCCGACACCGACACGGGAAGCTCATCCGGCGGCCTTTCTGGGTGCAGTTCCGATCTGCCGGATGAACTCAAGAATGTGGACCCTAAGATGGTCGAACTCATCCGGAATGAGGCGAGAACATATGCTTATGGAACTCTGTATACTTCAGGCTAATACTACACAGCAAAAGCTCCCATTGTTTCCTAAGACCTGTCCACACATTTACCGCAGTGATGACTGCGACCTGTATCGGTGCTCCTACGCATATGACCCTGCCTTTTCTTGCATACACAAACAACTCTGCGCTGAGTCAGCATTGACAGTAGCACTGGTGCGGGGCTGACTTTGCATTATCTCAGCACTGAGATGCATGCGTGAACTTGCCCTTAAAAGAAGAAAGGCAGCTTAGGATTTGGTTCGGGTCAGATCTGGCACTTCCAGTTTTCTGTATTTATATTTACGCTCGTAGTCGCCAGTGAAAGTGATGATTTTTCTTTCATACGAGTTTAAGTGGCATTTGCTGTCTCGGAAATGGCATTTATGTGTGGCCACGAAGGTTAATATACAGTTCTTTTTTTTTTTTTTGGCACAGATAATGGATCAAGGCCCAAGCGTGCACTGGGACGACATAGCCGGCCTGGAGTTTGCCAAGCAGAGTGTCAAGGAGATGGTGGTCTGGCCCATGCTTCGGCCGTAAGCACCTCTTGACTAGGCGAGGGCACACCTTGGCTTCCAGCATCGTTTGTAGCCAGTGCACGATATGTAGAAAAAATACATGGCTGCAAACTAAGGAGCTTTAGGCTCTACTGCACATAAGAACCTGTTGTACAGTGCAGTCCACTTATAACGATAATGAGAAAACCCAAAAATTCAATCGATTATCGTTGTATCTGGACTAGAAGCGGGGCGTTTCTAGTCTTGAAACTCTAGAAACTGATCGTTATAAGCAGTACATCGTTATATCTGGTATCGTTGTAAGTGGATCGCACTGTAGGAGTTATGTATTGACACTGAAGTTTCGTATATGATAGCATGATACTGACGGCTACATGTGAGTGCTGATGGGCCGAAAGAGATGATACACAGGAACAGAAGGAACAACTGACCGTTGTCTTGAAGCATAGAAGTATATGTCACTCCCTATATTTCACTTTTCCTTCTTTCCTTTCAATTTTTCTAGCTCAAAATTGAGTTACGTTGATAACACTCATTTTACTGTATTGAGGTTGGAACAAGCCAGAGTCCTTCAGGAGGTATCGCAAAGAAGTTCTTGAAACATGTAGTATAATGGTAGTGCCACGTTCTAGCAATATTTCGCAGCAGCATCTCTGGAGAAGTTTATTAATACTACAAAATTCGATCTGGCACTCCAGTGGTTGGAGTAGTCTTTTTTGAACAGCTGTATTGGGTACCAAGTACTAGTAGCCAAAGCAATTTTATCTTTACTTTTTGTTTATTTTCGTTTATTTTCAGAGACATTTTTACAGGTCTGAGACAGCCTCCCAAAGGACTACTCCTGTTTGGACCACCAGGCACAGGCAAGACATTGATTGGTGAGCTCTCCTGTACCATTGTACAGCAAATTTGGTGTCAGGGACTGTTTCTAACATGTCTGTAGGTCCCTTGACTTACAAGGCAGCATTACACTCTATAATTCTTATCAGTGGTGCTATCTTCTGTTCTTAATTACCTTAACAGGAAAATGTATTGCATCTCAAGCTGGAGCCACATTCTTCTGCATCAGTGCCTCATCTCTGACCTCCAAGTGGGTGAGTCTACCTTTGGCAGAGTCCTGCATAGCGGCTCTAAGGCCCGTCACTTTGGTCCTTGTTTGTTTTGGTGCTGTTTTAGTTATTATCTGAAGTCATCAACCAACTTGTCCCAATTTATAGTTCAGTTCCTGTCAAGACGTGCTATTAGGAACTATACCTAATGAAATGAGTACAGTTCTGGAAATTTAACCAATCAATTTTAAAACAATGTAAATTGTTTTTACTTACATTAAATAAGAATCACAGCAAGCGTGACTTCAAGCCGTTGATGGGGAAATCCAATTGCTGCATGAGCATGTGGCATGTGTAGGAAGTGAAACAGCACTCATTGATTGCTTTTTTGTGCGTGGGGAACAAAGTGTCGCAGTGCCGGCAACTGGTGTTGTAAGAAAGCGTACTTTAAGCGATGGATCTCGTATATCTCTCAAAAACGTACTATATCTCTCTGGCAGCCCTGTGTGAGACAATGTAGTGCTTCTCATTAAATTACATTCATACATGGGTTTGGTGTGTACTAGCTCTAACTGATCAACTCTAGCCAGGACTAGAGTAGACTGAAATTCATCATTTCAACTTGACTGGCAGTTCATTGGTTACCTTCTTGAGGTGTATGCTATCCTGCATATGTATTATGTAGCACGGGATTTCATTAGTCACTATTTCATTCTTTCGTTGTGTCAGCTGCTTCTCCTAACCCAAGCTTTCCTCCATCTTTGTATGATGCTCTTGTTGCACCCCCCCCCCCCCTAACCCAACCAACAATAAGGTCTGTGACACTCTATCCGTTTTCTGGCTATGCCTGCACTCCCTGCAAGCTCCATTAGTATTATTCTTTTCTTTTTTGATGTAGATTATGTTTTTTGTTTGCTTGAAAGGGGGTGCAAAGTTGCGAGTCGATATCACAAAAGCTTGGTCACGAAAGTGACATCACCGAAGTGACGTAAGTCAATGTCCGGCCACGTGACGTCACTTCTTCCACTAAATTTAGCAGGGAAACCAAATTTGTCCATAGTTCACGTGACGTCAGGTCATGTAACATCGATTGTTTCGCCAAATTTAGCGGGGAAACGGAATTGGTATATAGGTCACGTGACGTCAGGCCACGTGGCAATAATGTTCCAGCCAAATTTAGCGGAGAAACATAACTGGTATCTAGGTCACGTGATGTTAATTTTCCTGCCAACTTTAGCTGAGAAACTGAATTAGTCTGTAGGTCCCGTGACGTCAGGTCACGTGACTTCACTTCTACCCGAGCCACGGGCATTGACTTCTTGCACACCCACCGTCGTCGTGTGGCACAAGCCTGTGGACGTATCTCCAGTTGCCTCAAACAATATGTCTGGGACGAGTGGGCAACGCACGGCCTCTCATGTGCCGCCCCCCTCTCATTTCTTGTGCCGTCCACATATAGTTCTACGGAAATTTATGCAGCATAGTACACCTAAGCACTAGTGATGGGCCAAACTTTTGCCGAATCTAAAATTTGGTGCCGAATCTTGGGATTCGGCAAAGCCGAAGTTTTGCCTAAGTTTTCTAAAGATTCGGCAAACCTCGACATAAATTTATTGCTGCCAGGCTTAAAAGTTGATACCATTTCGTTTTTTCAAACAAAAAATGTCTTTTTTTTTTTTTTTTTAATGCATATTGACACAGTTGTTACTAAATCAGGTGATATTCTACAAGATAATTGTATCGCCGTCCTTTTTGTGTGTTTACTGGCAATTTTACAATGACTTTTTGCAGAAGTGATGTGACAACGAGGTAGGGTAGCAGTAGCGGGCACTGTCTTGATATGCGGGTTTCAGTTTTGAGGCACCATCAGCGCAAGTCTGCAAGTGCGTACGTTGTTAATTGAAATAAAGGCGGTAACGCTGTGTTCTTACTTTCTCTGGAAGTCACCATTTCGTGCATGTAAATAAACGCAACTGCTACTGAGCCTTTACCTGAAGAGGTAACAATATTATTGTAAAGATGCATGTTTTTTAATTTGAGTCACTTTACACCAGCTTTGCATGAAAGCGTACATCCCATATTCGCAACGTCTCATTTTTAACTTTTAAAATGCCGGTTTCTGATGTTAGGACACGCGCGGACATTTGGAAAGATGGGGAAAGTTAGGAATGTCGGATGTGCAAAGTTGAGGCATTATAGTTTTGTGTTTAGTTTTAAGCGGATAAATGAAAACCGCGAAATAACGCTAATTAAAAAGTAATATTGTTTTGTTTTGGCACAAACTATACTTTTGAGCCGGAAATAGAATTTCTAGCATTGCAAGGAGTGCTTTAAAGTACTTAAGTCAATGTTACAACTACAGTACCTCGTTCCATCACTGGAAAGATCAAATGAAAATCACATTATCCAGAATGCACCACCTCATTTGTCACTTGCGCAGTGGACTGCATCAATTCCTGGTCGATCATCTGCTCTTGGGCAGAAAATATTGAACCACACTCACAAAGGCTGACAAACACACAGTTACCATGTCGCCTACTCCGCACCTCGCCGTAACCGCTGGTAGTACTATGGTACTTACTACGCTGTATGGTGGTTTCCACACGACCGCACGGCATCCATTTGCAATTCATTGCCCCGTTGCGTTCTCGCAAGTCGCACGTGCGCAGACATTTGCTGAATTTTTGTTGAATCTTTGCCAAACTTTCCTTTAAAAGTTCCGCATGTGCCGAACTTTTCTGAATCTGAAGTTCGGCAGATTCAGTCCATCACTACTATGCACCAACCAATTTTTTTTATTTTGCCAAAGAAGTGTGGCAGCTTGTTCAAACTCGTATTGTTCATGATAGTGCTTTGACGAAACTGTTGTGTGGATGAACGATATTGGGAGGTTTCTTTATACTGTGCACGTTTTAGAGTATTCTTCTAATTCTTCTTTCTTGCCTTTAAGACAATCTTCTGTAATAGTATGGTAACCTAGTGCTTTCGAGCCTGGATGTTAATATGATGAAATTAAGCTTGCATTTATGTTGTTCCGAGTCAAAGTGCCAGCCCACAAAGGCGGTTTCTCCTGCAGGTCGGCGAAGGTGAAAAGATGGTGCGAGCACTCTTTGCCGTGGCGAGGGCCTGCCAGCCATCGGTTGTGTTCATCGACGAGATCGACTCGCTCCTTTCCCAGCGGAGCGAATCGGAGCACGAGTCTTCACGCCGGATCAAGACAGAGTTTCTCGTCCAGCTGGTAAGCTGACGCATTGGAAGTGTCTCCAAGAATGGTACCATTCACGGACTTGTCTCGCTTGGCCTCCAGGACGGAGCGAGCACCAAGGCGGACGACAGGCTGCTGATTGTGGGAGCTACAAACAGGCAAGGGACACATAGATTCGAACTAGAAAAACAGTGTGGCTATTTAGAAAATATGAGAAGTTTTGTGTTTGTGTCGCCGCTCAAATGACGTACCAAAGCCAAGGTAGGGGTTCACGAAGAGACTCAAGAAATTACCTTAATGATGCACTCTCAAAACGTCTCTGAGTACACTTTCCTGCAAGACACGGAGACAGCCAGTCGTGGTGATTAATAATCAGCAATTGAGGACGCTTGGAATATGATTTGATCTGAAAAATGCGATGTGCACAGGGACAAGGAAAATGACATTTTCCTTGCCCCTGTGCACATCTGCTCGTATTCCTAGCTTCCTCATTGGCTGAGATCCTTCTATCATTTGTCGTCATTGGTTCTCTCCTTGTTCTGCGGGAAAGTGAACTCGAACCTTTTCTAGAGCATAGTTTCTTTATGGCCAGATGCCTTGAGCTTGGTTCGTAGATTGTGTTTGACTTAAGATGCACTCCATGCTCCCGGCAACCAATATATTTTTCCTAGAGTGTTTGACTGTAGTTGTTATTATTTATTTGGCCATGGTGGGACTTACTTCCCAGGAAGCCAGCACTTCCTATTGTCAACTCGAACCATTGTAGGAAAAAAAAGAGAAACGTTTTGCCTGTGAAGATGTTTTAAAAAAAAATCTAAAAGCAGGATTTGTACCTTGTATATAGTACTCGTGAAATGTGCAGACTCGCAAACTTGTTGTGGTTTTAGAAGCAGTAAGCCAAGCTGGTGTAGAAATTTTTTTCTCATTCACGTAATGCTCTGCCAGTGAGTTAACGAAGGCCACTGGTGCATGTTCCTGCAGGCCGCAAGAGCTGGACGAAGCGGCACGCAGGCGTCTGGCCAAGCGCCTGTACATCCCGCTGCCTGGCGCCCCGGCCCGGCGCCAGATGGTCTCCCGGCTGCTGTGCGGGGTGCGGCACCGGCTGGACCCCTCAGAGGTGGAGGGCGTTGCAGAACGCACCCGGGGGTACTCCGGGGCGGACATGGCCCAGCTGTGCAAGGAGGCCGCCCTGGGACCCATCCGCAGCCTCAGCTTTGACCTGCTCCAGCAGATCACGCCTGACCAGGTGACCGGAGGGCATCATTCTACAGGGTGATTCAGGAGAGGCCAGGCTCTTTAAATCGACCGCAAAATTTTCTTAACCTATCGCACTACGACTTCGTGCAGCGTTGCCCACAGATGGTGCATTTTTTTTTTTGTAAAATTTGCAAAGAGCGAACTTACCTGAGGAAAAAGTAAAGAAAGAAAAAGGCTTAGCTCCTATGGAAACGCAGCGACGCCACCGGTCTTCAAACAACACGGCACCGTTTCGCACAGGAGACAAGAGATGGCGCAAGCGGTTGCGACGCCAACTGCCGCCAACAAACGAACATACGACGCCGAGAGCCGGCGTCTTTAGCAGACGAAGAACTGCAGTTCCTTGTTGTTACCGCGCCTGTTTTTGTTTCTGCGACTGTCGCCGCCTGCGGAACGTGCGCGACTTTTCAGTCGAAAAGATTGTCTGCTAAAGACGCCGGCTCTCAACGCCGTATGCTCGTTTGTTGGCGGCGTTCGTTGCGCCATCTCTTGTCTCCTGTGCGAAACGGCGCCGTGTTGTTTCAAGACTGGTGGCGTCGCTGCATTTCCATAGGAGCTAAGCCTTTTTCTTTCTTTACTTTTTCCTCAGGTAAGTTCGCTCTTTGCAAATTTTACAAAACAAATGCACCATCTGTGGGCAACGCCGCACAAAGTCGTAGCACGATAGGTTAAGAAACCGAATTTTGCGGTCGATTTAAAGAGCCAGGCCTCTCCTTGAATCACCCTGTAGGTAGTGTGCAGCTGGTTAGGTCTCCTGACTAACCGGGGGATTTGTTCATTTTAACCATTGTTATTGGTTATATGAGTGAACGACGACTTTGGGCTACTTTAGTATTTGCCACCCATATGGAAATCAGCAGTGCAGCACGATGCAAAATCCGGTCTCTGCGGGATGTGACGCACATTCTGCAATCCCCATGATGGTGGCTTCATGAATAGACCACACAATGTTTAGTGTTTCTACTTTTGCGTTTATGCAATTTCGGAAAAAAAGGAGTCAGTACTTCGACAAATTTCTTAACATTAGACCACTAGTATATCCTGTGAGAATTTGTGGGAAAATGCTTGCGGAATGACGTGCCATCTGTTCGTTTCCATGCTTTTGTTGACTCTCATTAATTCAAACTCCAGGAAGCCACAAATTTTGTAAAAAAAATTAATCTAAATATGATGCAAGATAAAATTATGATTTGCCATATGAATGGCAACACATACAAAGCAGATATTTGATTTTCTATACATGAGCCTACTGATCATAAACAGGTATGCCACACAAGAAACATTTGTGAAATCTGTGACATTAGTTTATTTATCCCTCAAAAACGTTTATCGTGGACTGTTTAGTGGCACGACAACTCAAAACAAAATTAAGTTTGTTCATCAGGCCAAGAAGTTGTCTAATGTGAACTCTTAAGCAGTTAGGGGACACATGAGTGATGAAAACGGGCACCGTGCGTCAGTCTTCATAGCAACTTGCGCGGATGCTGTGACGTGGACCTATGCCATGCCGCCACGTCAACGCGTCCGCGCAAGTTTATATGGACCTGTTTTCGTAGCTCATGGGCTCATGGTGCCCTGCTCGAGCCCCGTTGAGTACGCTTCTCACCGAATACCGGTACACTGCGGAGAAGCAACACCCGCGGAAGCAAGCTCTGCAGGTGTTTCCTCTCTGCAGTGCACCGGTGTTCGGAAAGAAGCACACTCAACGGGGCCGCAAGAACGTAAGACCATGAATTACACGAAAGCACCGTTCGAATTTAAGCGGCTTATGAATACATTAAAAGATAGAAGGGCAACCAATTTTTTTTTTATTTGTTTGTATTAATTAGAAGTACGAAATATCCGAGTTTGAATTGTTGCGAGCATGCTGTACCTTGGCAAGTGTGCCACATTGGGTTATGAACACATACTTTCAGACTTTGCTGTGGCCCAAGGTAAAACGAGGCATAAGAACTCCGACCGACTTTTTCTTCCCATTGTTGCGCTCTATTTTTCCATACCATTGAGTACTGGCAAACAATGTTGAACTCGGGATTGCTTCAAGGTTCGGCCAGTGGCCTTCGAGGACTTTGAAAAGGCCCTGTGTCAGGTTCGAGCCAGCGTGTCATCCACGGATCTGCATGCCTACGTCGAGTGGAACTCCTTGTACGGCAGCACCGCCGCCCCGGCCGTCTTCGACTAGCAGCGGAACGGAGGCCTATGACACCGGTTCCAGCGTTCCTACGAGAGCCTTCTTAAAGCAACACAATTTTTTTGGTCAGTTTGTACCAATAAAAGCTCTTCCACTCGTACCAGGACACCGCTGAATCTTTGTCCACTCCGACAGTTCGCCCTGCTCCGTTTCACTGCAAAAATTTTCTTCTGGCGGGGCTCAAGCAGTGTGTTTCTGTAGTCACCTACGAGTTAAAAGGGGGGGGGGGGGGGTGCAAAGATTTTCGGACTTCGGTCAAAAATTTGTGGAAGTGGCCCTCTGACACTTCTGCAGTAAAGAACAGAAAACCGATTTCGCCTGCATGTTCTTGTTGTTGTGTAAAAAAAAATAGATAAATATTGGCATCTTCGGCACCCTTCAACTCACTCTCAGTCTTCAGGGTTATACCTGGTCGCACTCCTAGTGACGTAATTCGGGGTGCCGTGTAGGTTCCCGTGCGCTCTCTCGGAGGACTTCCTCTCCCTCTCTCTGCTGACATTAGCGGGCGTTATGCTGCAGCTTAGAGCCGAGCGAGGTCACATAAGCTTTTCGCCGTAGTTCCTTCGACTGCCACTCGCGGCTGCAGGTGGGGGAAAAAACTCGACTTTGGCTTTGCGATTATGCAGCGGAATCGCGACATTTTTTAATGAAGATGTTTTCTCTATCCTCCGGGACATGATAAACAACGTAAAAATGACAAGATGCAAATTCTTTTCATCTTAAAATCGTTACACTCCCCCCCTTTTAAGGATGCGTCAGTAGCTCCGTCTTCTGCATGCATTTTGTTGCATATTGTCACGCTTTGGCTTGGCTTCCTCACATGACCCCTAAGTGTTGCCGAAAGTGGAAATCTTAACTTGTATCTGACCACAGGATGTTTCTTCTGAAACTCGCCAGTTGCGATAACAGTCCTTGTAGGCGCCGGCGGAATGAGAAAGCCGGGGCGCGCCTTTCGGATACCCGGCCCCTGGCAGAAACTCCACGCCTTCCACCGTGCTTTGGCTTCGCGTGCACACTCGAGGGGCACAGGACGCTGAAGCGTTGTCAAGGGCAGGAAGCTCGTACTGGAGGCGGGACAGCCGAAGCTCTTCCTTGCTGTCCTTACCTTGTTAGCAACTCTATAGACCAGCGTCTGCTCTGTTCCATGGTTGCCGCCATGTTTATTTGTGCTGATGCCACGACACAGTAGAGGGGGCTGGGCTTTTTGCAAGACTGTTTTTCTAAGAAAACTTCACACATGCGCTATACTTCGTTTTAGCTTAGGTCTAGATGCTGCAGATGCAACGAGGTAATGGAACTAACCAAGGAGCGTCAAAAGCGCAAGTCACTCTGCCTTTTCTGTTTATGACTGGTTCAGCAATGGTAAAACACGTACAGAAACATGACGAACAGCACGATGGTGTGCTCTTGATGCTTTTCAATTAATCCCGTCAGCTCGTAGCGTCAGCTGCATCTGGACTTTAGGTGGAGCAATGTATAGTGCAAGAATGTAATAAATGCATAGTGCCATAAAAAGCAAAAATCTCGTTTTATGCACAGCCACTCTCTTCACAAGAGCCTGGGCTAAGATTTCGGACACTGGTCTATACGTGGTTCGGTCGATTATGGTCAAAGAGCCAATCAGCGTGCACCTTGCAGCATGTGACCGGCGAGAAAGCCTCGATTTCAGTATTTGGTTGCTTGCTTTTTGCTTTCACTCTGTTTTAATCGACATCTGGGTTGAACTGCTAAGAACAATGTTGTTGAATTATAGACTAGAGGCTCGTCGACGCACTCGCGACTCCTTGCAACTGTGTGACTCAAGACCTCTTGTAATCTCTTGCGATGAGAGAACGCACTGGCACGCTGGCGCCAGCTATGCAATGTCCCTAGAACTGGATTTCACTAGAGCGAAGGTTCTGCGGTATTTGCAAGATCAAACGTATTTACCACCTACATAGTTTTCGAAGCCAAAAACCCAAGAGTGACATGCGAAAAAAATGGGGAATACTCTGCAGAACTGCCAAGCATTCCACGATTGCCCGATAGGTGGCGCCAGTCTTAAGAGCGTTTTAAGGCACACGGTCCTAAGTGGTCGCAAGTATGTGAACAGGCCTTTGTAGTGTAGCTAAAGCTTGACAACAGATGAAAAAAAAATATATATATATATATAAAAAATGGAAGGAAAAAAATGAAATGGAAGAAACGGGACCAATTAGAAAAATCATTTGCAGTATTTTTTTTAATTTAAGTTGTCCTGTATTCATACCCACAAATCTTGGCAGTGTAGTTTTCCTCGCATTCCTTTATGCATTTTTTACACGGACGACCAATGCACATTTTGTCCAGATACAAATGCTTTAGGGAACGAGATAAATTGAACCTATGGCGGTGACTAACAATGCGCCAATATTTTTCTGCGAGATGCATAGTTTTCGCAGTAGTAGAAAAGTATGGAACTGACCTTCCCTTTCCTTGCTGCATATAGTCTACAGAATATTTCCAGACAAAAAGTGGGCCGCGACCAGGCTTGTACTGTATTCATTATATTAATCAAATGACTTGTAATCGGGAATCACTCAATTACTTTTGGTAATCTGATGACGTTTTGAAGTGACTAAATTACTCGTAACCATTACTATTTTTTCTTACTCCCTCATCTTCGGTTTACAGGTTTACAAATCCTTAGTCACATTTCGGGCAAAAAATGCTGCGATAAGTTTGCCTTATCGGCTTCTAAGTCTCGCGAACAAAGGATAGAACAGTTGCTCTCAAGCTGTACAAAAGGAGGCCAGACTCTTTGTCTGGACAGTGTAGTACACCGAGGGTTTCAAACACATGACTCACTGGGACGTGGCTTGTGGGCAACCTGCTGCAAGCCCCCGTTTCCATGTCTCGAGCACCGCAACGATCTCGTGCTGCCGATTCATTTCCGCTCAAAACGTAACTCTGCTCTTATGACATATGATATTCACATAATACTGTTCTTTTTACATTTGCCTTGCATTTAATCTTAATTTCGGCTTCCCAGCTTTTTGTTGTGTTAATCACCTGTTTGACAATTTTGCTACTAGGCTGCAAGCGCGAGCTTGTCGCTCAGACGCACGTCGGCTGCACAAACTCTCGCACCACAAAAGCAACTGCCAAAGATAAAGCTACGAGCTTGGGATTCTCGCCTCGGAAAATATCACCATTCAAATACAAGGTGGTCTCTCGCACTGCTGCTATAAAGATCGCCGGGAAAACAAAAACTGTCACATGAAGAGATCTTTTTTTTTTCTTTTTGCTCGAGTAATATTTAAGAAAATGACAACACATTGGCAGGTGGTGCCATTTTAATTCTTGTTACTGCATCAAGTAAGGACGTAAAGAAGTCCTATAAACAAATCAAAGCTAATGATGCTACTGGCAAAACTGGGAGTTTAAAAAAATTCGGCAGAGACACTTAATATTGCTTACATGTAGGAATGTGAAAGCATTCCTACAAGCAGTGCACCATGTCTTCCTACACGCCGCTCTGGTGGCGACATCACGCTGCCCCACTGTGCAGGTGCGGCAAACCCTGCCGGCTTCACGACGACTTCTGTGACGAAGCATTGCGTTGCTGTGCTTTGGGTTTTATTTCTGAAACTCGCTGGCTTCCATGACGAAGCATCTACGTTGCTGTGCTTTTTTTTGTGTGTGTTGGGAATGGGCCATGGGAACATAGGTGCCGCTTTGCTCAGCCAATGGGAATTTAGGTGCCGCTTCGCTCAGCCAAGGAGAATTTAGGTGCCATTTTTAGCCGGCTTCGCTCAATGAGACCCCATTTAATGCTTTCGCATTAAAAAGCAGAAAGCACGAGGCTTCTTTATGGAATCTCTTGACCCCCGCTCCCTTTTATGTTGGCCCTGGACCTTTTGGAGGTGGGCTCTCTGGGCCCCACATTCAAATCGGCTAGTACAGTGGTTTGTTGGGTTTCAAGTTGGGACTGTAGTCCGAGTTACCTACAAAAGCCTTTTGTGGAAAGTTTGATGCTTAATGTAGTATGTGCCACCAGGGCCGTACCCAGAAAAAAATTTCGGGGGGGGGGTTTTTGGGGACAACGGCGGCCATTTTGAAAGTGTTTATTGTCTTATTTTCGCCTATGAATCATGTGCATCGGTGGCATATAATGGAGAGTTACAGCAAACCGGAGAACCGGTCCCGGTTTGGTACCCGGTAGCCGACCGGCGCCACTGCGCGTGCGCAGAGGTGGAGATTAAAATCGGCTGGCTGCCAGTGCACCGACCAGGGCCGTACCCAGAAAAAAATTTCGGGGGGGGGTCAAAACCCCCTATCCCCCCCCCCTGGTTACGGCCCTGTGTGCCACTTTAAAAACTGTTCAAACAATCCACCCATTCCCTTTAGAAAAAAAAAAAAATTTAAGTTCGGCTCAAACTTTTTAAAGCACCTCTACACTCTGACGCCCACAATATAAATAAAAAAAACAGGATGTCAAAACTTGGGTGTGACCGAAAAATATGAGCTCTGCAACTTGCAAAATAAGCGGTTTACATTCCATAAGAATTGGAAAGATTAGTTTGTAATTTGTTGATTCTAAATAAACTGAATGTTCTCTATGCTTTCAGCTAAAGCAGTGTCCCTAAATCATTTTTTTTTCTTCTCAATATTATGTCACGAGTACCGTAGCCACATTAATTGCGGCTCAAAGTTTGGTTTCGGGCATCTATGGCAAAACAAATTATCTCCTGGAGGGATGGCAACATCAGCTGTAAGGCCCCGACGTGACGTCACCGTGGTGCTGCAGCATGCAGTACAACTAAGGGGGATCGGTGGCCGAGTGGGCTAGCGCACACCAGCTCTGAGCACGTGGAGCAAAAGCTTGTCCTGCAGAACCCAGGGATCCTGGGCTCAATCCCCACCTGTTTGTTTCGATCTGGATGAGTATCGTACCGGCGTGCGGTCGTGCATCACTACTGCGTGGTGCACGTTAAAGACCCCAGGCTAGCGGTTGTACTGCACTGGCTAAATTTCTCATCTACAGCTGGGAGACTCGTCGCTCGTTGAGGCAGACCAAGTTCTAGGCTGCATAAGCATACACACAGTCCAATTATTATTATTGCAGTAAGACTAACATTGGGTACAACCAATCTCCACCGCAATGCGACGTAAGAGCTAGCTAACCCGCTCACCGCCTGCTAAAGAGCAGCTGATCGCATCCCTAAATTTTTTAATTTTTTTTAATGGGGATTAGTGGTTGAGTGAGCTAGTGCACACCAGCTCGGAGCACGTGGAACGAAAGCTTGCGCTGCAGAACCCAGGGATACTGGATTCAATTCCCACCCTGCCCCGTTTCGATCTGGATGAGCATCGTACCAGCGTGCGAACGCGTATCACTACTGCGGGGTGCACGTTAAAGACTACAGGTTAGTGGTTTGTACCGCACTAGCTAAATTTCTCATCTACAGCTGGGAGACAAGTCGCCCGTAGAGACAAAGTTCTAGGCAGTATAAACATACACAACACCTTTTATTTTTTAATTGGTTTTATAATATTTATAAAACTGATTTTTGGCTGTGATCATATTCCGTGCCACTAAAGCAATACCAGTCATTTATTCTGGTTTCGTTTCCAACCAGAGTTGCCCTTTAAAAAAAAAAAAAAAGAATTATTTAAAAAAAAATGAAAGAAAAAAAAAAAAGAGTTGGAAGTGAATTTTAGCGTATTTTTGTTCTGTGAACTTGCACATTGCAAGCCTTTGACCCGAATGTACCAAAGGACGTAAATAAAGCTGAAAAACCAACCGCTGAGTGCAACGTCATACCCAGAGGCTTCAGCTGCCTTGCATGTGCGGCTTGTGAGGGAATGTGTGCAGGGCTTTTGACTGCTCAGGTAAGGCTAGCGCAAGACAGGAATGTTGAGATCTTTGTGTAACATGTCACGATTCCCTCCTCACACCAAACGCGATGTAAAGGAGGGGCTTCAGAGCTACTTTGAAAGCGCTGTTGTGGCTACCTGGCACATCAATCTGAAATATAATTTTGATATTCGTAATCCTGGAGGCCAAATAGAGACAATTTAAGTACTTTTTCCTCATATACAGAACCACGTCAGTTTCCCTTCAAATAATCGAGCAATCTATTTGAATACTTTCTAACCAGGAGTAATTATAATCGATAAAATTTTTTTTTTTTGGTAATGACCGGCGTCGGCCAAGAATAAACGAGTGGACATGCACTCTACTTCGAAATGACAGACAAATGTGCCTTGGTGCAGATTCTTTTATGTATTCCACATATGGGAACTCGGAACAAAAGTACTGGGGTTGCCAAGTACTCGTGGCAAAAAAGAAATGAAAAATGGATTACCACAAATTATTCCAATAGAAGGGAGAATTGCAACACTGTTGAGAATCACCAACAAGCTCCAAGTTAACACTGTACACACATGACATTGAAGCAAGGTGACAAATGCTTGAGACACTGAGAGCCCGTCGTCCATAAATGAGACTTCTTCGCACAGCCGTCAATGAAGTGTGCTCAGAGTCGTATTTGAACAAAATTATGGCATAATAGAAGACCCTAACACAACACTATTCATACACTTTCCGAACAAAGCAAGCCGTGGAAACGCCAAAGCTCGTACATAAACAACATCCGACACAATGACCGCAGACATAACCTTGTTACAAGGCAACTACCATCGGGAAACCAAGCATTCACAAACCTTTTAGAGGCCAGACATAACAAGCAACTATGTGGAAATTATTGACAAAAATTCTAAACCCCACTTCTAGAAATGTGGAACATTTAACCCTGGTGCTATTCAAGAAAATTAACGACCAGAATGTATCACCCTTGCTCGCTGTGAAATAAATCACCTACATTTCATCACGCATCACGACTGTTGCACACCCAATGCAAGACTAGACGTTTCTTAAAAGGAACATTGAAAAATAAACTGGAAGCATTAATGAGAAACGAAGGTGCGGGTTGCTATAAATGCTAGAGGCAACCAAATTAAGTACTCATTTCCCGGCAAGACGAACTAGATCCAACTCTTTCAAACACCGTCACAAATCAAGACTCGCACGGTTACCTTTCCCTGCACAGTAGAAACCCTCGACCCGGGAATAAGAATATAGTATACCGGTTATACAATAAGGCACAGAAACCGTCACACATTTCTGTGGCTCGGTGGATCTACAGGAACTGGTGGTACACTCGACACGGCCGACTATACACATGGTGCACCCAAACAGCTCAAAGCGACACGAAAATCAAGTCGAAATTCCAACGCACAAATTTGCATTTGAAAACACTTTCAATCGGAAGAAAGACTTTATGCAGTGGTGCTCTTCAAAAGCTGCACCAGGACTTGTAAAAATACTTCTTTATGCAGCCACCAGTTTTTAAACCACAACAATTAACAAGTTTCATAGCTTAATAGCGCACAAAATGAACAATTAGGATGGTATAAATAGCAAATTTCATTAGAGTAGCAGGAAATCCTCGTAAGTAGCCGTTAAATTGATATAAATTTGCGCTGTTTCCATTAACAATCCTAATAAATATTACGAGTGAATTATCACACATTTCGTAGAAAAATTTAAATGTTACCAAATGCGCATCCACTATCGACGTCATCTCTTGGTATAACAAGCACGCCAATAAGCTACAACGCTTGTATGGGGGAGAGTTTGTAGCTGTCGCACAAACAGTGTAGAGTACTTGCGAGGCAACAATACAGGAAAAAAATGCCAAGACCCGTCGGTCCGACACCTCCGTATGGCAGAAACGGCTCCATCTCATCACAGCTTTCGATCGCGACACCTCCAAACCTCGTAAAATAGATCCTTCGGGCGCTTGTTGAGAATAAAAGATTTCAGTGCTTAGTTAAAAAACTTGTGTGCACGAAAAATGAAAAGTAATAATAAAGGCTACAGGATGTATATGCAGATCTACAGGGCAGGCTATGCCAGGCAGCCCTCTAATAACGTCCTCAAGGTCTCGTAACGAAGGTTACAGATCTGCGAAAAGAGCCGCGGATCCTGCAAACAGCCACGCGTGAACATAGAGGAGCGAAGGCTATCTTAGAGGGGACTACATTGATGCACACTGACATCTAAACACGACGGAGCACAGGTAGACTCTTTCACTGCAACTACTACATCCAAGGTGTGCCACGTCGGCTTGAGATTAGAAATCCGGCAAAAAGAAAAGTACCAATTCCTCCCGGATCACAGGACCTCTGCAAGTAAATCTTGACTACACAAGTCCCGAGAGCAGTAGGGCCTCCAAGTACTCTCGGCCAACTTTAAGCACAAAAAAAAAAGGGTGAACCCCCGTGTCGCCGACAAACAGAAAAACATTCCAGTCTAATTGCGTGGATCTAGCCAACTATACATTCTCTACATCTTCACATACCGAAAGAAAATCTCTTTGCTAGCTCCACTAGCCCCATGCCGGGAGGAGGTCACAATTCTAATTTCTGGGCAAACTGTAGTTGGCGACGTCTGCTTCGTACGCGGCTAGGACCGCCAATTGACACCTACTCCGCAGAGCGAGAGACGCCGCAGACACCAGTTTGCGACCCTCGTCCGCCGAGAGAGAAAACAAAAAAACCTTTGGGTTGTCGACTGGATCAAACTAAACTTTGGACAAGCAATCGATGAAGCTCCACTCCCTCCCCGGAAAAAGGCAACCCCCTAGGCGTGCCCGTTGGGTGTGAAGTTGACGAAAGGCAAGGGCGGCTTTTCCCCTTTGAAGGACAAGCAGTACATGGAGTAGTTGGGGTCGCTCGTCACGTCCTTGCTGATGTCCAGGAACGAGGGCAGCTGGCCCTTTAGCTCGGCAGAGCCGTGAGCCGTGTACGTCTCCAGCAGGATCAGGCCTTCGCACCTGTTGCGCGGGTGGGGAAAACGGGTGTCCCGTGAACTTCCCGTCCTCTGGGCTGAAGCAAAGCCTCCAAGCCGGTCCACACATTTGCATGTGACCGAGCGTGCAGAGCTCGCTTGTGACCACCTACGACGGGAGAACATGCTGGCAGAGTGGCGCCACCTATCGAGTACCCCTGAAACACCTGCAACCTGCGTAAACTAGGGAAGTTTTTGCAGTAGGTATTTGAGCTAAAATTAACGTACCACATACGAACAAAGGTATCTTTTAACGACGACAAAATTATTTATGCACGAGATGTATGAAGATAGGAAGTGTCCCGGGCGGGCTTCTCGATAGACGGCAAGGTTGGTGGGGCTACCTCCTCGTAAACTGCATCTCAAGACATAAAAATAGCGCTAATTTGTTTTATTTCCTTTTTTTGTGTGTGTAAAATAAATGTATTATCTAAATACTTAAAAAAAAAAAAGTTTAGTTTTTTCATTGAAGTGTTTCTTTTCAGTCGGACAGATCGCAGCACTAAGCAGTGCATCGTGAGTGGCTGACCTGGAGTGGCAGGGCTTCTTATAGATGTCCATCTGGAAGTACATGTTGCCCCAGAGGAAGCAGCGACGGAGCTTGTACACCGTGTAGTGGGAATCGTCACGCTGCGCCAGCATGTTCTGCAACCAATGGCGCGCACAATCAGATCAACTGCGGAGGAGGAACAATTGGATTTCTTTCTGCCTACACAAAGCTCTGCAGGCCAACCCATTCCAAACCAATTGCATCTCATACTTAATCCTTCATCCTTTGTAAAAACAGCAAATGACCCAAACAGTCTACTGTCCAACAACTGTAAACGACTTTACTTTTATGGATTTGATATTCTGCAAAGTGCGGGTTTTGAGAATACAATTAGTGGGCACAAAATTTTGCGATTGGGAGTGGTACATGCCGCATACTCGTTAACGAGGGCGATGTATTCGAGTAATAAATTTTTGGCGATGTTCAAATTGCCTAATCTAAGTCCTCCCAAAAGCTAAGTTGTTTACAGTATGCCCATGTGGAAAACAGACGTCTCTCTGCGCAAAACTTGCGCACAACATGCCTCCCAACAATTCCCGAGCAAGCAACCACTCAAAATTTTGACATAATCGTGTAAAACTGGGAGAAATAGGCACTCCTTAGGTCAACAATAAGTGAACACATGTCCTTCGTGTATTTTTCAAATGTTACAAAAAACTGAGGGGTGGGCGCTTGTTGTGGAATAGCTGGATGGATGCTCGGTTCTTTAGGTTATGTGCAAAACAACTCAAAATACAAAGTGTTTTTTTTTTTTAAGGTTTCACAGATTTGTTATAAGAAAGCCGTAAAAGCTACACTAATGTAGTCTGCGCAGGCTAGTTCCGGGGGGCATAATATAGGGGGCTAATCGTCACAATAAGTCAGATAACTAAAATTTGTCAATTAACTTTTTAATTAGTAAAATGTTTCGATTGTAAACATGCTGAACGTCGTCGAAAACCACTAAATAAATCAATTGTAGAAAAATTTGGGGTGCGTGGGAAGGGCAGTGGTATGCTAAAGTTGCTATGCGTGTGGGAGGCACGATGCTGGCGATGCGAAAACATGGATAAAGAGCAGAAAAACTGAACGAGCGCCTTTCCGCACTAGCCGTGTGCCTATTGCAAGAGTGGAAACTAGCGAACCACTGTATTTGCCACGCACCACGAATCTTTTTTTAAATTATTTAGTCCTTTTCGATGATGCCCATCAAGTTTCTGATGGGATCCATATCTACATCTACAATTGTAGTTCAAAAGTTATTGTGAAGATGAACACCCCCTATATTATGTCCCCTTGGCTGTATAACTCACCTTCATAGTCTTTTAAGAGCAAATCTGTAAACCCTTAAAAGAAAAAAAAAAAATATCATGGAAGCGTTCGACGTCCGGGGGTGGTGTGTATAAGGCGTAAAGGCAATAAAGTTTTTAGCTGAGTTTGAGACGTTGTCTGTCCCTTTTTCTTCCTACCTCACGAGTTTCCATTTTTCAAACCCCAGTCTCAGGTTGCACTTTAACCGTTTTTTCATTGATCATACCCGAAGCAGGACTAGTTAGTACCTTTCTCTCATATATACTCTCTCCCGTCGTCATCATCATCGCTGCTTGTTTGTCAAGCGTATGTGGCGCTGGAAAGGTTGGGACTGCGACTGGCAGAGCTGGAAGCAGATATAGCCTGTTTCGGGCTTTCTCTTCGCAAGAACTTCATTAATCCGCTGCTTTTCAAGCATCCAGGCAACCTCCCATGGAGAACGAAAAAAAGAATCCTCAGGACATACAGAGAGGGAGCGACCAAGAGAATCCACAAACTCCGGAGTGCGTGCGGTAGACTGTGGGACATCCTCCTGGGCAAGGAATTCAGGACAAGCAAGGAATATCGACACTGGGACAATGTCAAGAAGGTGCAGTACAACCAGATTTGGTATGTGAAAAGATTGCATGTTTTGAGCTCGATCAAGATGATGAAACTACGGAATGTGACTGTGCCCGACGTTTGGATGTGTGGCCAGGTTGAGTCAGAGTATCAACCAAGTGCAGTGAACCCTTGTAAAGAACCGATTTCGGAAAGAACAGAAGCAATCCTGGAAAAAGGTCCCAAGTTTTGTATGAATGTAAAGCCTTCAAGACTGGATCTGTTTCCCGTGGTTCAGACAGTTGCACGGTATGTGATTCACGATGAGTGAGTTTCATTTGTCGATCAAACTGTAGGGAGATTAGGAAAGGTTATGGGGGACGCATACCTGTCGGAGAGGAGGAATTTCAAAGATGTAAACATGGTGAAGAAGGAGCTGAAATCAAAGTCTTTGAAACTCCTTCAAACGGATAAGTCCGGACGGTTAGCTGTGATCCCGGAGCAGGTATTCCAGAGAAAGACAGACACTGCTTTGGGGTCGTCGTTCAGGGAATGGAAAGGAAACTTAGCAAAGTTAAGGAGAGACATTTGTAACGAACTGAAAGATGAGGAAAAGGAAAGTGTATTGAAGAGCATCATGGCCCAATCCAAGACCATGTTTGAAATTCTTTTTAAAAGACCACAAGGTTGACATGCCTCTCCGAGTTGTTATAAATGAAATTGGCACTTGGCAGAAGTTCGCCTCTTCTTTTCTCCAACGTGGGTTAGGGCTAATCTCCTTGGATCATTCTCTATCCTTAAAGGGGCCCTGCAATCATATTTAAGCGTTTTATCTCAACACCCTAGACAGAGTTGTGGTTGAGAAGATGAGAGAGTTGCCCCCAGATGTAGGTTTTGTCCGAAGATATGTAGACAATATAATTGTGTGCACTTTTCAAGATAACCTTTCAGATACTCTACAAAATGTAACAAGTTCAGCAGCCCCAGAGCTGCGTTTCACTGTGGAAAAGCCAGAGGACAATGTCATTCAATTTCTGGATTTACGCATTCATGTGGGCAGTGAGCTGTGCTGGGAATATGGGAAGCAGGTGCCAAAACCCGTCCTATCGAAGCAGAGTTGTCATTCTAAAATTGTAAAGGCAGGGGTAGTGAAGTCTCTGACCCAGAACACTCTACAAAGGTCATGCATTCATTATATGGAGCAGTCTTTAAAAAGACAATGGGGAAGACTGGAGAGGGCCGGCTATCAAGAGTCCTTCATGAAACGGCAGCTTGCTCTACAGATCAAAGATAAGCAAGATAAGCGGAGTGTCAAGAACCAACGGGCTGCCCTGCCCCTGCCCCCCCCCCCCCATTCCATATTTTCACGCCACTTCACATAACTTGAAGTCATGTGCAGAGAGATTTGGGGTTAACACTGTTTTGACGTGATTTCAAATTAGCTAAACTGACTTCTTTTGAGGCAGGACAAAGAGAATGTAAAAAAATGCATTGCGACAGATCTGTTCCATGTGCCAGTGGAGTAGTGTATAAAATTCCTTTGGAATGCAGCTTTAAATATGTTGGTCAGGCTGCAAGGTGCATTAACGATAGAAACGAAATGTGCGGATTAACGCTTCAAACTTTGAACTCTGAGCATCTCCAGGAGTGTAATGCATGCACAGCGAACTGGTCAGAGACAGAAATCGTACACAAAGAGCGTGAGGAGATAAGACGTGTTGTGCGAGAAACTGTTCGCATAAAAACATAGGGAAATTGCATTAGCCAAGCGTTGCTGCAAATTGGAAGTGTGTCAAAAAAGTTTCTTCGACTGTAAAGACCTAGTGTGGGGTGAACGTAAAAGGGGAGGAGGCTGCTTCGCAGTTGTTTGCATTGTTGGGTTCGGGATCGTAATGGGGGGCATTGTTGGTGACTGTCTGTGATTCATTGTTCAGTTCAAGGGGAAAGGGGGTAATTTAGAGACAATCTTTTTGTGTTTCCAGGTGCTGGTGTTACATCGTCCGTGTTGAAGTCCTTTCGGGTGCGGTGGTGATGACCTTGTGTTTCTGTTTGTATAACGCCTTGTTTTTTTTATGTATTGGTTGCGGTTTGGTGTTTTGTCATTCTGGTGTATTGTTTGTAGTTCAGTGATCAACTGTTGTGGTGGTGGCGACGTTCGACGTCCAGGGGAGGTGTATATAAGGCGTAGAGGCAATAAAGTTTTTAGCCGAATTTGAGACGTTGTCTGTCCCTTTTTCTTCCTACTTCGCGAGTTTCCGTTTTTGAAACCACAGTCTCAGGTTTTCAATCATTATGTATGCATGGAAGCAACTTTTTTTGTGTGGGCTGTGTGAAATTCATCCGCGGTATTTAACACACACAATGTAAAAAGGCAAGTGCTGACAGGTCTGCAATAGACGTTTTTGAAACAAGAAATCTTGGGTCGTGTTTCCTTTTTTTTTTTTTCATTTTACATAGGATGTTTTGCATGAAGTTTTACAGTAAAATCTTGTTCTAAAGGGAAGTCTAACAAACAAAACCTTCACTATACCGATACCTCACACACGACCCGGTACATCATCACAACATGATAAAGATCAACGCAATACTGTGGGATGGCAAGTGTATTTGGGTTCTTCCAGATATGCCAATTAAATCCGTGGTTCATGCCACCTTGAGAATTCTTAGTAGTGTTTGTCTACATCTACTTCCACTTGTCTCTAAGCGCAACAGTGTATCTACCGTACTTATGACTCGGAATTGTCAAACTTTCTCAGTTATTCACTGAATTATTGAGAGTTTGGAAAAGAAAGAATATAGTACTATCTAGAACCCTAAATAATGATGACAATGTTGCGAGATTGTGATCTCCTGTGAGAACAAGGCTTATGCTAAAGCTTTCACTGGCACTTATATGACTTACTATGAAACCAAACCTGCAGTTGAGTTAACCATACTGTTACTGGTCAGATGTGTTAACCACTATACAACCCCACCTTGCTTTTTGGCATTTTCTATTTAGCTTACGAATGCACCCAAACCAAAGGTATCCCAAAAGAGGTTATCTGGAGGCACATGACGCCGCGCGTAATGCAGTACAACATTTCTGGCAGATGGTACATGCTTTGTGCACTCCAGAGACCCTCCCACTGATGATGATGATATTTAAATATTTATTGGCACAAATGCACCCATTTGTTTTGCTATGTATACAGGCATGCCTTCTTATAGAACTATGAATACACAAAAAAATGTGCACTCACATCTTCAGAAAAATGTGAGTCAACAAAAGCATTTCCTCAACATTTCTAAGGGTTTTGTTGAAATTTCGTTACACTTTTCGTTTTTCCAGGTTGGTTAATATCACTAAAACTCCCCAGGTGTTCTTTGTTGGAAGGAAGCCCACTGCATTGCCAAAGCGGGTGTGCATCTTCGAAGGGCCGAAACCGAACCCGGAAGGAAGAACCCACTCACAATGTAGTCCCTGTGGGTGATCTGGCGCCTCAGCTCGATCACCTGGCTGTTGACGTCGCATTTCCGTTGGGTGTGCATGTAGCTCCAGTAGTCTGGACAGAAGGGTACACAATGCACTTTCGAGCGAATTCCTCTGTGCTAACTAAAGCCAATTAAATAAAAAAACAAAAGCTTTCGCTAGTTATTAGTAGGGTTTCGTGTTTTCAGCAAATACCGATAAACCCCGAAAATTAACTCCCAAACCAATTTGATAAAATCGGAGAAAAACTAACAACAGAATTCAAGCTGTTCTTAAATAAGATAAACACAAGCTTCACGGGAAGAAGATCTTCATTCACAGCTTTATTTCGTTTTGACCTGGGGCACGCACGCCCCCCCCCCCCCCCCCCCCCCTTAATAAACTGTCCACGAGGCTCCTTTCTTCGCAATCACGCGTCTCATCTCGTTTCTTTCTCTTGTCGGTATGAGGACGCTTTCCTAGCATATTCAAATCGCAGTTCTTTTCGTGGGGGTTGGGGAATCCCAAGCCCTATTTTACTCGACACGAGCTCTGATAGACCCCCGATTTGCTGTCCGATGGAAAAAAAAAATACGATACTGAAAAGCTACGAATCTGTGGAAAAAAATAAACCCCGGAGAAAAAAAACAACGAAGAAAACCCCCGACTTTGAGAAAAAAATAAACCCAGAAAACGTAGAACCCTAGTTATTGGCATTTAGAATATACTTGTTTCAATTTTGGTGTTGCAGCACCATCAGCACATCTGAAGGAGCTATTTTCTTTTTAGAGAGAGCAGCGAGAGACAAGTTAAGGACAACAAATAATTTGTTCTAACTTGTAAAGTGTCCTGTGAAGCACTGTGAAAGGCATGGGCATAATAAGTACTACTTTGACTCTGAAAGTGTTTATGTAATGCAAGTTCTTCTGCAAGCAGAACTTTCTGCAAAGCTATGCTCTCGCACCCATGCACTTGATAGCACTGCACACAATTTGTGAATTAGAATATAACTTAGTTTCTGACAAAATCGACTCAGACAGCGTCATCAAACTATGTTTCTACGATGATATTAAATTTGCCACTCTCTATCCCACTGCGCCATCACAGGCAACCTATTTAAATGTTTAAGGGGACACACCCCTAGGATGGTTAACTTTTGAATCCTTGTCTTAAAATTAATGAAATTTACAGGGTAGGCTGGTGGTCATGCTAGACGGTGTATAACAAAACTTCAGAACTGTCGGTTATATGAGAAGGAAATTAGAGTAGCTTCTATGAGCAACACGCCTGCATCGGTTAGGTTATCTATCGTCAAAAAACTATCATAATAATAAAGATTTTTATTTGCTAGATATGTATCAGAATGCCTAGAGGGTGCGGCTATGGAACGTTTTTTCTAACAAGTCATTTATTTCTATAACTCTTCTCTTCTGCGAAATTGGTCAACATTTTGGTCTTCTGTGTCTTCAACAAGATGTTCACATTTTTTATAAAAGAAATCTGTAAAGTGACAAAAAAGTTCCATAGCCGTATTCCTTATTAAATTTCAATCAGGAAAAGTGAAGAACGAGCCTTCCCTGCATTGCCACTATCAAACGATAGATTGACTAAAATGGAATTTATACCAAAAAATGGAACAGAAAAAAAATGTGTTCAAAGTACTCCAAACCCTACCTTTTCTTTAGCTTTGGTGGACAGAAAAAAATTTATAAAAAATTAACTATGCAGTGTAAATTAATTAAACCTTTTGGGGATACTCTCTAGATGTTGGTGGATGTAAATATGTCATTTTTCAAAATCAACTCTTTTTTTGCAGAAATTATTTTTTTCTGGGCAGTGTCTCCCCTTAAGATTTATGTTTATCAATTAGCATAAACTTTCCCATCTTCTCTCTAGCTTGTTAATCGCTTTAGTGCAGTAATGTACCTAGTGCTTGACCAGATAGTACAGAGGTATATTGCAAAAACTATAAAATTATTCATCCAGACTTCATTTTTCCATCTGCTTCAAGCATCTAGTTAGCTCATTTTAATGTTAAAGGGGGGGTGCAACGATTTTAAGATTAAAAGAATTTGCATCTTGTCATTTTTACGTTGTTTATCATGTCCCGGAGGATAGAGAAAACATCTTCATTAAAAAATGTTGCGATTCCGCTGCATAGTCGCAAAGAAAAGTAGTGTTTTTTCCCCCACCTGCAGCCGCGAGTGGCAGCCGAAAGAACTACGTCGGAAAGATTACGTGACCTCGGTCTGCTCTAAGCTGCAGCATAACGCCCACTAATGTCAGCAGAGAGAGGCAGAGGAAGCGTCCTCCGAGAGAGCACGCGGGAAGCTACACGGCACCCCGAATGACATCACCAGGAGGGGGACCAGGTGTGACCCTGAAGACTGGGAGTGAGTTGAGGGGTGCCAGAAATGCCAATATTTATCTTTTTTTTTTTTTTACACAACAACTAGGACATGCAGGCGAAATCTGTTTTCTGTACTTTATAAGTGTCAGAGGGCAACTTCCACAAATGTTTGACTGAAGTCCAGAAATCGTTGCACCCCCCTTTAATAAACCCTGTTTGAACCTCTGCTTATGAAACACTGACGACCAAAGTGGTGGGCACAACCATCCAAACGACTACTTTTTTACTTTTTGCAATGAAGTACCATAATGCCTCAATAGTACATAAATAAGAACAGTTCCAATCAATCAGTAGCACATAGAAAAGCCAGTCTTGCTTTAAAGCAACATTGAAAAGGAATTCAAGAATTAGGCCATGCAAGTTTTATGAAAAGTACCATGCGAGTACCATGCCAGTTTTATGAAAAGAATTGTGCTCGGGCATGAAGAAGTGGCATCAAAGATATTTTCGGGGGCAATCCATTTTTGGGACATGCATAGCTGGAACGGCGTACACAACACGGCAGTCGACACAACACAAACCGAGAAGAGGCAAAGCTCGAGCACTCACTGTTCTGGCCCCGCTTGCGAAGACGAGACTGAGCCTTGGGATTTGGAGTGATCAGGTAATCATGCACCACCTCGAAGTCTTGGTAGGGAGGAAATGCCTGGATGGGCACAAGAAAAGCAATCGCATACTTTGTCAGCTACTCTAATGCTGGTAGGCCAGAAACGAAATGAAGTTTTGGAGGGCCCCAGCAAGTGACTGTAAAGTTCATTACTTTTTCACCAAGTCTATTCACTGTGACGAAATATAAACCTGTCGTGACGCACTACTGAGAGCGCACTACATTACCTCCATTTCATGCCATGTACACCCTGCAAAAGCTCTCCTATAATCTGCCTTCACACCATACAAGATTCATTGAAGACCGCAGTAATATTCAGCGCTTAGTGAAGATACAAGTGCTTACTTTGTTTAGGTTAATTATATTTGTTTTCTTAACCATGCAATGCAAGAGCACCAGCGTTATTGCTAAGCTCCTTCTCGCTAGCGTTTTGTCTCTTCTCCTCGGCACAACAGTTTCTAAAATAAGAGAGCTCGAGTTCAAGAAACTTGGATAACCTGGGGATCCTTAACGCGCAACCAAAAAACGAGTCACGCAGCCCTTCGTCATAATAAGCCTCCGTCCAACTGTGGGTGCCTCGACCAAGATTAGAAACCACAACCTTGGTAACCGTAGGGCCAATGCTTTGACCTTGAGAACCCAGGTCGCCCAGTACGAACAGAAAGCGAGCCGAATATTTCGAGTCTTGAAATGCGCAGTACTCACGCTGTCCGGGGGTAACGAGCTGACGAGGAACTTGACCTTGCGACTGTTGAGTGCCAACCGGTCTCCGGTGTCGACACCAATTCGGCGGCAGACGCTCTACAGCATAGAAATGGGAATGTACTCGTTGAAAAGGCTCGGAACTTTCAAAAAGGCATTACAAGAGAAATCGCCAGCGACCTTCGTCTCAAGAGTCCTATAATGTCTGAAATGCCGTATTTAGAAAGAGATAGTTCAAACTTGCTTAGAAGGCATGAAACGGTCGTTTCGGAAAATGAAGAAAAACCTATATTTTTATCAATTTCCCCGCTAAGTTTATCAGGGAAACTAAATTGGGGGGTGGATCACGTGACGTCAATTTTCCTGCTAAATTTAACGGAGAAAGAGAATCGGTGTATAGATCAAGTGACGTCAGGTCATGCGACATCAATTTTCCCCCTATATTTAGCGGGGAAATTGAATTGGTGCATAAATCTGGCAATGTCGGGTCACGTGGCAACAATGCTCCTTTTTAAATTTAGCGGAGAAAGTGATTTGGTTATACATTAAACCACTTTCCCCGCTAAATTTAGCACAAAAATTGACACGTGACCCGACATCACCATATTTATGCACCAATTCAGTTTCCCCACTAAAATTAGCAGGCAAAGTGTGACGTTACCTTCCTTTGACATCAATATTTCTGCTAAATTTAGCGGGGAAACTGAATTGGTGCCTAAATCTCGTGATTTCAGGTCACATGACATCAATTTTCCCGCTAAACTTAGCGGGAAACAGATGGGCACACAGACGGACAAAATTTTGCAATTCGGGGTTCCATTAAAAAGCATCTCGTGCTTTAAAAAAATTATGGCAGAGGAAAAAGTATGATTTCGTAAGAGCAAAACGACGCATCTCACCTCTATCATCCTTCTCACTTTGGTGTCAAAATCGGTGGAATTGTCGATTACATCCATGTAAGGGTGGCCTATCCAAGCCTGCAAGAAACATCCACATTGACATTTCTAAAACTGAAGAAAGCAAACAAGAAAAGGCGGTATCAATACGGGGATACCAAAGTGCAGAGCACTACTGACAGTACAGCCTGAATGCATTTACTGTTCTAACCAGATCTGGCCACTTTAGACGAGTGATTAACAGACGTTTGCCAAGACAGCACAAAATCATGAGACTACTACAATTCAATATAAGATCTTCCTTTGGGCATGTAGTAATACACAAAATTTTTAAAACAAATGGATCAATTGTTAGGCGGACGCCAACAAAGATGTACATGATGATTGAAAACCTGAGACTGTGGTTTGAAAAACGGAAAATCATGAAGTAGAAAGAAAAAGGGACAGACAACGTCTCAAACTCGGCTAAACACCTCATTGCACCTACGCCTTATATACAACTCCCCCGGACGTCGAACGTCGCCACCACCACAACGGTTGATCACTGAACTACAAACAATACACCAGAATGACAATACATCAAACCGCAACCAATACATAAAAAAAAAAAGGCGTTATACAAACAGAAACACAAGGTCGTCACCACCGCGCCCGGAAGGACTTCGACGCGGACAATGTAACACCAGCACTTGGAAACACAAAAAGACTGTCTCTAAATTAACCCCCTTCCCCTTGAACTGAACCATGAATCACAGACAGTCGCCAACAATGCCCCCCATTACGATCCCAAACCCAACAATGCAAACAACTGCGAAGCAGCCTCCTCCCCTTTTACAATCACCCCACACTAGGTCTTTACAGTCGAAGAAACTTTTTTGACTCGCTTCCAATTTGCAGTGACGCTTGGCTAATGCAATTTCCCTATGTTTTTATGTGAGCAGTTTCTCGCACAACACCGTCTCATCTCCTCACACTCTTTGTGTACGATTTCTGTCTCTGACTAGTTCGCTGTACATGCATTACACTCCTGGAGATGCCTCGCTAGTTCAGAGTTTGAAGCGTTAATCCGCACATTCTGTTTATGTTCTGTCAACCTATCATTAATGCATCTTGCAGTCTGACCAACATATTTAAAGCCGCATTCCAAAGGAATGTCATACACTACTCCACTGACACATGGAACAGACCTGTCGCGATGCATTTTTTTACATTCTTTTTGTCCTGCCTCAAAAGGAGTCAGTTTAGCTAATTTGAAATCACATGTGAAAACGGTGTTAACCCCAAATCTCTCTGCACATGCCTTCAAGTTATGAGAAATGGCGTGAAAATATGGAATGGAAGCCCGTCGGTTCTCGACACTTCGCTTATCTTGCTTATCTTCGATCTGTAAAGAGTAGGATCGTCGGTCGCGCCGCTTTTGGCTGAGTTTTATCTCAACACCCTAGACAGAGTTGTGGTTGAGAAGATGAGAGAGTTGCCCCCAGATGTAGGTTTTGTTCGAAGATATGTAGGCAATATAATTGTGTGCACTTTTCAAGATAACCTTTCAGATACCCTACAAAATATAATAAGTTCAGTGGCCCCAGAGCTGCGTTTCACTGTGGAAAAGCCGGAGGAGAATGTCGATCATTCAATTTTTGGATTTACACATTCATGTGGGCAGTGGGCTGTGTTGGGAATATGGGAAGCAGGCACCAAAACCCGTCCTATCGAAGCAGAGTTGTAATTCTAAAATTGTAAAGGCAGGGGTACTGAAGTCTCTGACCCAGAACACTCTATAAAGGTCATGCATTCATTACATGGAGCAGTCTTTAAAAAGACAATGGGGAAGACTGGAGAGGTGGAGAGGGCCGGCTATCAAGAATCCTTCATTAAACGGCAGCTTGCTCTACAGATCGAAGATAAGCAAGATAATCGAAGTGTCAAGAACTGACGGCCTCCATTCCATATTTTCACGCCATTTCGCATAACTTGAAGGCATGTGCAGAGAGATTTGGGGTTAACACCGTTTTCACATGTGATTTCAAATTAGCTAAACTGACTCCTTTTGAAACAGGACAAAAAGAATGTAAAAAAATGCATTGCGACAGATCTGTTCCATGTGTCAGTGCAGTAGTGTATGAAATGCCTTTGGAATACAGTTCTAAATATGTTGGTCAGACCGCAAGATGCATTAACGATAGGTTGACAGAACATAAACAGAATGTGCGGATTAATGCTTCAAACTCTGAACTAGCGAGGCATCTCCAGGAGTGTAATGCATGTACAGCAAACTGGTCAGAGACAGAAATCATACAAAAAGAGCGTGAGGAGATGAGACGTGTTGTGTGCGAAACTGTTCGCATAAAAACATAGGGAAATTGCATTAGCCAAGCGTCACTGCAAATTGGAAGTGAGTCAAAAAAGTTTCTTCGACTGTAAAAACCTAGTCTGGGGTGAACGTAAAAGGGGAGGGGGCTGCTTTGCAGTTGTTTGCATTGTTGGGTTCGGGATCGTAATGGAGGGCGTTGTTGGTGCCTGTGTGATTCATGGTTCAGTTCAAGGGAAAGGGGGTTAATTTAGAGACGGTCTTTTTGTGTTTCCAAGTGCTGGTGTTACATTGTCCGCGTCGAAGTCCTTCCGGGTGCGGTGGTGACGACTTTGCGTTTCTGTTTGTATAAAGCCCCCTTTTTTTTTTTTTATTGGTTGCGGTTTGGTGTATTGTCATTCCGGTGTATTGTTTGTAGTTCAGTGATCAACCGTTGTGGTGGTGGCGACGTTCGACGTCCGGGGGAGGTGTATATAAAGGGGTATTCACACGAGGGAGAAATCCCGGGGGCACGCGCATTCCACGACGAAAACGTCAGGCTTCGCGATGTGCAAAAGCCTCGCGTTTTCATCTCGTGATGCGCGCGTGCCGGGGAGAAATCCCCGGGATTTCTCCCTCGTGTGAATACCCCTGAAGACGTAGAGGCAATAAAGTTTTTAGCCGAGTTTGAGACGTTGTCTGTCCCTTTTTCTTTCTACTTCACGATTTTCCCTTTTTCAAACCACAGTCTCAGGTTTTCAATGATTATGTATAACTTACACCAGCTCGCCTGCAATTTAATTGTTTTTTCATTGAACAAAGATGGTGTTTGTTACCAGCCCAAAAAATCATTCAAATCATGCTAGTCAAGCTAATACCAAATTAAATCAAGAACTTCGTAGCGTAACTTATTATCTACTTATTTAGGCTCCGCCTAAGACAAAAAAGTAAGAAGGTAGATACCAATGGCATTAAATAAATGATTGAGAACATTGAAATCATGCCATTCAAGCTAATTTCATATCAATTCAAGAACTTCACCAGTGTAACTTTTTATCTATTTATTTATAGGCTATGCCTGAGATACAAAGTAGGTACCTAGTTCCAATGGCAAAAAAAACAAAAGGATAAACATTTGACAGCTCTTTTACTGGTAAGGGAAAAACATGATGCAATGATTAGAACTCAAACCAGATCTTTACTAGAAAATATCTATGTAAAATATCGGTCAGCGTTTTACATTTGTTAGATCAATACCCAGCTGACTTAGGAACCCTGCAACCACGCATACAAAATCATACCCCACCGAGATCTTCGTTGAGTATTGTTGCAGTCTGACAATAAAGGCAAGCAACAACAAAACCCCTGCACTTGGCAAGGATCCAGTTCATTAGGCAGCCATCAGTACTGACATATTACCGCTTCCGAGAGTGCAGTGAAGCGAGGGATGAACTCACGTGAGCTGCCAGCTTGTCTCGCTCCCGTGCCAACTCAATGCCCTCCGTGCGACAGCTGTTGTCTTCCGTGTTATAGAAGGCCTCAGCACCGTTGGCAGCAGACACCTGCAAGCAGGCACGGCCATCAGCACATTCCCAACAAGGCTCCCGCCCAAACACGGCCCGAAAACAAAACCGCACCGCTGCCAAAACACGGCCACCATGGAGTCGGAATGGCCAGGTGCTGTACCAGCTCCGTTCTAAGCCACGTTCCCAGGTGCCGTCAGTTGGACACTCACCAGATGAATGATCTGGTTGTATCTGTTGTCCCTCAGGTCGACCGTGTTCCAGCCATGAGCCTTGATTATCCTATCCCAGATTTCTTTGCTCACGACTAGAGAAGAAACAAGCAAGAAAATCCGGCACTGTAAAACCTTTGCACAGTCAGATGTGAAGGTTAGAAAGCCTGAGCCTCGAGGTGCGTGAAAACCATACTGACATGCAGATGCATCCATTGTGCCACGATCACAGATGATGAGGCAGTTCTTTTTGCTGGTGGTGGCGAGATCAAAGTAGGCCTGTTCCATCGACATCATGGTCTTTAGGAGGTTCTCTTGGAACTTTTCCACTGCAGAATAATTTCAGGAAGAAAAACAAAGCAAAAAAGTCTATCAGCGTTGATGAAAGTATCAGACGATTCGTTGAATTGCAAATGTACATGTCAGACTTCAATGGATCATGGAATTGTTAAAACAACAAACTATCTTCTAACAAAATTTAATGATGCATACCTTCTGCAGGTGTTAGGTCAGGAAATCTGACACCTCCACTGTAAATAGAAATGACCAAGCAAATGTTAGCCCTAGAGTGCTCCAAAAGCACACACTCCTCCCTCAATAGATTTCAAAAATCTATATATTTTGACTGAGGAAGAAGTAATGGCACGAAATAAACTTCTGTTACGATGTGCCAAGCAAACTAAAAAAATCATCTAAAAAAAGAAATTAAATAGATCAGATTTGATTTAAATCAGATTATTTTTATTTAAATCATCGTAGCTAGAAAATAGTGACTCTTTATCACTGCACATAGTTTCCAACACGGCAGATTGATTGATCAATCTGCCTGATCCCGGATAACAATATGGAACAAAGAATTACTCTAAATTTAAGAGTCTAATTAACAACTTTTGATCGATGTAAACCGGCATACAAACTACGATACAAGACAAAACAGCTTGATTTTTCAGTTAATTAAAAAAAACTTTATTTGCTTATTCACATTCTGATTTGTTTGCAATACGACATTACTTTTCAAGTTTTCGTTTCTTTTGCGTTTTGATCTGCTTGCAAAAGGGCATTCCATAACTGAAGAATAAAATGAAAGGTAGAAAGAGAGCTCAATGCTCCGATTTGCTCAGAAGAGCACTGCTTTTTGCTCCTGTTCAGCCTGATATACATTTTTCTCGCTTCATAACTGATTTCAGTGAAAAACTAATTCACACATAAAAAGCATAAATTGATAGAAAAATGACAAATAAAAACTATTTTCAAGATTATTTTTGCAGGAAAGGTTCGATTTAAATCATCGTAGTAAAGGGGGTCTGATGTAAATCCCGCTTAAATCATTTTGATTTGTTTTCTCCACCCCAGTGCCAGGTGCTTAACACTAGTGCAAGGAGAGGGTTATGAAGAAAGAGCTTCAGTAGCAGATGGTGTGCTAAAATTATGAATGTAAATTGGAGTCCATAAAGTATGGGCATGAATGCAAAGCGTATAAAAAGAGTGAAGTAATTCAATGAGCTGCAATTGATGTAGGTGCACAATGGCTTCGAGAAATTAAAAAAAACTGGGGTGTGTTCCTAGTACAACCATGACAGGCGTTTATGTTGCAGGATGTTCAATCAATACATTTAAGACGCTTAAAATGCTATTGGAACATTGGCAGTCAGGCACATCTTGCCCATGCAAGAAATGCCCATCCATAAGACGTCCATGACCAATTCTCAGTCGGTACAGTACCACTTTACAGATATTCTCAGAATGACATGCACTCTCCCATTCCCTTAGTAATGGTTTCACCGCACGCACGACAGCAAATTCGACGTGAGCATTTAGACTGCATGAGGTCAGCCTGCCGTAGTTTGGCAACACTGGTTCATGCATGCGCTTCAGTTGTGGAACTCCCGCGGAAGGGGACACTTTTCTCACTCACTTCAGTCCGCCTCCCGTCATTCGAAGCGCCATCTAGGTTTTCGTTTCACAACTGTGTTCTCCACAGAGTACAGTAAACGTCATCTAGACACTGCACTTCGAAACGTATGTATTCCATAGAATACACTGCAGTTACCAAGGCAGCCGTCCGGCGCGTCGAACGACGGGAGGCGAGTCGTGGTGAGTAAGGGGGGTTCTGCTCGTGCATGCAGCGTCTATGAGCAGTTCCGTAACTGAGGTAATCTAATAATGTTATGCGCTCAGGCGACGCCGATGACCTATGTACAGTCTCCAACAATATGAAAGACCCACTTAACGAGGTCGTTTGGACAAGCCCTCGTTGCTTGGGAAATAAATGAAGCTGTGTTCTGTTCTTTCTCTTAAACTAAAGTGCTTCTGGCCAAAGCGCGTCTATAGCATTGTTGCATAAACTGCCTCAACGAAGGTTTCTAACACTGGTAAAGACTATGTACAGTCGGCCACAAAAGTTTACGGACCACGCGAGCCATGGCCGAGCTGCATTAGTGCGCCACCTTACGGCGCGGCGCCTCTGGTCGAGACCCAGAGTGCGCGCATGCGCGTCCTTTGGTACTCACAGGCATGTCAACTCTCCCGCTTCCAGCTGACACCTTCTTATTCTCACGAATATGACACCAGGTGCTGCTTCGATAGCCACCGTTGGCAGCCGTGCCACAGCTGTATCTCAGTGGCGCAATGAGTGGCACAAGCTGAAATATCACCTCTACTTCCCGCCATGATATTGTTTCTCCCAGCACAGCGGCCTGGAAAACAGCCATCCTGCCTTCTCTTTTTTTTTTTTTTTTTTTTTCAGAAGCTTCTTAATCTTTTCTGCACTTGCTGTTCTGTCAACCAGTCAGTGACAACAATTAATGCAGAAAGCGTAATTTATTATATATTGCACACATTATTAAATAGAATTTTAAAAGAACTTAAAAGACTTTTGAAACAAAAACAAAAAAAGGAGGAAAAAAAAGAAGAGAATGGCCGTCTTCCTGGCTGCTGAGCCGGGAAAAACAATTCCATGCTGGACGATGCAAGATAGAATTGATATCGTAGCTTCTGCCAGTCATCGCGCCACCAAGATACAGCTGCCGCATGGCGACCAACAGGGGCTATCGAAGCATCGCCCGGCACCGTATTCGTGAAGGCGTCGGCTGGAAGCTGGAGAGTTGACATGCCTGCGAGTACCAAAGGACGTGCATGCGCATATTACGGGTCTCGACAACAGGCACTGCGCCGCAGGGTGGTGCAGTGGTGTAACTCGCTCGGCCACGGCTCGCATGGTCTGTAACCTTTTGCGGCCGACTGTACATCCAAACGGCATATGTGAAACCACAGGACATCCATAGCACCGTGTGTGCTACTGCAGCAGCTTATTGTTAACGTCCCAATTCCACCCATTCTGCCACTTTCGTCTTATACAGTATTTCACGCACCCTTATAACCCTTGTAAGAAATTTTAGAGATGAATAGTTATCAATTCCTAGCAGAATCTTGCAAACAGTAACAAAAATTAGCAAAAGGGCAGTAAGACATGGAAACATGCCTGAGCAAGACTGTTGCCGCCTCGGGCACACGGAACACCTGCAAGAAATACAAAGTTTTTGCAATAGGCCCTACATCAGCAAAAACGAGACTGTATTCGTTCTTCGTAATGAAATCAGTTTAATTAAAAGGCGTGTCAAAACTAGGGAGAGTGTTCTCTGGTACACCACAGAACTGTGCTCGTAATACTTTGTTTCAACTAGCGCCACTCAATTCTTCTAGGGTTTTTAAATTCTCCATGCTTCGTAAATACAATGGCCATCTAGAAAGCAAGACAAACAGCAAGCTAGTTTGTAAATAAACTTTCAAATAAATAAAGTGTGCCTTATTATTCCTAGCCTTTATGGCAGAAAGATACAAAGAGAACCTTGTCCACCAGGTCTTGCTCCTTTCAGTTTTCAGTAATGAATATTATGAATGGCACATCACTACCTCTATATAGTGCAAAAACCCAACCACAAGGAGCATTTTCTCAATGTCTGCGACAGTCAGCTGGTGCCCGCTCATCCAGCCAAGACACTGGGCAGGCATTAATGTCCGCAGTGAGTAAATGTGTCATCCCTCTCGGAGCCTGCACCAGACCTAGGTTTCCTGATGGTTGAGGTTTACTTTGTAATTGCAAAGACAGTGGATCAACAAGTCTGAAGACAGCAGAGACGGGCCATGTGCATACTTTCATGTGGTTTCCACTATTTCTTCAGCACTCGCCGATGGAGAGGAAGAGTCAAATTTTGAATGTGCAAAACAGTCAAGTTACACTTGTCAGTCTGACGACATAGATAACACTTTAGTTATAGAGCAGACTGTATGACCACAGGGCTGAAGGTGACCAATCGAGGAGCGACACTCAGTCATCGTCCCTAGCTAGACATAGCTACCCATTTTAAGAACCTTCGGTCACTTTACTTGCCCCAAAATGTAGAAAAGGATACAAGGCCAGGACGAAGATATACAAACATGAAAATATGAATGGTGCTGGAAAGTGACACAACCCCTACACTTTGGGTAATTGTGTGCATCCCATAATTTGACTTCCTCGTTTAAACATATTTTGTAAGACCTCTCACCCCCCCCCCCCCCCCCCCAAAAAAAAAAAAAAATCTTTTCTAGAATTATGGCTATACATTTTCTCACCTTCCAGCCATAGTTTTCAAGGAAGGTTGACAGTCTTGCTTGCCCAGTTGTTTTACCACTGCAAGGACCTTTGGAAAAAAAGGCAAGGAATTGACTGTTGATCAGCTGCTTCAGAAAAACAAAACATGGCTAGTTGGTTCATGGTACTGAGTAAACTTGTATGCAGCAGCACAGAGGACAAACATGAAGGAGTATTTGTCCTTTATGTTTGTGCACCGTGACATCCTCTATGTTTGTGCGCCGTGACTTGACAAGATCAGGATCCTGGGCAGGAGTAAAGATAGTACACCAAGAGAGCTGGTGGAAGCGTTTTTTATAAAGTGAAATGCCTGTGTTAGCAACAATTTGGTTTCTTTAACAGCGAATTTCAATTCGTATATGGGTCGATACAGTGATGTTGGCACGGCAGCAATTTTTCTTGTTTTGTATGTTTTTTTTTTTTATCTTTTTCCTACCTTTGCAGCATTGTGTGCATGCTGCTTCTGAACCTCTTGCAGTCACTTGGCCACAAATTAAATTAGTAGATAATTGTGCTTGTTCTTTCCACTCCATCGTGTTTGTCCTCTGTGTTTGCACATACAAGTTTACTCAGTTCAGAAAAGCACTTGTTATCTGCATCATGATTTTGGACAAACTGATGGGCACCGTCAGTTCAGTTAGATCTCTCATTTTTATAATTTGAGAATGGACACCGGCATATGGCTTTCTTGTCTTTATACTGAAATGCACGCATCAGTGTTTCTAGCCTACATCTTTTTATTCCAAGTTTAGTACAGCCTAAATACAGCATAGACACATGACAGTTGAAGGAAAAAACAAGGTAAAAAGCAGGCTGTCTTTTCAACTGCTTCCTCATCCTCAAAAAAAAAAAAAATTACTTGCTTATATGTTGGCTGCCAGACGTAATTTTGTGGATTGAATAATTACTGCATTACAAAACAGAAAAGCCTTAAAGGAGGACCAGCAGAAATATTCTTCCGCCTGGCGGAAAGTCCTCCTCGCCCTCTTTCTTCTTGTATTGTAGCACGGCGAGGCTAAGGGAAAAATCCTTTTTTTGCGCCGGCTTCTTCTGAGAGGATAAGCCGAGGAAATCCCCTTTCTGAGCGACGGACGATGGGTGCGGCAGCAGCGACCTCGTGACTTACGGGTATCTTCAGTTCCTATCATGTAATCTGCTTTATTTTTTGGCTCTCGCCAAGCCTAGCACCTCGGGTGTAGGTTTCACGGAGCTGCAAGGCTGCGCCCTCGCAGTCACCGAATTTGAGCTGTCGAAGGTCTTTAGTTTAGCCCGTGGCAAAATAAACGCATATTTGGGAGCTGCGATGCATCCCCGCACCCATTGAAGGAACGTTTCATAGATATTTTCGGTTGATCAAGGAGCTCAAAACACATGCGCGAGGTGTGGTGACTTGAATGTGTAAGGATGACTTACATCTTCACAACACATTCCACCTTCAAAAAAAACGGCTTATCACGCTCAAACCTGCCTCAGATTGGGATCGAAGGAAAAGAAAACGATGTATTAGGCGCGGGCATCTTGTAGAAGGTCTCTGTTTTCTAGCAGCGAGCACAAATTATTGTGTGCGTATCTCACACTACATGATGGCCAACGAATGTAGATGACATTTATTACGCATCCCAACAACCACATGAGGTGAGAAGGCAGCAATGGTGTGTGTCGATACTAAGAAGTTTTAGTGGATCGTCTTTAGCTCTTGGATAACCGTACCCTACAACAATATATAAGCTATAACCTTTCTGAGAGCATTCTTTATTGAGTGCGGCTATCGAAGCGTGTCGTGTTATAATTCAACGTTGCTCAAATCGGTGCTATAGCACATGCTGCCCCTTTAAAGTAGTTTTGAAGCATTCAAAAAAAAAAAAAAAATGTAGCCAATCTTTTTTTGACATGAAACGCGTTTGTAATTTGTCATTGCAAAGACATTAGGTATACTGCCACACAGTTAGCACGGACAAACTATCGCCGGTCTTTCTAATTTTGTTTTCTTAAAAGTGAATGATGTTTAGAAAACTGATATGGAACTATCCAGCCTAAGTGGCAGAGCTCAGTGCTAGAAAATACCTGTTGCTGGCAGAAATAGTAAAAAACGCCGATGTCGCGTTCGGGCTAACAGTGCCACGTAATGCACGCATACCGCTACAAGATCAGCGCAAGCATAATATGGCAATGGATTTATTGCACAATTTGTTTTAATAGATGAAAGGTTTCAAGGAATCGTCGCAGCGCCTTGATTATCACAGCTGACAACGAGTCACACTTATTAACGGCTTTGGCTTGCTTTATCAAGTCGTCGAAAGCAGTCAGCTCCGCGGTTTCAGAAAAAGTGTGGTTCAGGCTTGGTCGGATATTGCTACGGTTACACTCGTATGCTTTTTCAGTCCCCCCCCCCCCCCCCCCCCCCCCCCCCCCCCCCCCCCCTTCTCGCATACGCGTCTTGCTCAAGTAAACAGGGGAATCTGACTTGTCGCTCATCTTGGCCTTTAGCGGGGCTGTTAACAAATTCTGAAACAGACAAAGCAAACGTGATGTAATTAACTCAGAATTATAGGGTGTGCGCAATATTTACAGAGTTCGAGGTTCCCTAGAGTCATCTTTTGTATTCAAGTCCGCCTCCCTTAACCACTGCTTCCTTTCCCCCAAATAAACAACGTAGATTATTTTATGAACCACCCATAATAGAGTGTACTCGCAAAATGTCTATTTGGCGTAAGAAAGGCCTAGTTTAAATGTTTGAGCAATGAACTGGTCTTCTTACTGTGCGTGAAACAGCTAGCACGAACGCAGTATTGACATTTTTACGCAAGGCCCATGCAGAATTTAGTGTATAAGAACAAATTGATGCCTCGTAAGTTGGTGCCCAATGGAAGCACTCTTTACCGAATTGCTTGTATAAAAATAACAACCTTTCAACCATAAAAACAAAACAATATAACACCACTTTTTTGGGGGGCCACCAAATTTACTGATTCACTCCGTTAGCGTTGATTGTGCAGCGGTATGCGTACATTACGCGACACTGTTAGCGCAAACACGACATCGGCGCTTTTTGCTATTTTCCCCAGCAATGTATTGACTCGCACTAAAATCTACCGCTTAGGTTGGATACTCGCATTAACAGTTTCCTAAACATCATTCACTTCTAAGAAGAAAAAAAAGTGGGAAACACCGGCGATAGTTTGTTTGCGCTAACTGCGTGGCGTAGGGTACCTAAAAGTTTTTTACAATGTTAAATACAATTCTGTGTCACGTTAAAAAAAATTGTCTGCTTTTGCTTTAGTTTCTTTGAGACACCACAAATACTTCGAAGTGGCGGCCCGTGCTATGGTACCAATACAAGCAACGTTGAACCATAACACGACACGCTAGACTCGCCAAAAAGGGTTTTAATATTGTCTTTTCCGCTCCATAGCCGCACTCGAAGAATGTAAACAGCGAGTCTAGCTTACATTTCGTTGTGGGGTACGGACCGTACGGTTATCCAAGTGGCTAAAAGCGACCCACTAAAACTTTCTAAAATTGACATCCACCCTTGATGCCCTCTCACGTCACGTGGTTGTTGGGAATGTGTAAATATGAATTTCATACAATTTTGCTGGCCATCATGTTCTGCGAGTTAGGCACACAACAGGGCATTTTAGTAAATCGTTTTCAAAGGCCCGCTGCCACTTCAGGCGCGCGCTTCAGAGAATGCATCGAAGTGGCAGCGCGAGCTCCCGCTAAATATAGCGTGGCCTGAAAACATAGTCTGCTAAAGTTCTCCAATAATTTGTGCTCGCTGCTAGAAAACAGAGACCTTCTATACTTCGTTTCAGCTTCGGTCCGAGCGCGGCCGATGTTATGATTCAAAGGGCCAATCAAACAGCAAAAGAGGCACAACGTCATGGCGTGCTCTTTGCAGTTGATAGGACCAGCCGGTATTCGCCGTCTCTCTGTGCGTGCTCCTCCGCCGGCTAGTCCTATCAAGCGCAGAGAGCACGCCATGACGTTGCGCTCTTCACGCTGTTTGATTGGCCCTTTTGCTCGTAACATCGGCCGCGCTCGGACCGAAGCTGAAACGAAGTATAAAAGGTGCCCGCGCCTGGTACATCGTTTTCTTTTCCATCGATCCAAGTTTGAGGCAGGTTTGAGCGTGATAAGCCGTTTTTTTGAAGGTGGAATGTGTTGTGAAGATGTAAGTCATCCTTACATATTCAAGTCACCACATCTCGCGCATGTGTTTTGAGCTCCTTGATCAACCGAAAATATCTATGAAACGTTCCTTCAATGGGTGCGGTTATGAATCGCAGCTCTCAAGTATGCGTTTACTTTGCCACGGGCTAAACCAAAGACCTTCGACAGCTGAAATTCGGTGATAGCGCGAGCGCAGCCTTGCAGCCCCGTAAAACCTACACCCGAGGGGCTAGGCTTGGTGAGCGCCAAAAAATGGGGCAGATTACGCGATAGGAGCTGAAGCTACCTGTAAGTCACGAGGTCGCTGCTGCCGCACCCATCGCCCGTCGCTCAGAATGGGGATTTTCTCGGCTTATCCTCTCAGAAGAAGCCGGCGCAAAAAAGGATTTTTCCCTTCGCCTCGTCGTGCTACAATAAAAGGAAGAAAGAGGGCGAGGAGGACTTTCCGCCAGGCGGAAGAATATTTCTGCTGGTCCTCCTTTAAGAATGAGATGGCCTTTATATCTTACCTTGTCAATTATAGCTCTAATTTTAGTGCCATTCTGGCAGAATGCCAAGCCTTTCTTCTGCAGTATGGCGACACAAATTTATTAATTCCAATTTCTCTGTTTGGGCCCGCCTCTATCCAACCAAAAGTTTTGGATCAAAGATAAAGCCTCAATTTTGAACAGTACTTTTGACTGGAGTTGTGTGGATATGAAAATTTTCTAATATGCATTTGTTTTGAGCTGTGTGCTGTTCGGTGCTTCCTTCAAAAGGTTACTAAACATTTACAAATATTAAAAACATGATCAAGTCAAAGTTTGGCATGATTTAAAAGTTGGAAAGGGGCTATGGCAATATAGCCAACATATATTAAAGGAAACATTACTGCTTTAGTAGATGTGGTGAGTGCCATGCCCAAGTTCATTAAAACAAGCAGCAGAGTTGTCTAGAAATATTCTGCACAAAGAAAGGGATGCATGAATCATCAAGAACACCCAGAGTATTGGAAAACATTATTCAACCTCCCAGGCTATTTGTTAATTGATTTTTTAAAATTCCAAATAACGCCAATTCACTTTAAATCTCAAAGTATTCTGAGAACTTAACATAAATTTTAAGCACTTAACTATTTGATGTTGATTTAAATCCATAACTATTCTAAAGAACAAATAATATATATGCTTCAACCATTTAATCCAATACCTGCACAACCCCATTTCTGCCTCTTCAATCCAATTTTGCCAAGAAAATCTGTCGAAAACTGGCCTCTTCAGCACTGCCCCTCCATACATATGAGTATCAAATATTAAACCTCAAAATCTGGAGGTCAAGCACATGTCAAGCATAGTTCACAGTTCAGAACCAAAATAGCAGTGCTTGTGCAATACATGTCTGCACACCTCGTGATCAACCTCATGGCATTTTTCTGCGACACAAAAATAAGCTTGAGTCTTTTTTAGTTCTTGTGACTCATGAGATGTATTTTAGATGTAGAAATAGAACACAATGGTAGCCTGGAAGTACCCACAACATTTTTCGGTTTCTCAGCTTCTTTCTAGACACCAATAGAGGAAGCGGGCAAGCAGATAGCAATTATCAGACACATAAGCCTGCAGATTAACATATATCATATCATGCTGCTGGTGTCCACCATGCAAATGCTGTTGATGTAGCTTGCTTGCAGAATCTTTGAACAGTCTTAAAGATGTTATCAAAAAACACAAATATGCATGCCAAAGATATATCAGCTCCACTTTGTTTTAGCTCATACCACGATGGGATAATATGACCGTGGGAATGTTTATTCTGACAAAGTTAAGATATTGGAACTACCGTAAAATATTGCGCATCCGCCCATTCCACATTAAGCGCCCATATCCAAATTTCAAAAATCTGAGAAAATATGCACAGTACATTTATATGTAAAATTGATGACCGGACAAGCGCCCATCCCCTATTTCTTCGCGATTATCTCTAAATTTTGAGTGGGCGCTTTCCCGGTATTTTACGGTATGAAATGTTTTACAAAAAAAAAGAAGTGTTACTGGAAGTTGTAGCAAGAGTAAAATTACACTGTAGTGGTAAAATTATATGCACAGGTATGCACCCAAAAGACTGTCGTTTAAAAACCTTCTTGAAAGGAAGCCAAAATAGCAATTGCAGAATTTTCACAATTCTTTGATTCTAACTCGTTTATATCTTTCTATCATCTCTCAGGTACCTTTGTCTTCATGAAAACTCGCATATCTATCATGAAAAGATCCCATCCAGTAACTGCAGTCATCCTGCAGCTGGTTTTTGGGCTACCAAAACTACCTTATATGCCAAAACATCTTTGCTCCTCTTCACCAAACTTTTAAAATAATTCCCATCTTGCATTAGTTTGGCCTGAGTATGAAAAATATCTGGGATCCTCATCAGTCACCATATCAACCAAATAAAAGCTTAATTCAAAAGTTGCATGTTTTATTATTTTTGGTCATTGTTGTCACTTCAGTGATTCCCATTTCGAAACACGATCTTGCCAAATTGAGCTTAAGACAGGAGCTTGTGTGTTCATGCCCTCTTCAATGCTTTCCTTCTTTGTCAAGGCTAATCAACTCAAGCACCACTGTGGCACATCTAAATTTCTTGTGCAAGAAAGACCATTTCATCTGGGCCCTTCCTTATTTCTATACTGTCTTTTTGCAAAAAAACCATAGTCCCGTGGAATTACCTCTGAGACTAATGCCAAACTTTCTCGCAAGCTATTTGGGCAATACATGGTTTGTCACTGTCTGCTCCTTGCTGATGAGTTTTCTCTACTATTGTTGTGGCTTGTCTCCTTTTTATGTAACGCCCCTCCAAATAGGGTTCTTACAAAGATAACAATTCAATGACCCATGCCGTTCTGTTTCTTATTTCAAAATCAGTGCCTGCCACTTCCCATCCCCCGTCCCTCTGTTCTTTCCTGACATCCCAAATTCCTTCGGTACCCTGAGTCCCCTGTAGAGCCCTGAAGTCTCCCGACCAGGCCATCCTTTCCACTCTCCTCCAGCACTTCTTTTGGCTCATGTGAGCAGCCAGATGACACGAGATCACCTACTACACCCTTTTGCAGGTTGACCCCTTAACCGTTTTGGACGAGCCTAGCTTGTCCACCTAGAACCGTCCCTAAACCGTTCAGGACAAGTGTAGCTTGTCCGCGCACCCTACCTTGACCCTTGACTGTTTTGGACGACCCAGGCTCATTCAAAGCTTATTAGTTTACGGCGCTGCTCAGACATGGCAGCACATGTTTTTTATTGCACACGTTTTTAAGGATGGTGACCAATTGTGGAGGCATGTGCAACCCGGGCCACACATGCAATAAAACAATGGTTAAGGAGTTAAGAAAAGCAGGACAGGCTCATCCCCACAAATCCCTCTATTCTTTCCCCTTCAGCAGAGCGAACGCTGGAGAAATGAGAAAGGAGGTGGGTCCACCTGCCTCCTTTCCAGCATTCACTCTGCTAAAATGGATAAAAAGGCCTTTCTGGGAGGAGCTTATCCCGCTTTTCTTAACCTGCAACAGGGTATAGACTGGTATGCTGTTTACAAACCAGCCCGCGTTTGCCCACACCAGGTGTGGGCACTGCGCGTGCACAGAAACCGAATTCGCGTGAAGTGAAACGTCTGCACATGCGCTGTGCCGTCGACAGCGCTACCGCAGCTGCCCGACGTCAGTGACGCGTGTTGGTCTATAGCTGAAGTTCTCGAGCAACCCCAGCTCTCTGGTTACTCCCTTGCCCGCCTCAAGATCTTAAAGTTCCACCTTCTAAAACTCAATAGGTTTTCTTCCTCCGGCCTTCCACCGTGCCCTCACAGAAGCTCGAGGGAATTTAGACAGACAGATAACTTTTGCGTTCATTATATGGTCTTAACTCGAGTTGTGTTGACGTTGCTGCTGCAGCTTTCCGGACACACCTAATTACGTCGTCATAAAACCTTTCATTGCCCTCTCTGAAAGATATGAGAAAGACAAGACGTGGGAGCTGTACTACAGCTGTAGAGATAGGATGTCACTTGCAGATAATGCAATGGTTTCCTCATGTATCTACACTGAGTCTAAGGTGTTTTAACAGCATTGTCGCCTGCAGCTCTCTTTTCCCGATAACAACTCACGGCCGCCAAGAATGATGGTGCAAAATAAGTTACAAGAGATCCTCTCCTCCCTCCCTCCCCCTATCTGCCATATTTTAATCCAGCAACAGAGGCTAACAGAGGCTAACAGAGGGGAGGGGGATAAACGGCTTGAGTTTTAATAAACCCCACTATCGGACACAGCGACAGGTCAATTCGGCCAAAATGCGGAAGTTCGGAATAGCGTTTGTTTACGCGACCTAGTCCTTGAAATTTGAGGGCTTGAAGTCAGTAAGAAGAGCTGTTCGTGCGCTCTTTCTCAGAGGAGAAACATACAATTCCAGCAATGCCAACGCGTGCAAATAAAAAGGAAAAAAAAAAAAAAAATACCGGCCAGCTATTGTTGAACTTGCAGGTGCAGCTAGTCAACCAGCAACGCAGTATTACGCAGTATACCCCTTTAATTCGGTTGATTTTTCCATCGTAGTGACAGTGCCACAATCAGCAACTCGATATGCTGGCATGCGCCCAAACAAACGCGCCCACGTTCACGTTCACGTGTCTCATGCACTCCGACGAGCGGCTCTCTCCAACGCCGAGTGAACATGCACAGCACGCTTTAGGTCAAGGGCACGAACAATGAGCCCGGAGGTTTCGGGCTACAGCGGAGAAACCTTGAACTGCCACAAAACAAACGCGCCAATCCGGCAGCGTCAGATATCGCCCATTGTATTGGGTATTTCGCAATCAACAGGCTTGATGGGTCGCGAGCGCGCACCGCGCGCATGAAACCGAGGGGCGATAGGTCTTTTGAGTTGGCTGGCATTTTAAAGGAGACGCGCCGTTCAGCTCGTCGCTGAGCACGTGTTTCGAACGGCTAATCAAATCGGAGAGATAAGTTGAGGCGCGATAAGGCCGAAGCGGTTTTTCCGAATGACCCATCCGCACGCCACATGTGATCACCCGTGTCCCCCATTCCAAAGAGAATGTCGATCAATAATACTTACCGCCAGTCAAGACAACCTTGTAGATGACCCGCTCGCGCTTTTCCGTCTCGTTGTGAGCCATGTCGGCCACTTTAGAAGCTTCCCAGAGCCGAGAGAGAACTTAAAGGACTAACGTGGTTACGGCATCGACTGGCCGGCGGGCCGCTGCGGCGACGACGAGCAAGCGAGCGGGAAGAACGGAAGTGAACGGAAGCAACTGGCCAAAAAAGTAAAGAAAATGCTGCCCGGAAATTGCGATTTGCTGGGTGACATCACGTCCGCTAAGACGACGTTGGTTCTGGTTTCGATTTCCAAGCTTGGACGCATTGAGATACGGCATCAACTAGCATCAACTTGCGAGTCGTAACGGTAACGTGGGGTACCCTTAAACCAGCGTAGCAACATATTTCCAATTTGAATATCCAGAAATAGGTCAAGCTGGAAACTAAGAATATTTATTTGACTGTTCGATCTGTGCCGAGGGTTTCCGAAACCCATTGCCGTCGTGGCGCTGTACGTTTTGCAACAGGTCTTTTACCCATCTACAACTGAAAAATGCCTTATGCCTTAACAGATTGCAGACTAACCACAAATAGGCAATAAAAACTCCATGTCACATTTGATTTTCAGTGAACAAAACTTAGCAGCTGTTCCATATGCAGTGTCATCAACAAGAAATTTGCGAAATTTGTGAACAGTTTAATACTTCTTTTTTTTTTTTTTTATCTAAAGGGCAACTCCGGTCAATTCTGAAATTTCTGAGATTACGGGTGATTATCATATAAAAAATATTAATAAACGGTTCAATGCCATTTGTTTTTTTGAAAAGGTTTTCTTGCAAACCTCGTTTAAAGGGATATACTTCAACGAAATTTGAAATTGTCTCGTCGTGTTCAAAAATAGGTTGAATATGATCCACAATATCCGTAAATGACAATCGCATGTTCGTATTTTGAGCCTGGTGGCTGTATTTTTCGTTATAACGGCCCACCCTGGCAAGCGCTGGGAGAAGGCCGGCCCAGCGGAGACCACGTGACATCCAACGCAATCGTGACGTAGGTCGTCTCGGGACGAGCAAAGCTACGGCAAGGCTGACGTCGAGAGAACGGCCTAGTCGTTCCAGCCACTGAAGCGGCGGCTTTTGTACGACTTTTGAGTGACGGGTTAATCTTCTATAATCTTGTAGGGGGACAATTAATAGCGACTTCTGCGACACACAAAAGGCATTCTCGGGAAGAGAGGAGTTCCTCCTTTCCCTCTTCTCTCGTCCTGGGCGGAGGCGAGACACTCACCGTCACTGGCTGTCAAGGTTCCTAAACGGGCATTACAAGCGAGTCGTTAGCGACATCCACCAGGTGCTCTTTGCTAATTGTTTAATTAGTTTTAAAATTCCTTTGCGAGACTTTTTAGAGCGCAGCTCTTAGGGGCCCGTTTCCGGCTTGAGCGGCGTCGGCGTCGCCGTCGGCGTAACCGCGCGGTGCATCATGGGAAATGTCCCATAATGCACCGCGCGAGCCCCCACCGAGGTCACGTGACTCCCCTGAGGTCACGTGACCCCCTCCTCGAGGCACGTGACCCCCGCCAATGTCGCGTGATCCGCCGATGACGTCATCGACACTGATGACGTCACCGGCATCCACATCGTCATCGTCATCATCAGTGATGATGACGATGACGATGCGGATGCCGGTAACGTCATCAGTGATGATGACGATGACGATGTGGATGCCGGTGACGTCATCAGTGATGATGACGATGACGATGTGGATGCCGGTGACGTCATCAGTGACGATGACGATGTGGATGCCGGTGACGTCATCAGTGATGATGACGATGACGATGCGGATGCCGGAGACATCATCAGTGATGATGACGATGACGATGTGGATGCCGGTGACGTCATCAGTGATGATGACGATGACGATGTGGATGCCGGTGACATCATCAGGGATTATGACGATGACGATGCGGATGCCGGTGACGACATCAGTGACGTCACTGATGTCGTCACCGGCATCCGTATCGTCATCATCACTGATGACGTCACCGGCATCCACATCGTCATCCTCACTGATGACGTCACCGGCATCCACATCGTCATCATCACTGATGACGTCACCGGCGTTGGGGGTCACGTGACCCCCAAGGTCACGTGACCCCCCAAGGAGGAGGGAAGGGCGGTGGGGGGGGGGGTTAGACACCAGGGGGGTCACGTGACCTTGGGGGGTCACGTGACCCCCAAGGTCACGTGACCCCCCCCTGGTGTCTAACCCCCCCCCACCGCCCTTCCCTCCTCCTCCTCAAGAGCTGCGCTCTAATTCGGCGTTACAGGGAGTTGTAAGCGGCTTTCACTTTTTTAACAAGATATTGGTATGTTCGATGTGATGTGTTTAAAGGGATACTACAACGAAATTTCGACGCTCATTTTTTGGTCTATATGTTCAAAAGAGCAGCATACCGCTGGAAGAAACAATTTTTCAACTTTTGCTAAATACTACTCAGAATCACTCGCTTACGGTAATAACTGAAGAAAATTGCCTTAGTTTTTCTTTTCAAGCAATGGCAGTCGGCAAATAAATTCGAGAAGTATGAACTTTGTTCATCCCCCAACTCTTAGCCAGATCAAGCGGCCACGTGGTCTGGCGACTATCCTATGCCGCCAAAGAACAATGGAAGAAACACATTTAGGCGACGACTCTCTCTCCGACGCGGTGACCACATTATGTTCGGTGCACCGAGCGCTTCACTCGCAGCGGGATAGATGACGCCCAAGTATGGGATCCCTCCCAAACCAACCGCTCCGGTTGTTTCTCCCCAGCGGTGGTCCCGCATTCCCTCGCTTTGGGAATTTTTGGGGATGTACGGAACGGTAATAGTTTTTGACATGATAAAGGAACATTTTACAATAATTTGCCCCAAGTTGTGTGGCACATAGGAACGTAATTTCTCTTAAAAAAACTGCCTGAGCAGCATTATGCAGCAGACAATGCGGCGACGTCACAACGTTCACATGGCCCGCTTTGGCCAACCCAAAAAGTCTATCTCCACTGCGCAGAAAAATCGTCTGCTTCAAACGCCATTGCCTTGGAAAGTGCCTTCTCAAAATGTTTACTCGCATCCAATATTATAAAAACTGATAAAGTGTTTAGTACTTTACCAACTTCACGACAGACTAGTTTTGAAAAGTGCGAACTCCGTGTTTATTTTTTAATCAGCCGTATTGAGTCGATCTCTATGAGGTCTCCCATAAGACGGGCCGCCTCCTGGAACCCCGAGTACCATGCGACTCATGTCGAGCTGCTCTGTCAATCATGTTGTCGGCAAAACACTCGGATCAAAGGACTGCGTTACTCTGCTCCATAGAAGCAATACAACGCTCTAACCACCACACCGCGAAAAAGGTGAGCTCGCTACGCCGTTCACACTGCGGCCGCCGAGGAGGGATTTCATACCGCAGCGCCCTCCGCGGCGTCGTGGAACTAACTACTAATTGTTCCAGGCTAGCTCCGAACACGATCTGGTCGCTCGCTCCCCACGAGAAGAGCGGCCAGAGTCGTCCCCTAAATGTGTTTCTTCCACCATGCGCCAAAGTTAAATCATAGCCACGCACTGGGGTCAGCAAAGCAGAAAATGAGTGCTGAGCTACAGGCATTGTTAGAGCTCTGCTATTCTTGTCACCGCAGTGGTTGGACACGAGCTACTACCCGAGTGCCCGCCGAAGCATCGATTGTTACGAGCCGAAGTAGAGTGCTCATACAATTCTCGTGTCCAATCCATGAGCCGCGCTTGACTGTCGTCAGAAGGATGGTTTCAATACCACAATATACCATTTGCTATATTACCCAGTCATTAAGGAGAATGCAGGGATTGGTGTTCCACGCGCCACACGCGCACACCTTCCCCGTACAAAATATTCGAAGTAAATAACCAAAATAATGCGTTGACGAACGCGCATGCAAGATGCCATTTGTTTTAGGCTTTTGCTCTAGAAAAGTTGCTACTGCTGAGGCCAGCACGTGCGGCGCGTGGAACACCAATCCCTGCATTCTCCTTGATGCTCGAGTTGTATAGCAATAGGTCTATTACGTCACCCAGCTTTGCAAAAGGCAAGACTAAAAGAAAGAGTTCTTTTATCCTGGCAGTTTCACAGCGACCAAGCTTCTGAATCAGTGGCAGTCAGTGCAAGTATACTTGTGCCAGACTAGGACCGGTACGCCTCTTTGAAGTCATGAACATTACAACCCCCGATATCGTCTTACATCTATATTAATAAAAAAAATTTAAAAAAAGGAACTTCAGCAGCAAAAAAAACAAAGACAAAATATATGTTTTTTTTTTTTTTTTTGGCAGGCGTGCTTACACCTTTTGTTCAATCACAAAATCGAATCTCCCAAATCGAATCTCCCGACAATGCATTAAATTTTGCAACATGATAGTAAACCTAGGACTGAGGCAGGAAAACGTAAAATGTGAAGGAAGACAAAAAAGAACAGGCACCGGCACCTCCAGCATTCAGAGCTTTTTTTTTTTGTCGCCAAAATTGGATTTATTTTACGCACATCACTCAAGACCACAGTCCGTGCATGCATGTGTGTAGGAGTGTGTATATATGTGTGTGTGTGCGCACACACGCATCACATTCCTATTTATCTCCAATTGGCATCGACATTAGTAGGAAAGTTAATCTATTGGCATCGACATTAGTAGGAAAGTTAATCTATTTGGATATAACATTTTAGAGGAGCGTGTGGACAACAGACCCGATGCCTTAGCTACAGATCATCAAATTACTTAATTGCATGAGAAAATTCAATTTAAAGTTTAATTATCAAACTAAAACAAAAAGTAATTTTTGTGTGTGAACAAGACATTTTACATTCAGTATCTACTAACACATTTAATAACAAGACACTTGCCTGAAGTAGCCACATCTAGATATACAACCGGAGCACAGGAGCCAGCATATATGCCAATGAAACTGATTAACCATGCAGAGAAGTGTCATCACAATCATGCCTTAAGGAAAAGAAAACTAACCATTTCTGGCTGCCTAAGAACAAGTCTGATTACAACCTTATGAAGCAAATTAAACACTGGGAAGTCTGAGAACTGAGAATGAGAACATTTATTTGAAATCACAGGGAAGTGGCAGGATAAATATACTCTTGTGACCATAATTGCACTCTGAACCACTACAAGCGTGCTAGCAAAACATCTCGCACGGGGAAGCTTCCTACAACATAATTATACTATTGTCTAGGTGACTATGGTCTATACTGTACATGCTTATCATATCTTTGGCGTGACACATGGGTGCTAACTCTTTTCTCCCGCCATTTCCATTATCATGCCACACAACACGCTTTAAAAAGCAATATAAAAAATTTCCTACAGAAATAAAGAATCGGACACAGTAATGTCAAACTGTTATGATCACCTTAATGTCACACTCCTATGACACAACCGGTAGTGTTATGCATGTAAGCCAAGCGGCCGTATCACTTAATCACAGGGGACACGGTCATACAAAAGGTACAATAGGCATGTGCTATGAACAGGTTACAAACTTGGACGTGGCAGCTCCACACTCGTCGCAATGTTGACTAAAGCTGCATCTCGGTGCCGTTTTACAGAGAAACCTGGTAACCAAGCTGTAAAGGATACACTACTGCTTCTGCCAAATGGATGGCAACACATACCAATGTCCAATTAGCACAATTGGCTACAACGCAATTTGATAGGTGAAAAAAGGCTCAGTTCCCAATGTATGCGTGCATCACAGTGCACATTCAGGTATTCATGTTTGTGATTGCCTTGGCCTTTGCACAACTTTGAAGTAGAACCTTCTCAGGCTGCTCACACAGAATTGAAAGCAAAATGACAAAATTTGCACTTGAAATTGCCTTGACACTTGCACCACTCTGAAGCTTAACCTGTTAATGGCAATTTATACAAATTTATAACAAACTCCTGTTATAAGAAAGTATTAATACCATACGTCGGTACACCTAGTATTGGCCAGTGCTCCCAATTTCTCAACATATGTTACTGGACAAGAAAAATTGCAAACTGTCACAAATCACACCAATACTCTTCTGCAGTACCATCACAAATTCCAGTTCAGAACAAAACAAACACCACTGCTTTACCTGAGGAAAATGCTAGCAATAAGCCAATGAACAGCAAGTGCGAGAGCAAGCACAAATCTCGAGCAAATCTACTTGGCCAAAACTGCTCGCACGAGCACACATCAAAGCTTCATACAGTGGTGGCAAGTGCCTCCTGTTGGACTGAGATCTCTTCAACATAACCGAGATGCCATTCCCTGCTCGTCTGGCAGGAAACAGACTGATGCGTTCCTGCAACGAGAATACCAAGCCACATTTGGTTCCAGAATTCCACCCGAGCTTATTTTCAAGAAGTGTGATAGGGCCTTTCTGAGTCTGCCTTTGTTGGCAGCTACCACACACAGAATGTGGGAATCAAATCAACCTCACATCTGCCCACGTTTCATTGTCCAAAACATTACTACAGCAACATGCACTGAACAGATACGTCCTTACACTTCGACACTGAACATTCGAGGAAGCAGGTAGACTGAAATCTGTCTCTAGGTGAGACTCAAAAAAAAAAAAAAAATCGGGGACTGAAAAGAAAGTCAGATTTTAATATAATTGACAGGGTCAGACATTATGTAATCAAACATAATATAAATTGGCATGCCAAGAAATTTCATGTTGCTTTTTGAAACATGTAGAAAGTGGCAAGAACCAAGCAGTAATAGTACATCCTTCAAAGTGCAAAATGTACATACAAAGCAGCGTTGACATTGGTCACACTGTGGATGTCACGAATGACAACACTTATTCGAGCTGCCATTTTCACGACTGCTATTACATCGATAATAAAATAGATTAGGTATTAGTCCTGGCCTACCCGTCTATTGCCCCACTTTTGCTGCTGACGAGTGTTGGGTCAGGTTTTGAGTTTTTGGTCCCCATTTCTCTCGGTCCACATGAGGAGCTCATATGTGGACTTACCATATGTGGCGCTCATGCTCTGCACACAAGACAATTGACTTGCAATGCCTAATCCTCAACCAATGCGAGAGAAAACATAATGAAGAAAATATTGCAGCTCCCCAACCCTATGCAATTCCTATGCCCACCTTTTTGGTTCTTTGTCTCAGCTACAACTAACAATTTTATTTGGAAATAGTTTTATTAGAAAGCTAATAAAAATATTTAATAGCTTCCAGAGATTGCTTGTTTTAATTTCACAGTAAAATGTTTTCTATAAGAACCTGAATTACTTCAAAATACCCCTTTGTTAACGCCTCATTTAAGAGCTTTTCTGGAACCAATCGAGCCACAGATACAACTTCCGATATCTAAAAGCTGTAGATATTTGCTTTTCCTAAAACCATATCTTATAAAGGTTTACTTCCATGTGTTTTCATTGCAAAATAAATGATAAAGTTTTCACTCTCGCGAAAGCTGGAAAACTCGCCTCAGTGATATTTTCTCTTACCTAGCGGCGCCATCTGCGAGCATATTTATAGTTTTACACAAAAAAGCTCGACATGTGTTACTGCGCCCCGACGGACTCCTCGCATAACACAGTTCTCTTAATTTTTTTATCCCAAATTATGTAACGCAAACATAGCTTTTTTTTTTATATATATACATTGGGGACGTGCTGAGTTTGTCACTTTCACAAGCATGGTGATAGGGGACAATATTCTCTAGTGTGAGCATTTTGTTATTTTTGTTGCGTTTTTTTTAAGCAGGGGAGGGAGCGTCAGAGATATTATTGTTCTCGACTTTCCTTTTTTATGAGGAAGATATCTTGTTTTCTTGTGAAGCGTTGGCGTTTTGAAGCCACAAAAACGGCCCAAGGATCACGAGGACCACAGAAACTACTAAACCCCAAAGGCTTGAAATGTTTCACCATTCCATTCTTTCCGAAGAACAAGAAGTAATTTGAACATGATATTCATAATATTCAACTGAAAGCATAGTTACAAATTTTAAACATGGATCAGCCGATTATGGTACGTTGATTTTGCTATTTAAATTTCGAGATTCAGCTTGTGTATTAATTTGTGCAGACTGTTTTGCAGTGTTATAACAAAGAATTGAGCAAATATATTAAATATATTGAGCTGTCCCTAGAGAGATTCTATTTTGCAATTAATGTTTATTATACATGTCCATTAGAAGCAATCAATGACAGGATTTGTAAATTCAGGAAGTATTACGGTACTTATACCGCAAAACATCGCTTCTCGTTTCTCAAGCCAAGAAAGGATAATGTGCGAGAGAAATAGAAAATATGTGGGACCGCCAAGTTTACACCGCTACCCAATAGATGGCGCCAGTGCGCCCTCTCACAAGAGGTTGTGAACGGGCCTTTAAGCGTCTTCAGCGTGTTTTGCTTTATTAGTGACTCATTTAAAATAAGAACTGCCCGTTTCGAGTCCAATAATCTTATAATCTACGCTTTTCTTTAGCTAAAGCAACCGCACAGCAAAGCTTCCTCGTTCAAACCCAAGAAATACACTATTGATGCGGCACTTCATGAAATAAATCGAATGTTGACAAACAAGAACCCAAACGTTCTTGATTATATTGTATTTGTCGCTTGCACCGTCGTGGCTGCGACAAATTTACGCGGCTGCTACTTTGGCATTGACTTATTTATTCTTTTACACTGGTGTGAAAATGTATTGCATACGGCTATATGGTGATGAATCCAAGTCACAACATTCCTTTGCTGATCGTGTCCATGTGCTTTGTTTACTAGGATTCATTTGTCCGTGCCAACTTTTCTAGCAGGCACGGCTCACCATTTGAGCATTTGTCATGGCGTGACAAAACGTTTCTAGGCCAAAGGCATCTAAGGACCGCAGTCACGTGACTACAGACAGACAATCCCACCTGGGATCCGTCGCAGGTTTGGCAGTCTCGCTGTGCAGCTGGCCCGCCAGCCCTGCCTCCAAGACAGGATGCTTGCGCACAGCCGCCCAGCAATTCAGTTCTTCTTCATCTTGGAGGAGATGAGATTCCGGATCGAGAGGACCACAACCGAGAAGTACTTCTTGAAGATCCCGTGGCGCTTCATGCCGGGCACCATGGCCACAAAGAGAACTGCAACCACCGGACCGGAGGCACCATCAGTGGGAGGCAGAAAGCCACGGCAAGAAGCCTAGCCATTCAAGGACATTGCCACATATCGTGGCTCATCAAACTGGGTTCCCTAGAGTGCCCTCATAGAGGTTTTCAAAGCTTCCAAATTTCCTCGACGCTCCTGCCCCCTATTCAGTTTTAAATATGGAACGTGTTTTATGGGTAGTTTTCTACGAGAATGACCAGCATAAACGAGCGACATGCTGGGAGCGTCACGCAATCCCATTTTTCTGCCAAATATAGCGGAGAAAATCGACGTAGCGTGACCATAAAATAATCCCGTTTCCACGCTAAATATAGCGGAGAAATAGGCGTCACGTGACCTAAACACCGATCCAGTTTCTCCACTTAATCTAGTGGGCGAAATTGACGTCATGCGACATGGTTTCTGCACCCTTGAATGGCAGCTGGGGAAACCCTGCCAGTCTAAGCAATGACCCATTAAAGCAACGCAAGAGCTTGCAGGCCTTGTAAACGGTAATGCACACAGTAAGCAGTGTTAGGCATCAATAGACGGCTCAGACCCACTAAAACACTGTACAAACGCTTTGCTTAGGGGAGAGCTTGGGGAACCCGTGAAGGTACACTGGGGAACCTAGTCTGAGAACCATGTTGTAAACTGTGTCAGGTTGCAGAACCTCGAAGAAAGTAGGTGCAGCAAAGAGGGATGAAGTTGATGGCAGAATGCCTCCTCCACCCCATTGGGTAGTTAAACCGAGCCTCACATACTGAACATATTTGTGAGCTCAACTCTGACATGCACCAACTGCGGACGAGGCTCATGTGTCCGCTTGATATTATTGGAGCACCAACAATTTCACTATATGAACGGGGCACATTGAATGATGAAGCAGTCGTAGCGTATATAAGCATACACGCTATTTATGCCGCATTACTCACCATAACAAATAAAAATTTTGAGACTGAGCAATGTTGGGTAATGTTGGTAATACACTAGTATGTTCCTTCTGTATGCAAATACAGTAATCTCGGCAGAACTGGCACCTAACTGATGCTTTGAATCTATGAATGAAGTTTCAAAGCAGTCTTTTTTTCTAAACTTGGCATCATTCCACTGCTTGCATTGGTAGCATTACAGTTCTCATGGTTTCTGCACCCTTTCTGGAGTGATGTGTGGGCTCACCGATGAGGTATGTGAGGAACAGGTTGTCAAAGATATTCCCAATCCAGGCCACGAGCAGAAGGGACACCAGCACCACAATGATGTACTGAAGAGCGGAGAGAGAAAGAGGCCCATATACATCAGAAACCTTAAAGTAGACATGCAATCTAGTACCTCACTGCAACCAAGATCATGCATCAACCACACTGCGACTACTCCAGACAATAAAACAAAACAAACTTTCTGTATTCCTTTTTAAGCTTGACAAAAAACAGAATCGTGCCACTGGATTTGTTCCAAGAAATTACCTTTTCAGAACCAGTATAACTGATAACTGAAATTAAATCATCACTACACTGGAAATCCTCGAGTCCGAGACGCAAGTGCACCCATCTCATACTTTTGCATATTTTTCATAACAATAGTAGTAATTGTAAACGAAAATATATTTTCTAGCCTACTTATATATCACAGAGGAGGTATAATTAAAAAAAATTCTTTCTGATATCAGCTTAGGTATTATCACAGAGAAGAGATCATTCAAAGGAAATTTGTCCGCTGAAATAAAAAACTGACGGTAAAGTGTTCCTTTTTTTCTGTGGTCTATTGAAGGCTGGAATAGGTTACTCAATGACGGCTTTTTTTCTTCCATCGGCCGCCCGGAAGAAAAAAAAAAATCTCTTTTGCGGCGGGAGCAGGGAGAGGGTGAGCCGGTGAGACTTTGAAAAACGAGGAAGCAGCCACTGAATAGCCGCGTCACGCGTCCCCCATGACGTACAGATGTTCCTTCGAGAGTAAACAACTTTTCTAAATGTAGCGTGCTTGTTTGTTGTCAAATAAATCTTTTATATTGAATTACCCGCTATATGGAACAGGTAGGCATTTTTTTGTGAATTCAATATAAATGGGTTTGACTGTATATGTACAAAGTTCATGCTGATTAAAACTGGCTCATGGCCTTTTTTTAGTCAAGCGGTCCCTGTTGCAACTGGGATCCGTTCAGCTGGTTTATTGTCCACATTCCTGGTTAAACTGGTTGCAGCTGCAACTGGGACTGATTGAATACCAGATTCAATATTTTCTACCTTGGGTATTGTATCGTTAAAAGAAAAACAGTAGACAAGAGATTGTGGGACACAAGGTGCGGTGCACATAATCATTAATGCCCAAGGCCCTGCAGGAAGACGTAATAAATAATCTATGCGCACCCGATACCAGCAAACCCTCTGGCTCCCGCCGAGAGAAACGTGTCGGGCAGCTCGAACAGACGGCTAGAGGGATGTGGAGGAGAAAGGCCTCACCATCTTGGGCTTCTCCTGCTTCATTGTTTTGATGGCAGTGCAGAAGCCCATGAGAGAGTGCTTTGCGTGTACCACCTCGAGGCAGATGTCCTGAAGCTGACGCTCGTGCTGGCTCGTCCTAAACAAAGCATGCAGGTTTTGAAAAAAAAAGAAAAAAAAATCAACATGGGTAATCTTATGGGTCTGTGTGTGTGCATGGGCATTAGGAACTGAGAACCAAAGTGGTTCTTAGTTCCTAATGTCAAAATTGTTTGTAAAATAGTCTGAAATATTAGCTCATGTGGACAGCTCAATGCTCCAGTTTAAAATTGACCCACTGCTGTGAACACTACTTAAATTCAACAAAATCGCACAACCTAATGGCCTTACTTAAAAAATCTTTCAGCAAGGTTCGTAACAAAAAAGGAAACCTTTTCAACAATGTGATTGGTACAATAAGACATTTAACTGTTCCTTAGGTGGAATCTTGCACAACTCTGTGTCTTCGCTCCGCATGAAATGCAGAGCGAACATTCTCCGAATTTCATGAAGCCTGGTAAAAGAAGCCTGATAAGTGTGGCCACAAAGCTCGATGCTGATTGGTTAATGGGGAGGGTCATGTGACCGGACGGGTAGGCAAGGAGCAACTCGACCACCTGTGCGTACTGAGGAAGAGGAGCTCGAGAGTATGGAAGGCTCCGGAAGATCGCCAGGTTTATCGGCCCGATTAGCGATAGTATCGCTTCATTTAGCAAAATTGCATATGTGAAACTGGAAGTATCACTAAATGTTTGCGATGCTTGAACTTTTTATGCATGCAACACAATTTCCTAGCAATTTGCCATACATTTCATTTAACAATTTTGCCAGCCACCTGATTGGCGGCCAAGGCAAGGGTGAACATTGATTTGCAGACTATACAAGTAAACAAGACAAAAATAATTCAATCGCATGTACCAACAACAATAATGCACAATGTAAATGACCTTCATTTCAGCACATCCACCAATATAAATGGCAAGATGTAAAGAAAATACCACAAGAAATATGGAATATTATAATTGAAACCTATATTATATTAATTTTATCGGCGGGTGTCCAGAGTTTTGCAGGTAAATCCAAAAACTCTGAATACCCGCCGGTAAAATTTTTGTCAATTTGGATTTATCCGATAAATTCCAAATTTCAATGTTCCAGTGAAAAAAAAAGTATATAACGTATTTTCCAGACTATAGTCCGCACCCAATGTATAGTCCGCAGGGGGAAATTTGGGGTCAAAAATAAAAGATTTTGCTTAGATAGCCCGCACCCGGTGCATAGTCGACATGAAAATCTTCTCATAGACGGCACACGTTTACACGTTTACAAATGTCTGCTTTTTAGATCACAATAAAGCCTATAATGTGCATAAATCATCATTAATATACACTTTCGTGCACAAAATTCGTCACGTCTCGTCATAATAAACGATCTTGAAAAACATAATTCCTGTATAGTCCGCACGCGTAGATAGTCCACACAGCCAGAAATTTCAACTTTTAAACATGTATAGTCCGCGAACTATAGCCCGGAAAATATGGTATATATACAGTCATGTCTCGTTAATATGGACCCCGTTAATCGGGACACCCCGCAATATGGACGAAATTTTCGGCGACCGGTCTCCCGCCATGCAATTCTGTCCCGTTAATACAGAAACCCGCAGTCCGGACTATGGACGGCTATTTTGGGGACGAAACGGGAAAATACAGGCATGTTTGTCTCGTTAATATGGACACGTGTCCACGAAAAAAAAATATTAGTGACCCCAGTGTGTACTACTCGGAATTCCCAATTGCCTTTTTGTTCCCCGTCTGGTTACTTTGAAGGCGAGTCCACACACCCGACAGAAGAAAAGGTTAGTGAATCGTAGAGGTCAGTTTGTACCCGGAATTCACTATTGTCCTCCGCCCTTGAGATAAGACCTGTGCGCCTAAAGGTGGTCGTTTTTTTTTTTTTTTTTGTTTTTTTTTCTTGTCTTTCAAGCTTAAACGTATGCCATCTCCTTCCGGGTTGGCATACGTGATGAATCACATTCGTTGTGCATAAGAGGCAAGAGGCAAGGCTGGACGCTTCTCCGGTCATTTCGGAGGTGGAGACAATGACAGATGTTAAGCGTAAACGGACAGAGCTTTCTGCTCAGCTGACAAAGGAGATATGCAAATTCAAAATTGAAACGCCTTCAGCGTCTGTTCAGTACGTGAAAGAGTGGAGTGGAAAAAACCTTGGCGTTGATCTCGGAAAATCGACAGTCCACTCAATTCTAAAAGAATCAAAGAAATGGATGAGCGTTCCCACAGCCAGCTCCAGTTCCTGCCGGCAGCGACCCCCAAAGTTTGAGAAGTTGGAGGAGGCCGTCAACATCTGGTTTGCGGAAATGCGCTCCAGAGGGGCCGCCGTCAGCGACGAGATGCTGCAAGAAAAGGCGAAGGAGTTCGGCACAACAATGGGTAAGTGAGTTCTGAGCGTATCTTTTTAAGCACTGAGCTGAAAATGTTTTCTCAAAATGTTACGCATTCCTCCCCAAAAATGTTGTTTCTTCTAAGGATTTTTCTAGTTGCTCGTTCTTGTGCAATTACGCATCTACAATAAAATAACTGTTCTCTCTTCAGTGGTTTTATTTTAATGTCTGCAATCTTCACGTCTTTATGCAGACATTCATGACCTGAACTACTCAAGGGGTTCTCAGCAGGTTTAAGAGAAGGCATGGAATTTCAAGCCACCGTATTCATGGAGAGAGTGGAAGCGTGGATACAGCCGCCGTTGCCAGTGCTCAGGAACAGCTTGCGGAATTTCTTGCTCAGTATTCTCCAGATGATATTTACAACTTCGACGAGACTGGCTTTTTTTACAAGTTGGGCCCATCTTCGACTCTGGCATCCGAACCTGTGGCTGGAAACAAGCGAAGCAAAGAGAGAATCACGGTGAGATTCTTGTGCAACGCGAGCAGCACCCACAAGTGGAAGCCCATTGTCGTGGCAAAAGCGGAGCGACCACGATGTTTTGGAAAGACATTTGACCCGAACATGTATTGCTCTTACAATTGCAACAAGAAAGCATGGATGACAGGAAAGATATTTGAAATCTTCTTGGCAAAATTCGACCGCTTCTTGAAGGCTGAGAAGAGGAGGGCTGTTTTGTTGGTTGATAATGCATCATGCCATTCTGTTCGTGCGAACTATGAAAACCTTACCTTGAAGTTCTTTCCACCCAACATGACTGCCAAAATACAGCCCTTGGACGCAGGAATTATTCGCGCGGTTAAGACACACTACAGAGGTGAACTTGTGCAGCACTACATCGCTTGCGCGGAAGACAATGAACCGCAAACTGTTGACTTGAGGTGGTGCCTTCAAAAGCTGAAGAGGGCGTGGGACGCGGTGAGGCCTCAAACCATTGTGAACTGCTGGCGTCACGCAGGTATTCTTGTTAACAGCTCTGCTATGGAGGTGGAGGATCCGATGGATGAACTTCCGCTCGCGGCCCTTCCTGAAGCTCTTCGACAACTCGGGGAGAAAAACCCAGATGAAGAGGCATCGGCATTCTTGAATATAGACGAAGAGACTAACAGCTGAGAGCCTATGAGCGACGAGCAGATCATGAAGCTTGTCGGTGAATCCGCTCAACAGAGCCATCAACTTGTCGAAAACTTTGCGCCGACAGAAACAGACGATGAAGAAGAGAGACCAACCGTTACTCAATGTGAAGCTCGCCGTGGCTTGGAGACAGCGATCGCCTACCTTGAGCAGGAGGGGGACGGAAAACGTGCACTTCAAGTGGCGGAAGTGTTGCGCTTTTCGGACACTAAAGTGGGATCGAAAGCGTCAGTGCAAACTCATACCTCCTCGTTCTTTGCGAAAAAAACAATGCTTTTTTTTAACAATTATTACCCAATGTTTGTGTTTTTGACCTTGATTCGTTATTATGGACGATTCACATTATGGACGATTTTTCTGGGGAACGGAGGCGTCCATATTAACGAGACATGACTGTATATGTATATATACAACCAAGTTACTTTGGTCAGCACACAACGTCAATAGTCCTGAGAAAATGCCACCCCAGTTTCCTTTTAAATCTCGAATCACTGACAAGTGATGGTTTACCATTTAACTCATCAAGGTTCATTCAGGACAACAAGTCTTGTACGTCTGGGTCAGGATAAAAACCACTGTACCGGTTTCTAGTTTGGACCATATCATTACTGCTTCTTAGAGGAAGGACGGGTTGTGTTTTTGCAACAGTGAAAGCTATGGAACACAGAGATTTCATAGAAAGGAGGGAGAGGGGGGGTTGTGTTGTTGAAGCTTCTATATTAGTTTACCTAACGAAATGCGGTACACGCGGGGCAGAGGGGGGGGGGGGGGGGGGTTGTTAGAAGAAATATATTAATACGCACACAACAAACCTAGGCTCTGCTTACACATTTATTATCCTGCACTGTTTACACACCTGATAATTTTATTGCAGCAGTTAAGCTCAAATAATTTCCACTCCCAGTGATATATTTGTTTCAATGTCAAACATGTTATTAAATGTGTCAAAGTGAGAAAAATCGGCAGGTGTTTTTCGGTGTTTATTTATTTTCAAAACACCGGTGTATTTCGGTGGAATGTCTCACGACTAGGCTAAAATCGGTGATTATCGGTGGGAACAAAAATGCTATTGATCACAGACAGAGTGTTCCAAATTTATTCACATATTTTATGCACTTCTTCTCTAGGAAGCATCTAATTCCCACACTTGGTTATTATAGTAGATGCAAGCATACTTCGAGAGGCTTGCATCCGTCATGGCAGCACGTTCCTTGCGGTTCACAACCCGCAATTATGAAAACGCACGCTCCTGTACGACACGGACGTTGGCAGTGTCTTCCAGGAACGACAGCAACCTCTGAATACATGGCTTGCACAGACATCACTTGGCCAGACACAATGGGGAAAGGGCACGTGAGGGCCTACTCTCCACTGCGTTAATTTTTCCACAAAAGGGGGCCATGGGAGACACAATAGGGGAAAGGCGTGTGAGAGCTTAGCTTTCACTGCGTTCACTAGACGCTTTTGACCCCCAGAAAGGAGGGCGGACTGATGCCACGTGCAAGCCATGTATAAACATTGGAAGAATGCAGGATCCACGACATAACACGTTTGACGAACCTCTATGGGGAAAAGGTTTCGCTACGTTGGAAACAATGACCGGTGTTTTTCGGTTTTAACCAGGGCGAAAATATCCAACCACCAATGTTTTTCGGTTTTAATCGACTTTATATTTTCAGCACCGATGAATGTTTATTGGTGTTTTTCGGTTAAAACCGGAAAATACACACCCTAGATATGGGTACCGGACTGATCCAGATTTTCTACCAGCAACAAGTTGATTTCGCCATCCGGCTCCAAAATCCACTTTTCACCTGCGCGAATCCGCCTGCAAAAACTACGTAGTACCATTGTACTGGGTAGTTTTAAGAGGGGGACACGACCCAAGAAAGTGAATCTTTGAACCACTTGTCTGATTTAAACGACATTTACAGGGCTCATTTCTGTTGACGTTGAGAATATTTCTGCCAAATTTTGTTAACCTCGGTGAAGTACAAAAAAATTGCAAATGTTAAAGATGAAAGTGGTTGATTGATTATTAGGTGTTTAATGGTGCAAAAAGCCACATAGGCCATGCTGCGCAAAGAAATAAAAGCTGAAACTGGGCGTGTCTGCGTAGGAAAAATATTGTTTTGAAATTACTCGTAAATTTGTCGTTTTCCTGTGCTATAGAGCTTTAGGACAGTTCAAAGCAGATAGCTATGGAGCTATATTTCTGTATTATACTATCTTTCATGACAAAAAAGTCACTGAATATGAGGATAGGATTCCTCATATTCAGTAAAATAACAATGCACACAAATACTTTTCTTTATTTCCATCTTTGTCCAAAATTTTTGTTCTTGAGCATGAAAAATGGCAAAGATAAAAAATACAAGCTCACAGCTACCTTCCCTTAAAATTTCACCCCAGAAAAACTAATAAGAGTGAATCCAAGTTACATAATAACAAAAGAATAGTTTTCCTAATGTTAAATTTATGCCAAAAAGAGGAATGGAGAAAAATGTGTTTAAAGTGCTCTAACCTCTCTCTTTAGCATCGGTAAACCGAAAATAATTTATAAAAAATCAACTATGCAGTGTAAACTAATTAAACTTTCTGGGAATACTTTCTAGATGATGCTGGTGAATGTAAATATGACATTTTTCAAAATAAATTTTTTTCACAAAATTTTTTTTTCTGGGTAGCTTAGGTAGAGGTTAAGAGTGAAAGCGTGACCCAATGCAGTTCATTGAAACATGACTTATACCCCTGTCAGACGGGCATTTTAGAGGCCTTTAGTACAAGCTCCTTTATAAAATCGGCGAACTAGAGCACGCCGTAGCGCACGTGCACATTCAACATCGTGAGCTTATTGGCCTATTTTATAAAGGAGTTTAGTGAAAAGGGCCTTTAGAGCACCACCTGACAGGGGTATTAATTGGAACAGCCTAATTACAATTTTATCTGACTATTTAAATTTGCATAAACAGCATAAAATCAATTGTTCACTTTACATTAACCCAAGATATACAAGATTCATCCGCAAATATGTGAAAGATCACTTAAGATCACCATTAAATAAATGAAACTTGTTTCCCAAAATGACTGAATGCTGAAATGTGCACAGTCATTTTTAAAATGACATTGCACATCCCAGTGACGTAACTCACCCAACAGACTGAGAAAAGGAGACTTAATCTCTTTTTAGTATTCTCTATTGTACTTAAAAGCAAACCAAAGCTTTGGATTGGGAATCTAACATCGCCCATGAACATGACGTGCATACTTTAAACAGAGTGCAAGAGCCAGCTCGACATGTTCTGAGTAACAGAAGAGAAGGAATCGTTCAAAGTTTAAGTATGTGGTGAGTTCAGCAGGGAAGAACAGGGAGGCTGGCTAAAGTAGAACTCAAATGGCTACTCTTTTTGAGGAGAGAATAGAGGAGACTCAGGCAAGTATAAAACCCCCTTCCAAGCTACAGAATCACTATACAAAGTGCAGGAGTTATCCCCATACATTTTCAACGAGCTGCTTCAAACAATAGCTAGTAGTGATATATGAATGTTCAGGCTGAGAACTTCCCCATAGAAGTTAGCAGCGGCACATTTTTTGGGGTATACCCTGTATCTGTCTAAAAGAATTACCAGGTGGAGGGCAAAGACAACGAAGCAATTTTTTTACATGTGGTAAATGAAAAGACGTCAGAAGAAAATCTTAATTTGTCCTTTTCTGACGATATACAATAACTGCTTAAAACATTTAATTTTTATGATATTAATGTTTAACGAGATCAAATAAAGAAACAGCTAAAATAAAAAAAGAGCAATGTAAACTTGAAAGTTATAGCTTTCTTGCACCAGGCAAAAGTCCAAAGGTGGCTCTCTTGCGTAACCTCTATGAATTGCTACAAAATGTCAATGATATCTCCGCATACGATAGCCTCAAGTAAAACAAACACCTATCGTAAAATATTAGTGGCGAGAGAAAAACACTCAATATTTTTCGCCAAACGCAGTTGCCACGTGTTTGCGCGCCAAACTTTTTTTTTCTTGTCAAATATTTGCATTTCTTTTTGTTAGATGGCGCTGTAGTTCTGATCTTCAAGATTGTTGCCGGGCTACTAGATCTTAAAATATGTGATAAAACTGAAACTATCAAACAAACAAAAATAATGTGGTTTGTTGCCTCTAGGCAACATGTGTCAACAAAAGGTTAATCCTACGGACCAAGTTAGGAAACACAAAGTGCAGCATATTTTTGGCTCTCCCACCATTGGGGCGACAGTTTTTCTGGTAATATGAGTACATATATACCCACTAGAACCATGCTAAACAATGCTATTCCTCCAGCGATAAGAAGAGGGTACCAGATTACCGAGCGAGAGGTCAGTGAAGTCAGCGAAGTCAGCGGTTCGATTCCAAACAAAGGACACGGTCTTTTGTAAAGACAACTGGCCGTGTTATATGGTCGTTAGGACACTTGCAAAGCTCTACGCTTGGAACCCAGCCCTAAAACATATTCGGTGTTAAAGAGAGACCTTGTGCAAGTTGCACGATGAAAGCAAAGTTTGTCAGTGCAAGTTCCGAACCTTCAAAGATAAAGGGGCATCTGCTTTTTGCTTTGGGTATACATAGGGCTCTTGGCACGCCATTCTCTATTCCCTGGTTTCTAACAAGGTGCCAGGGAAGGAAGGGTGCACTGTGCAAGAATGTGCACTGTGCCCTTAAAAAGGTGGCCCGTCGCAGCTCACCACTTGTCCTGGCTGCAGAGGTGTGAGCAGGCCAGGGGCACCAGGTAGTCTGCCAGACAGGCCACCATGCCAGCCAGGGAAAGGGTGGTCAGCAGGGAGGGCTCCAGGTACCACAGCAGCCTGCACATCAGCACAGCACAATGTGGCGGACTGTCTCAGTCCACCGGAGCCCTCAGACAGCAGTCACTTCACGAGCCTTGACCAACTAACTGCCTTTTGGCGGCATAAACGTAAAGCTGATGTCAAAATAGGTCGCTGTGTACAGTCACTGCAATCAAATGAGGCAGTTCTCCAGCAAGGTAGAAAGCGAGAGCAAAGAGTTCCAACACGAAAAGGGCATTCATAACATTTGTGAGGGTGATGGCACACTACACAATGCACTCCCTTACAACAAACTATGGTCACAATGAACACATAATTGTGCTTTGTGTATGTTTAGACAGCCAGAAGTTAGTCAGCCCCAACCTCGTTGGTCAGCTCTAATAGTCGTCTCATGTCCCAGCTGTAGACGAGAAATGTAGCCAGTTCAATACCACTAGTAGCTTGGGGTCTTTAAAGAGCATCACACAGTAGTGAAACACGACCGCACGCCAGTACAATGATCATATGAAGCGAACCGGGCAGGGGTGGGGTTTGAACCCAGAATTCCTCGGTTCTGCAGCATGAAACAAACATATACAGAACCCAACGAATTGTCAGCAAGAGTCACTGTGAATTTTCAGCAAGACCCACGAATTACTGATGTAACAAACACTTAATTGTTTGCAGCTCATTATATGAGGGTTGCACTGTGCTATGTACCTTTAGCTAGCATCAATGTAACCCCACAGAACTAACTGGTAAGCTTTGGCACTGTCCCTTTTGGGAACTATGGGTTAGGCTGGTCCGACAAAATTCTACGGCCTTAACTCAGACGACACGCAACTGCAGCACGATCAAACAAACAATCATTTGTATTGCATACATTACTTTCTTGGTCTACACCCCTCTTCACACCCTGCACACATCACAGCAAATTTACTGGGCTATGTGCACAGATTCTCTGATACACGACCCGACTGCCCTCATATTGAATGCGATGGGCCAATTACAGTTGAGAGGTCAGAGATTGCAATCCGGCAGTGGTTTGAAGCAGCAAAATGGTGGAAGAGCATTCGTAAGCATGAATGCAAACAGTTTATTTAGGCAAATGAATGACCTTAGAAATGCCAGAGCATTATGTTCTAGAACAATAAGGCTGGGAACTTGCGTAGCAGTAAGGAAAGCAAACTGTCACTCGACAAAGCTCGCTAATAAAAGAAGCGAAGGTTTGTAGGTCTGGCTGCGATGTACATAATGCACGAGACTACTGTAACTACTGTTCATGTCTCCTCGGTGCAACGTAAGATAACTTCACGCAACCGCCGCTATTTCACACAGAATACCCCGGAGCATTTGGAAGTGTCCGCACTGCCAAAGTAAAAGTGCTTATCAGCACGCACGAGCATATTTCAAATATGCTCGTGCGTGCTTGCTCGCAAATGCTCGAGCATATGCTCAAGCAAACGACATGAGCATATTTCCAATGGTGAGTGAGAGCTTGCCAGGCATCAGCGGTCACCGACAGAATGAGAACGCCACCTTTCTCTGAGGCACGGCTTCCAGCACATGCTCCTTCACTTTGGTTGTGCTTTGGCTGCATGTGCACGCTCTCAAGATGCCGAGGCGTTACTGAAAGGTAGGAAGCTCGTGCGGGAGGCAGGACAACCGAAAGTCCTCTTAGCCATTCTCGTCTCGTCTGCGACCATACATTCTGCCGCAAAACACCAGGTCACACTTGCAGCCATGGCTTTTCGAAGTGACACAAGAGTACCGGGACGACTGCCATGACTCACAGAAAGAGGGTGGAGACGACGCCAAAGACGCATCCCGGGTAGTACGGCTGGTTCCAGACGAGGACAGAGTTTAGAGGAAGGACAACCTCCCGCCAGCTCTCCAACTTCAGCTTCAGCTTTTTGGCCTGGTCCTGGAACGAACAAGCGGAGCCCTTTTTAGAGCTTCAGAGCTTACCCTATTTTCTGGACCATGGTCTGCCGACTACATGCATCCAGAAGTTGAAACTTAATGCGGCGCGAACCATCTACAAATGCAGATAGTATGACGATTTGTTTTTCAAGGTCGTACGTTAAGATGAGATGCAAGACGGATTTTGTGAACGACAGTTTATGTTAATTATGATTTATGCATAATATTGGCTTCTTTGTGCGATAGTAAAGTGGGAATTTTTCGAGGTGTGCTGCGTATGAAAATGTTTTTAGTGCAGATATGTGCCGTGTGCGGACTATCTAAGGAAAATTTCTTTCTTTTTCAGCAGAAATTTGCCCCGGTGAACTCTACTCAGAGTGTAAACGCATAATATGGAGTTTGCAGTTCTTTAGTGGGGAGAGGAGAATGCCTCAACTGGTGTGGTATTTACCAAAATGTCATTGGGAAACTGCATCTCCCAAAATAAACACTAGCTCAACAATCCTATAATAAATGTATTTAATTAACCAAACCAGTTGAAATTCGGCCCAGCAATGTTTGGCATATAGAGTAGAAACGTTTGGAAGATGTGGCACGGTCGGTGCGAGTACTACAGGAACGGATATTCAGAGGCACACAATCATCACTACAGAAATTCCTACACTTCATGCCAGTGCTGAAGACCTCAGGAACTAACCACAATGCACATGCAGCAGAATGTACAGAGCGGTCCACTTTTAAAAGAAACACCAAAATGCGTGGCCGGCACAGATGTAGCGATCACCAGAGGCGGTGCGTGCCATGCATCGTCTGCCACTGCAGGCTACGGCGCAGGCGCAGTGAGCGAAAGCTTCCACGGGCGCCAGCAGTCGGCGTAGCGCCAGCCAAGCGTTCCAGTGTTCTCTTTAAAAGTGGATCGCTCTGTACAAGAAAATTGGTTTGTTTTGTGCTGCCATTTGAGTACACCATCAAACCTCTCGTGTCCAACATTTGTTTTCCCACTAAAGCAACAAAACTGCCAAACCTATTCAGTCAAAGGAAAATATTTAGAGTTAATCCTTTCCAAATATTTGTGTGATTTCGTTCACTTCATGCTACAATTTGCAGTGGAGACCCTCTATACATTAATGCCTAGGATGCCTAGGAATCCATGGAGCTACCTGGCAAGTACATCTTCAGCCTCCTGGCTCTGCATATGCTCTTTGCAGGTTTGCTGACGATTTCCTGACATTTTTGGGTGTACCGAAATTACCTGACAATCTCAAGCCCTCCTTGTTTGCATTGCAGGAAGGAAGCCTGTTCAATCGGTGGAATGTTCACCAGACTCATCCATATTCACCTGTACCTGATGATGCGATATTCACAAGGCGAGTATGTCGGCGGCATCTAATTAAGTCAAGCTGGCATCTGTCCAACACCAGGTCCCCCAGTCCTACCTTGGTTGACGCCCGAGCACATTACGCCATCGCAGGAAGCCCAAACGCTTTACCACACAAATAGAGTCTGTAGGTGGGGTATCAAGATCTAGACACCATCTCTGATCCATTCAGCACAGGGTAATCTTTGACACTACGTCTGAAGAGTGAATACTGTCAGGATTTTGATTTGCCCAAAGTGTCAGCTTTGATCGTGCACATTTTTTTAGAAATATTCTAAACCAGGTTCGACAACATCTAAAGAGTCCAAAAATTCGGGGCATACGAACTGATAAAATGTGCACTTAAAATACGCTATTTATATTTTCAATGCTGTTTAATGATAGCTTTCTTGATTCGCTGTCAGGAAGCGTTATTTTGTAACATTAATGGGCTACAAGCAAATATAAACTTCTACTTCTGGTCTAAAAATGGGCTACCACTGCGCAAACTTATTCAGGGTCAAAAATATCCTCGTCGTGAATGCTCCCAACTTCGTCTCCGCAGGCGCAGCACTCTTTGACCTCAAGAATAAAATTACGAAACACTTGCAGAGGAAAAAATTATAATAATAATAATAAACTCGAGGTTATATGAATGCAGTAAACATCTTCAGTAATCTCAAGTGTCCAAAAGAGTCGGGGTAAGTGATGCAGAAATAGAACCAGGCGATGCAACTTCGTTTTTTTGGGAGGCTGCAGAAGGCTACGCCTCCCTATCGTTGGGTTTGCATCCCGGATGAATGCGTCAGCAAAATACAAGCACATACCTGTTCTTGGGTGCTGTAATTAGCGTTGTCCATGTTTGCGAGACTAAAATTAGCAATACGATAGATTTATTTCGCAGAGACTATAAAAGGACTCCAACACTTGCAAGCCTCCTCCGTCGTCGTTTGTTGTTGTTATGTTCGCCCGCTCATTGAGTCTGTGGAACAGACAAGGCAACGTCGTGTTGTCATAAACTCCACACGTTAAAAGGGCGCTGTAAACAAGCTATTTTTTTGTTTTTGTGTTCATAAATTTTACAAGTATGGATCTTAAAAGAAATAAAAAAAAACTTGAAAAGCGAGTGCATTGTCAGCTTTTTTGTTAAATTTAATTGTAAATCGCACATTCCCACTACGCGAGTGCGGCCATCACACTGATCACACGGCCATCTTCCATGATGTAAAATTCGCGCATGAGTCGAGTTTTCTACTCGTTCGTCGTCATTCGCCGAATAAATTTTTTAAAACCCGGTGAGACTCGCCGTTGAGAACACGTGATAATTTAACTGAAGCTCAGTGCCGCAGGCAAAAGGCACAACTCGCCGAAAGCAAGTTTTGCTGGTCTCGCGGCGTGTTCAAAGCTCTTTGGCACACCGAAGCACTGTCTCTCTCTGCCTTCGCACGCTTGGATACCGATCAAGAATCATGGTGGAAGAGCGCGACTAGCGGAACGATCGACATAATCCGTACGCCAGGCGCCGAAGGCCGGGAATCTGCCGTCTGAGCGGTCACACTATGTCTGAGCAAAACAGAGTTCGAGCAGCACATTCGTTTTTTACATCTTTCTGCATGATCATATTCAAAACATCACGCGCACCTTATCTCCAATCATGAAGGGTTACTACATTTAACTCTTTCTGACTTATTAAAACCATATACCAATGATTAAAATTGTTTCTCGCTACCACCGCTAGGGGGTTCTTTTCGGCTTCCGGTTGGCCAAGAGAGCATGCCAAGCCCTTTCTGCGTCTGGTGCACGCCCTGGATGTGCCCGCGTCTCCCATTTACCAAACTCTCTCTACACGGCTGTGCCCGCGCCTCCCATTGATCAAACTCTCTCTACACACGGCTCTGCCCTGGAGCAGAGGGGAGAAAAAAAAGTCGGCCATGAAATTCCGAAGTTTAGTGTCTGTCAGTCTTTTTTTTTTGTCCCCTCGCTCTGGGGTTACTAAGCCGATCCACGTCTGGTTGTGCGTCTAATCTGCGAAGTCCAGGGAGCGTGTCGCGTGGTGTCGATCGGACATGCAAAGTAGTCCGTAGCGTTTGTAACGGCATTTCTAAGTATTGACACAGCTGTGCGACTTATGTCATTCTGCAGATCAGAATACAGGCCTCTTGGATGAAATATGCTGCTCTAGAACAGCTCTAGAAGCACTCTGTAACCTTGAGAAAATAATGAAACCTCTTTGGACACAGTACACGCAAGAGCTAGCCTCCAAGCGCCAAATAATTTCGCGCCACTTGAAAAACATATTTGAAAGCGGTAAAAATAATGAAATATGGCACCTTTCATGCAGTTAAGATAAAATAAACTAAAACCCACCTTGAATCGCGCTAAATCGCACAAGTGTCACTGCGTGTAGTATACTGCACTGCTACTGCGACGAAACCCGCACAGCGACAATGGGCAGCGTTGCAACAAGCTTGGGGTCGAAGCGGTGGTGTAACGTCTTGCTGCCACCGCCACACTGTTGGGTTTCATCCAGGTGCATCAAACCAAAGGTGCTGGTGTACCGAGCAATCTAAGCGCAAACAACGTGTACGATAAGTTTTTGACCCATGCTTACCAATGCCTCAACTCGTACACCTGCATCGCTTGCACGGCGTTTCTTTCCTGAAGACAAAATCCAAGAAAACCGTCTCATGGCCTTCGGTCAACGCACTTAGAAAGGACCTTCTTTAAGCATCGAGATAGCACCGTCCAAACGTGTATCTGTTGCCCAGAGATATACCGTAGGCGGCAGGCACCGGTCGGTTGTTGATATGCGTGTCTTGTCAATGAAGATGTATACTATACTTACCCGCCATATCACTTCCACAACTGAAGAGTGTTGTCCGTGTTAGGCACCTCGCTCTGGACTGCAAACTTTGACGTCTTGAAGACCAGCGATTATCTCGAACACTCAGTTAGCCATGTGGCTATTGTCCGCGCAGCTACTTTTAAAACATGCAGGATTGACATCTAAATTTTTATTTGTATCGAATCAAACAGTCAAATGGTTACTGTTCGAATAAAATTACTGTTCAAAATAAAGTCCCACTTTTGATCTTTTGTTCAAAATGGCTTAATTATTAGTTTACTTAAAAAGGAGACACAATTTTGCTGTTTGATTGTGCACATCAATGACATTTTACATGTAGTTTTATTATGATGCAAAGTGAGCATGTGCGCAATGAATATGCAGTCTTCAAAAAGATACAACTGAACTCATTAAGGTTATTTCTTATGGCATACGTCCATTGCTAAAGCTGTAAAACTAGCTGTAACTAATTCAGTTTTAAACTTTATTAGCTGCACCCTTAAAATGCTACACCTAATCGAGCATACATATTTTCCTGTGTATAAGACGCACTCCCCTCTTTTCGCAAGTTTCTAAGTAAAAATTAGTATATAAGACAGACCTGTGCATAAGACGCACCGCCGAAAATTGTGGAAAAAAAGTGTATCTTATGTATGAGACGCATCGTTGTAAAAGACGCACCCCCACTTTTCGCAAGTTTCTAAGTAAAAATTAGTATAAAAGGCACACCGCCGAGAGTTTTGGAAAAAAGTAAAATACAATATTTAAAAATTAAACTTTTTTAAATCGCAAATTGAAACAAAATAACAATCAATGGTATGTGCAGCTCGACGGGAGTTTTATATTGAAAACCCCACCATTCACAAAGATTATTATTTCAAATATTTGATGCAACAGTTGCACTGTCCTGCCAAGGCACGCAGCTGCACTGCAGAGGAGCGGCTCCGTGCACCAGGTGTCGCTACAACGCAGTGCATCAGTGTGCACTGAGAAGCACACTTAAAGGGGTAATGCAACGATACCTCAACGAAATTTGAAATATACCCATAGTGTTCAGAAATAGGCTTAATATGGTCCACAATATTCGTCAATCTAATGTTTTGAAAATTCCCACAACCCTACACAATACACCTTTAGAAGGGTGTGAATGAGCTTGTCCCAGGGCTAATGCTCAAAACACATTGCTACAAGCAAACATAATTAGACACAGTTGGTAAACCCCCATTAAAGCTGTTTAAAGTGGGTATTCCTACATCCTTTTTACGCCCTTCAAGAAATGAAGGACGTTCAGCGAAAATTAACTCTACTCCACAATTATATAAAGGGTGTATTACTGGAAATAAGAGAGATTAAAGGATGTAACCATGGATGCAAGCCTCTTAATACCTTTAAAATCGCTGAGGGTGTAATTGTATTCAGTGTGTACTGTAACAATCTGCCAGTGCAGCGGCGTCCAAGCTGTTGACTTCAGTGTCGATAAGGTGAAACTAACGTTTGGTGCAAAGTTTCACATTTCGGTGAAATGTAGAGAGATGGAGCAGGGTGAGCACTTTAGCGCAGTTCGGAGCAGCAATTACAGCACCGCAAGTGGATGTCAGATTCAAATGGTTGAACGAACACCACCTTTTTTTTTTTTCAACAAGTTCCAAATGGAGAGAGCGTGATAATACAAAATAGTTTATTCCCACTTAGAAAACAAACACGGTACAGCTGCAGGACGTTCGTAGGACCTCCTGTAAGTATTTGTTATGTACACCGTCGATATTTCCTATTTACCAGTAGCAGTACAGAGGCCAGAGTCTGGCCTCGCATAAAATACAGTCTCCGGTTCACGAGTTTCAGTCCTCTGATGCACGGATGCACGCACGTCTCAGTGGGTGATGTAGAGCAGGAGCAGCACTGTGCATGTTCCAATGAGCAGCCCCAGGATGATGGAGTCCCTCCTCTTGCGCAGGTTGATCCTCTGCACGAGGCTGTTGATCATGGGGAAGCGGTCGTCGTCGTCGTTAAGGACGTGCACAAATTCGCCCACCCGAACTTCGGGCAGAAGACAAGCCAAACCGTACCACTATGTCCGGGCCGCTTCAGACTATGGCGACTGGAACGCACCTCCAATTGGTGTGTTTACCGTGTCCCATGTGGCAAGTGAGTTTGTCTGTTTCTTGTGCAGAGGGCGTGCTAACGTCAGGGCACCGAGCTTTGATTGGAAGGATAGTGGGAGGATGCAAAGGCTAGCTGAATTCCTCTCTACCAACTGTCTCCCTCCGGTCAGCTAGAGTCACTAAATAAGCTATGCTTTCAGAGTACCGCATTTCCTTTCTTTTGTATTTTGCCGACAAAACAGTCGCTCTATTCAACAATATTCTGGTTCGCTGCGGCATCATTGGACAGCGGCAGTCATGTGAGTCGCTATCATCATCGCGTTTTTTCAACGCCACCATCTCGGGTCCAGCGATCCGCTGCCTGCTGCTGTTTTACTGTTCACTGCGCGCGCAAGCTGAAGTCCATCGCTCAGCATTCACTTTTCCCTTCTTACGTCGAGATACAAACAACACGACCTTGATTCGCTGCCACAGCTATGGCAGCTGACGCAGGCGACGGCTACAGCTCGGCTTGGCTCAGCTAGAGTCACTGCTCCACCTGCGCGTGGACCATAGATGGCGGCGCCTGACGCACTTCAGACGCGCAGTTTGGGAGTTTCGGTACTCTGAAAGTGTAGCTTTATTTAGTGACTCTAGTCAGAGAGAGCAAGACCATCATCTGCTCTTCGCATGGAGGGAGCAGTGGCACAGGCGTCTGGCGTTTGGGTACATGCGTCGCCTGCTACTCCCAGCAATGGCTGTCTTTCCTTTTTTACAGCTTCTGGAAATCCACCGGTTCATTACGGACGACGACTGCCTTCGAGAAAGGTGAGAGGAAATAATTCGAAGGGAGTGCTGCTTTTGTCGACTAACAACTTCCTGAGGCGTTCCAACGAAAGAGGAGGCCACGGCTAAGAAGCTTTAGGTTTTTGTTTGCTGTCTGCTCCAAACCCAGGAGTAAACAACTGCGGGTCAAGGCCTCCTTGTACGCGTGATCGGTCCCTTTCACCGTGGGCAGAGACAGAGAAAAAAGCTCGACAGCGCCAACCCCGCGGAACAAATTGCATCATACAGTGGTTCGATCTGCCAAACTCAAGGATAAAAAAAATGAGGCTATGTCAAAACAGGCAGTGAAAGGATACTGGCTAATGTTGTCATCTTGGTCTGGATGGCCTTCAAGGCATTGCGCTGACTCATGAGCTCATCCTTTGTTCGCATTGCAATGCTGTAGGAATAGAAATAATTAGATCATTAAAAGTGGGCCTAAAATTATAACATTCCATAAAAATAACATGATGGACCAAGAGTAAGAGAAGTTCTGTACCTTGTTTCACTGGCTTTCTGTAGCTCAAATTATTGTAAGGACATGCTTGTACTAATATCTAGAACCTCAGCAACCATGCAAATGACTGGCCTGTCATGGTCAGTAAACAGTGAAGGTGGTGCGCAAAGCATATAAGGCCTAACTTTTTTTGTATATGAATGTTCCCCTTAGTACTTGTAGACATGCAAAACTGTTGAGACCGGTTATAACGAAGTCGGTTATAACGAAATAGCGGCTACAGCGAAGTGATCACGATTTCCCATTCCCATTTGCACTTTGTTAATTGAAGTCAGTTATAACGAAATAGCGAAGTGATTTCCGATTCCCGTTCACTTCGTTAGAACCAGTCTCGACAGTAAACTCAAACAATCTATTCAATAATAACCGACTTCCTAGCCCATGTGTTAATTGTGAATCATCTATTCTATCTAATGTCTCAATAAAATTAAAAACTCAGATATCTTAAGGTAGGTCCTCTATGAAGACATTAAAATAGTTCAAACAATCTATTCTACTAAACAATAACAAAGCATAAGGTCTTACTTGATTTGGTCATGAACCATCCTGTCCGAACTGAAAAAAAAAAAAGACGACATGGAGTCATTACTAGAAACCTGCATGTCGATGAACAGACAGTCCTCATCAGTGTGCCTGTCCAAGCAAGCACTTCAGATTGCCCAACTTTCTCGAACTTCAGATCACAATCAGAACAAGGTGCGGTACATACGGTCCAGGACAAAAGTGGAGCACACGAACACACTTTGTCACCGAAGTTGGTGCAGCTGGATGGTGGTATGCAGTATATGTGCATACACGTGTTGTACTCTTCAGGAAGACGTTGGTTCCTCCTATCGTCACCAGGGGCAATTCGCTCATCTCGCAGTGTGGCCAAGAGGGATTTTTATGTCACGTGATGAACTCCATAGGGACAGGGAAGTACCTAGCGTCCCTGCCCAGTGGCAGAGAAATCCGTGTCACTTAGACTACGAAACTTTAATTTCACTTGCAAAAACTGACCCCAGAGGCTTTTAGCTGGAGCCTAATTAAAGGGACGCTGAAGCGGTTTTAAATATGAAAAAAAAAACACCCGAGCCTAGTTAATTAGACCTCAGCCATCACGAATATTGTATTCGTTTAGTCATTTCATGCGCGGATTAACCGGAAAAGTGCTTTCAAAGTAGCACTGAAGCCACGCCCCTCCAAAGCAGAGAGAAAGGGGAGAGAGGAGGAAGCCCGTCAGTCAACGTCACAAATGGTCCGGCTAGGGGACCCCGCCGCGGCTGGCCGTGCTTCCCTCGTAGGCTACTCTACTGACTTTTTCAAACTGTCGTCGTTCTGGTGCTACATGGCGCTTGCTTTTACCCACTGAGTGGTCGTGCTATTGACTCAATCGCCTAAAGTGTTGATTGTTCTCGTTTGTTTACGGGTTTGCGGAATTTTCGGGGCACCGAAGCAACTGACTCGTGCGATGCAGTACTCATGTGTAGCCATTGGCTTGCACGAACAGCGCTCGTCGCAGTTGTTCTTCCCACTTACCGCCCCATTCACTCCGACACCAAGATTTAAAATGGATGGGTTCCCACTATGCAAACAGACGAGTTTTAACGAGTACACCGTTTTTTGTTTGGAACGTGTTCCGGAATGCGTATATGAAACCAATGTACGTATAGGTTTGGGTCTCAAAAAGTCTTGCCTGAGTCCGACGCTCTGCCGAACATCTTTGAAGGTAAGAAGGCAATTCAGCATATTAAGAGGCACACACAGAGAGACAAAGCTAGGTAGGAATTTAAGGTTGACTGTTCTAGAAAAAAGCTTTTAAGCTATTAATTTTGTGCAGAGTATTAAAAAATCCGCGATCATGTAGCCAAAAAGCAGGCATCCACTGGCTCTTTTGTGCTAACCGCTTTATATTAGTGTCTTAGTTTTGGTTTCTTAGTATATCGCTGAAGTGACCATTTTTACCGGGCCAACTCCATTACCCAAGATTGATTTTAATATACTACGCTACCCAGTCACTTGGGAGAGGAGGGCTTGTTGTAATAAGTGGTCATGCAATTCATCATATGACTTTTACGGTGCAACTTGTTTTAGCATGGACCTGTTCTACAGTTGCTGATACAATTTGAGGTCACATACTTTTCAAACATAAACATAAATTTTGTAATATTTTCCTTCCATAGACGCTCACATGTCCAGCAGCTGCCAAGCATGAAGGCTGATGCGCGCCAAATCCTTGTCCTCTGATGACCGTCTTGGAGGGTCACGCTAATCCGGCCTGACGCGTCCCGTCAATAGTACTCCGTTTATTGTCAACGTTTTACGTTACAATAAGTAGCAGTCAGTACGTTCCTGAATGTATGAAGCCAGCCATGTCGCGTCGGCGCAAACAGTTCCTCGTGTCTGCCCTAATTACCGCGGGGGGTCATTTTTCGGCTTTGCCAACGGCTGGAACGCATACTTTGTCACGTCGAGGGTTCTCTGGACAAATCCCTTTTTCGAATACACCGAAAGATTTCGAAAAATCAGAAGCCGAACCCGACTTACAAGAGCAGAAGCCTCGGCAACCGCCTACTTCCGCAAGCGACGGACCAAGCGAGAATTGAGATGACCCTCTTATGGACGTAGTGATGCGTCACGCGTGACCAGCCAATGGCGTGCCGCTGCATCGATTGCTTCTGTTTTCTTCACTTTTTTTCGCGTTTAGTGATTATTTTGGGTCAAACGGTTGCAATATTTGGACTCAGCAGGCACAAATGCATCAGAATCAACCATTAACTCATTCTTCTAAAAAAGCCCTTCAGCTGATTCATACTTTAGAAGCGGCACGTAAAGTTACGGCCACTAAAGGTAAATACGAGCCAATATAAAAGAGAAGTCAAGAGCAGAAGCCTCGGCAACCGCCTACTTCCGCAAGCGACGGACCAAGCGAGAATTGAGATGACCCTCTTATGGACGTAGTGATGCGTCACGCGTGACCAGCCAATGGCGTGCCGCTGCATCGATTGCTTCTGTTTTCTTCACTTTTTTTCGCGTTTAGTGATTATTTTGGGTCAAACGGTTGCAGTATTTGGACTCAGCAGGCACAAATGCATCAGAATCAACCATTAACTCATTCTTCTAAAAAAGCCCTTCAGCTGATTCATACTTTAGAAGCGGCACGTAAAGTTACGGCCACTAAAGGTAAATACGAGCCAATATAAAAGAGAAGTCATGCAAAATAAAAGCGGTGGGATTGTATTTATATATCTGCGCCAGCGACTCGACTCAAGCCGTCTGCTGTAGTTGAGAAGTAAGAGAGCCGGGACTTGGCACCTGGCACCGCAACACGAAGGTCTCTGGTCCAAATTGTGTCGCAATAATTTTTTCTTCATAAATTAAAATTTTTTCCGTGTTAATTTTGTGGAAGCTTTTATTTTTTAAATCGACACAACTTCAGAGTGTATTAAGACTAAATAGGTGCCCCTTGTTATTGAAAAGAGACGTAGCAAGCGCATTGTATATTTAAAAACACATAAAATTGTACTTGCTGAGAGAAGGATGCTTGTTTCAGCCCCGTTTGCTTGCAAGTCATAGCAATGCTGTCATCTTGGTTTCCTTTTAATGAGTACTATGAGACGATTGTATTAGTGCATTAACTTGGCTTGATAATTTTTTTTTTTCCACTGTAGATTCAACAGGTGGGACAAACAAAAAAAAAGTATAAGGTGCAGTCGTGCGAGATGATTTGGACAATTCGTAAAAAGGATCAGTTATAAAGTAACACAGAAGCAAAATATAAAATTATATATAAAAAAATTGACACGATTTGAACCTGGAATTTATGCACCGCGGTGACAAGTCCCGGCTCTTTTACCTCTCGACTATAGCAGATGGCTTGAGCCAGTTTGCTGGCACAGATACATAAATATACTGCCACCGCTTTTATCTTGCCTGATTTTTCTTTTATTTTGGTTCATATTCACCTTTTATGGCCGTAACTGTACCTGCCGCTCCTAAGGTATAAAGGGCGGTTAATTGGACTCCAGTTGAAAGCCTCTGCGGTCAGTCTCTGTGAGCGTAATTAAACTTTTGTACTCGAAGGGTCGCAGATTTCTCTGCCAATGGGCAGGGATGCTAGGTACTTCCATGTCCCCATAAAGCTTCTCACGTGATATCTTGGCCGCAATCGCAGCCACGAGATGAGCAAACCGCCCCAGATGGTGCCCACAATACATATAGGCTTTAGCTGAAAACACTGGCTAGGCGGTGCAAGGCACCTAGCAACGTTTGGTTAAAAATGCAAAAAAAAAAAGAAAAGTAAAAATACCTAAAAAAAAAAGTTATACAATAATTAGAAGTTTAAAAGACTAAACAACATAACACGCGAGCAGTGACCGAAACTACTGGCAGAGCCACCTAATGGCGAAACTGAGCGATGACAAAGACAGCATAGGTGTAAATGTGACAGCCAAAAGTCGCTGCTTTATCTGAAGCGGTGCTATCTGTCACACAGGGCCAGCAGGTGACACAAGTGACCTTGGGCTACTTACTGCTTACACATTTATTGGTTGTGGGCACTGTACAGGAAAGTGCCCCTGGACACATGCAGGTTAACTTTACTGTGCACCGTAGATTGTGCTCCAAACTTTGGACGGGTGGCAGTGGCAGTCGCATAAGTACTGCGTATCCCCGAAAACATTCACAGTGTTCTATTTCACCGTAAAAATAAACTATGCATCGTTGAATGCTCAGTCTCTGCCCAAATGTAGAGTTAGGGATCCAGACCAGATGCCGAAGTTTCAGAGCTTGCCATTATCTGGTTAAGCGACCTTCTGAAAATTCTAGTTGGAAAATAGGGCCTGTTCTTAGTAGCCGATGCCATTCAGCTCCATGTATTTATAAGCTTTGTCAGCTGCCATTTTTCCACAAAAAATTCAGAAAATCCCTTACAACTTTTGAACCAGGTAACAGTAAGCTCCGAAACTTTGGCATCTGGTCCAGACCGCTAGCACTACATTTGAGCAAAAACTGCAGTGATAAAAAAAAGAAACCTAAATTTTTTTTTGGGGGGATACCCTATACTTTTTGTACCTCGAAGGGGCTAGATACAGTAGTTTAGAGCTCCCGTTCATGGCAGGGGGCATTGTCCGAGGGTGGAATGAAACAAAAGCTTCAAAAAGGAGTCCAACTCACTTTCTGAGGTGCTCGTGCTCCTTGAGGAACCCGTCTGACCGCCGGCTCAAGCTGGAAGAGTTCTTATATGATCTGAAATACAAGGACGAGGCATGCTCTAAATCTGACATGATAAAAGGGACCATATTGGAATAGGAATTGAACAGCAAAAGTGGTGTGCCAAAGGCAGTCATACATCAAAAGACCACTTGTCCTGCGGTAGGTCTGATATGTTGCCGCCTTTGGTGGATGCATATTTTTGCCAAGAGACTTATACTGCGATCACTAGTTGCGTGCAGCACAGGCGAAGGTGACGCCAGGCGAGGGGAGAAAGGGCAGGCACTAGGAAGGCTCGGGAGGAAGAGAGAAAACTCCTCTCCTCTCTAACCTTCCTAGTGCTCTCTCTTTCTCCCGTTTCCCTTCTCTCCCGGCCCGCCTTCCTAGTGCTCGCCCTTTCTCCCTTTGCCTGGCATTGCCTTCGCCTGCACTCCACAGAACTAGTGGCACCATAGAGATCATACATACTAACTCTAGAGGAAAAGGTCCGCCATTTTCCCATGCATTCTGGCTGCCGCAAGCGGAGGAGTATGCAGGCAGACCCTCGGGGTCCCACAAGGTTACCAACTGCCTTCGATTTCACAAATATATCATCAGAGCAGTGTCATGAACTTCAACAATCCATGAACATACCGGTGGAAAGATATTCGCGTTCTGTTCGAAGCTTTCTTTTTGCATAACACGCAGATGTACGGCCTCCCGACAAGACTAAACTGAACCAGATAACCGGCTTCGGTTATCTGGTTTAGTTTCGTACTTCCGGGCGCGGGTGGCCACGTCCGGAAATACGAAACCGGGCAACTATCAGATTTTCGAGATTTTGACAGAAGGGAAGTTAATGCAGCGTAATGAGTATGCTGCTTTTTATAAACCTTAGAATAACTCAGAATTTAGTTTGCAACGTTAAATTATCACTGTTTATATTGCTGAGAGTTTTCAGTCTTCGCGATTACCATTACAACTGTCGTCCTTCAGCTGGCAACATTGGTTTCTTTCTCTCGTGTTCTGTCGCTCTCTTTCGCAATCTTTCACTCGGGACCCAGGATGTCGGCGCGCGGGATTTGCCACTCCTCCTCACCCACCTTTACCCCCCTGAGTGGCACACACTAGTAGTTTAGTTGATTTTAGGGGCGAAGCTCCTTAGGGGCTAGCCATGTCCGTATGTCTGTCCGATGTCCGGCGTCGGGGGCTCGTGCTCCTGCTCGTGAGCTCACAAGCACGTGCTCCCGTGCTCGTGTAGGTAAAAAAAAAAAAAACAACCACATCTCCACGTGGTGAATGATGTTGACTGGCGAGGAGCTCTGGTGGTGCTTGTCTGCGTAGACGGTGAGCCGCAGCATGCCGAGCCTTTCGTTCGTTTTCATCCATGGCAGAAAGAGAATGTGTGGTATGGAACGTGGTTATTCGCGACTCCAGCGACCTATAGGGGGCGCCACCACCAAACAAACATGGCGGCTGAGTCCAGGTCGCGGCGGCTCGGCCGGGCCGCCTGAACAGGTGGCCTGTTCAATTTAACAGATTTTATTTTGTTTAATGCCCATTATTATAGGTATTTGAACTGAGACGGTGAAGTGTAGCCGGTGCAGATAAACTTGCAAAGCATAGTTTTGTTTTGCCGGTGTTTTTTTTTTTTTTTTTTTTGTTCTTTTCGTGTCAAACTTTTGTTTCGGAGATTTCGTTCAAAACCGAAACTATGGGCTCCGGAGAAACGGTAATATACTAATCAGTTTTGATCATATAAGGAAAGCGGCGATGACTATAGAATTGTTCCACAGAGAGTAACTTTTCAGCTAACTCGCATGCCTCGACCATGCGACTTATCTGTCCGCGGAATCGAGCTTTTGTGCGTATCCATGTTTACGAAACAGCTCCAGTCGTCTGCTCGGCCATCAACACAGGCTGCAGGAAAATTGCGAAAATTAAGCAACCGCTTCTTGAGCCAAGGACCATGTTAACCCGCCGGCGCCCCACTGAGCAGCTGATACTCATATTTCAATTCAGGTTTTAGTAGCAATCGAGAAGTCATTTTGACGAGCGGCTTATGTATTATATTACGTACTATGGTCCCACTAAAGCGATATTAGTATATCCTTCGGGTTGAAATATGAGCTCAGTTGACTAGCTATTAGGTGAGCTGTTGAATAAAAGTATATTTGACAGACGAAGACATACTACTTAAATTTAGCCAAATGGTTCTATAGCCGGCAGCACGGAGACAAACTGAAGAGAGTCTTCATTGAAGATCCACGCATTACCTCTCGGCATTGAACTTTGCTTCGAATCCTGAACGGAGAAAATTAGTATTTTTTTGTGGCCGGTCAACCTGATCAATGTAGACGTATATTGCTGCTGGCTTCGATGTCCTGGTAATATAAATATTGGAGGCGCGATAGGTCAAAATGCCGTGACAGCATCTAACGTTGCGAGACTTGTCTCATACCTTTTGAAAACAGATAATTTCCCTCATTCATCATTTGCAGCGAGCAAGTTTTCCTGAATCAAGTAATTGCGAAATCAGCCCAACTCCTTCAGTGTGGTCCAGAGGCTTTTTCGGCGAAAAGCAGCCAAGATGAATAGCCAACGCACCGACCGGCGTGGGTTTCTCAAACTTGAAGCTAACCGAACACAACCAAACTCAAGAAAAGCAGCTATCAAACCTTCCCATTCACTTGACTGCAACATTGATGTTCCTCCAGTATCAGTTACCAAGCAGTCGTCACTTTGAATGTGATTCGAGACAGACAGGAAATCAAAAAGTTTTTCTGTGATTCCTCCCCATCCAAGAAATCGAAAGCACGCGACCGTGTGCTGTGGAGTAAACGGGCTTTCAAACACGTAATAGAAGAAAACAATTTACTGAGGCTTCACCACACTAATGATCACTCAGGCAAACTTAAGAAATATTCGGACCTTCGTCAAATTACATTGTTCGCCACCACGCCGACAACACGTCTCCGCGAAAGCCACCAGAGACGAGGAGGGGCGCGGAGCGACCTGGACCGGCTGGTTCCCGGTTTTCCCGCTTGGCGGCGTCCGTTTTGCTGGAGTCGCGAATATACGCATTTGACCGCAGCGTAACATGGATAAAAACGAACGAAAGGCTCGGCATGCTGCGGCTCAGCGTCTACGCAGACAAGCACCACCAGAGCTTCACCCCAATCAACATCATTCACCACGTAGAGATGCGTTTTTTTTTTTTTTTTATTGTCTACTGTTTGTCAAATGTTTTCCAAGCGACTTCAATCTAAAACCAACCAAAGGTATAGGCCTCCTGAGCTGAAGCTTTGAACGTATCATGGCGCCCTCCGGTGGAGGGCGATAGTGTGTCTGCGTATTACAAGGCCCACGACCCCACACAACGACAAACCTGTTCGAGCGGCTGTTTACCTCTGCACGCAGCTGTTATTTGTGTGTTCGCATAATCACGACTCAAAATGTGTCACTCGTAGTCGCCACCACACAACAATCCCCGGGGCCCCAGCTCGCCGCAAGCTAGTCACTTTTTTCTTTGTGCAAGCATGTCAAAACCAGGAGCAACAAGCGCAGCTTCGATGCTTTCAAAACGTTGCCATCGACGGTACTTTTGCATCGCCAACTGTCAAGAACAGGAAGGGTTTAAACCCCTACGTAAGCTTCTATGGATTCCCACTGAAACCGTACGAAGTTGAGCAGAGGTAACGGTACTAGTCGCCCAGTGCACTGAGTAAGCGAGACAATTGTTTTTCTCGCCCTCCAGGTTATTCTGCTAAGCGCAGCCACACAATCAAGTGGCCGCAGCAAGCATCGAAACAAGTCATAAGAATTTTACGAAGAGGAACACAATATACTGTCCAACCAGAGGAGCGGTCCGATTGAGCTACATCTTTTGCAACGTGAGATCAGCAGTACAAGCGCCGTCTTCAGTGAGAGTTTTTGTTTAAAAAGACAAGCTTGCGCACGCACCAGCACACTACAAAGGGCAAGAAGCATGTGCTGTAAGAGGAGCTCCTTCTGCTAATCTTGTGTTGTGTCAAGCTTACAGCGCAAATGCGCAAGAAAAACTACAAGAGCTCGAGAACCAGCGTGCAGTAGGAATGATCTACTCAGCCAACAGACGGCCGGTCGTAGCTCGATCGCTTACGTCCGCTCTCGCACATTTTTGAGGTTGGTCACCAGCTGATCGCATTGGCTGTACAGAGGGACTGCAGTTTGGGAGCTTTTGCTTACAAAGCGCGTTAATGTATCTCGTAATGCTCACCTCAAGCTCAACATTATAGTAAGCTCGCTGCTTTTGTGAGTCACAAAACACCTACACCAAATCTGCGGCTTCTTGTATGGCACAGACACAGCCTTCAGTAGCATGCATTCGCCGAGTTTCTTCCCTGTGTGAAGCGTTGAGGAACGAAAGAAGCTTTCCACGGTCGAAGTTTTCTTGATTCCTTGCCGCAAAACAATTTTGAGGAGGGTATTCATACCGCCAGCTAACGTTTGGAAATGGGACAAATTCAAATGCGCAAGTTTGTACAACCCAATACCGATAAACAAATCAAGGAGGCACTACAATCCAGTTTTTCTGCAGAGCCTCCTGGGCAAAGCAGGAGGCCTATTAGTGGCTGCATCTGAAAAATGTAGCTTTATTTAATATAGAACAGCTTGCATGATCTATGCTTAGAGGGGTGTTTGCTGTCATTAATATAAAAAAAAAATTATTTTAATAAGTATAAATATAATGAAAAATTTTAGGAATCACCCGGAATTAAGAAAAATAGAAAAAAAAAGTGGCAATGCAGGCAAGTTGGTTTATTCTTACAGCTTGGTGATAAAGCTTGCAACAGACGAGGACAGAGATAGGCAGTAGACAAGACAATCGCAGAACTTCAACTAAACATTTATCGACAGATTTTTTCGTTGGCCGTAGTTTCAATAAATGTTTAATTAAAGTTCATTGCTCGTCTTGTTTACTGCGTACCTCTGTCCTTGGTTATTGCAAGCTATATCGCACAGGTTGTAAAAAATAGAAAGCTGCACAGACATAGAAAAGTCTGCTGGGGCTTCAA